AATGGAGTAGGCTGTCAGAAACGCACCTGGACAGATATGGTCAGCATTCACGTCCTGTCCGTCACCATATCGCCTTGTCCATTTACGAACCTCGAACCTTGGTGGGAGCACATTCGGACTGATACATCGGTACCACATTGGAGGCCACTCCGATGCCGGAATACGCAACGATACGGCCGACAACAAGCTGCCAGAAGGAAGTGATAGCGGACGCCTCGAGAACCGTTCCAACCGTCAGGAGACCCGACATCACCAACAGTGTCGGCTTCCTTCCCAAGTGCGAACATAACCAAGGAGCTGCGAGACATCCGAGAATGATACCAGCCGAGCCGGTGCCTGTGCCGGCCGACTGCTTCTCCGAGGGAAGACTGTATCCACCAGTGCTTGGGTTATACTCTCCATAATGTTTGTTAAACTGCTGAAGACCTAACGCACCTCCCCACCAGGAGTTGTCAAACCCGAATCCCATCGCGCCCAAGGAGACGAAGCATCCGATGAACACGAGACGGGCATTGAGCTCCTGATAGAGAGCAGACTGCCTGAAGGACCCTAACATATTGCCGGTGGTCGCAAACCAGGCACAACTAAATTGGGTTAAAAGTGAGATTCAATGCCTTACACATCGTGACGGGTACAAGAGTTCCCCGGCATACTACTTATATTTATACATTAAACACCACATCAAGTCGGGGAAGCGAAAAGCGGAGCGGTATACGGACAAGATCGCTGGATCATGAGACTAACGAAGCTACCGACGCCATGAACTTTGGATTGGCACGTTCATGGCAGCCTTGCTCTGCTCTCCCCATTTAGTCTATTTGTGGGGGGTAAACGTACGCCCGCAGGGGATTCCATTGGGACGATTAGGGCTAACTCCACGAGATCGGGGAAGCCAGAACCCCCATGGGGCCATGTGTGGGTGGACTGGATTTACTTCGGGTGATGTTGTGGGGAAGAGTCTTTTCGGGTTTCGAATTTTGAATCTTTTGAAGCTACCGATGAAACTTCCCGATGGAATTCCGGTTGCTTCGAACTTCCATTCTCGGCCCCGGTTTGGACCCGCCCCGGTTTTTCTTCGTTGTCAAGTAGTTGGTGGCTCCAATTACCCTTTTCGGTCCCATGGTGGATGCGGCAATTCTGGTGATAATCTCGCAACGAGGTCGAAAAGTGGATTTGCTCTCCTATTCATGTCGTCATATTTCTCATCTGCCTAGATCTGGAAATTTGAAATAAGACACAGAATCCCTCACCCTTTCCGAATACCAGAGAGAAACTCTCATTGCATTCCAGTTGATTGGACTCCAGATCTCACAATGGCACAGGCTGAGCGTCTCCCGACATTTGCTTCCAAGCCCCGGGTGTTTATCCTCAGTGACATCTCCAATGAGCCCGACGATGCCGAATCCCTGGTGCGGTATCTTCTCTACTCAAATCAGTTCCAGACCGAGGGATTGGTCGCTTGTACATCGACATGGATGAAAACCAAGGTGTGTCCACAGGACATGCATAAGATTATAGATGGCTACGAGAAAGTAGTCGACAATCTGAATGCCCACGCCAATCCACAGGATCCGTACCCGACGGCGGAATACATGAGAAGCCTGATTAAGAAAGGCGCTGAGGTATGTCTCCCTGACAATGTGCGCTTTTCGTTGGGGAATCACCAGCTGACGCAACTGCGATAGACATATGGAATGTCCGCGGTCGGAGACGATATTCCGCTCAGCGAGGGTGGACAATTACTACTAGAGCGCATCGAGGCTGATTCGACCGAGCCTCTCTGGATTTTGTGCTGGGGTGGCACCAATGTCCTCGCATCGGTCTTGCTCAAGATTCAAAATACTAAGTCAGAAGAAGTTGCCGCAGCACTCCGATCGAGGCTGCGTGTCTATACGATTTCTGACCAGGATGATACCGGTGTATGGATCCGCAACAGATACCCCGATATCTTCTATATTTGTTCAGTTCACGGATGGAACATGTACGGTATGGCAGCATGGTGCGGTATCTCTGGTGATGGCTGGTACGGATTTGATAAAGGCGGTCCCGACCCTACCAAGATCAGCAAGGAATGGATTCGGGAGAATATTCAGATCGGCCCTCTTGGTTCAACATACCCAGACTACATGTTCATCCCCGAGGGTGATACACCAACCTTCCTTTACCTGATTCAGAATGGTCTTGGAGTGCCAGAGCGCCCAGAGTGGGGCTCATGGGGAGGTCGCTACATCGCTACGGACATCAGCGCCAAAGGTCTCCGCAATGGACACTACAGTGACACCGTCGATGAAGCGGTTGGATTAGACGGACGCACGCACAAGTCCAACCACGCAACAATCTGGAGGTGGCGCGATGCCTTCCAAAACGACTTTGCGGCCCGGATACAGTGGACGCTCTCGCCTGAGCTGAGCAAGGCCAATCACCAACCTGTCATCGTCCTGAACGGCAGCAAAGGATTGGAGCCCTTGCATGTCGAGTTGGAGGCGGGTTCGACATTCGAGCTCGACGCTTCCGAGACATACGACCCGGACACAAACGATTCACTGACATTCAAATGGTATCAGTACAAAGACCCGAGTGCGACGCAGTGGTCTGTCCACCACGAGGTTGGACAGCTGCAATTTGAACCCCTCAACCCCACTGGTAGCAAGGTCAAGGTGACTGTGCCGCCTCCGGAAAAGTGTTGTCTTGAGCTTATCAGTCGCGAAGCGCTCCCTAGAGGACAACTGCTGCACATCGTGTTGGAGGTGAAAGACAACGGAACCCCGCCGCTGACCAGCTACCGACGAGTCACTGTCCAAACTTTGAACGAGAAGCTGCTCGGTGGCGGTGGTGGTGCGGAGGCTATTGGTGACGTGATGAGAGACATGATGTAACGTGATATGATATAGACAAATTTATTAATTGATTCAAGACATTCGTAGATGCTTCCGCCTTTCGTTATTTCCTGCTGGCTACTGGCGACTAAGTATATCTTCGTCATGGAACGTAGTCCGACTTGCCACTGCAAGGACGGCGAAGGTCTTTAGTCTATCACTTTATTCTGGTCAACCCACGCCCGGATGTCCCAGAAATTTCGGCATTTATGCATGGTATTGAAATCCACGTAGCGACCCAGAGGCGCCGTATCATCTGCCACGATCATCACCGGCGTAACATCCGCTGTGCACATCACGTTTAAGCGCAGGGTCTCGAGGCAATGGTCTACGTGGCCGCTTAGAATTAGAGAGATCTTTATACAAGGTACACAGCTACTGACCGATATGTGTGGCTGTAATGGCGGAATCTTCTGGCCCAAATTGGGCCGCTGGATACCCGAACTCTTCCTCATATTCCTTCTGATAAATCTTTAGCCGAACCATGTGCTACACGTCTCTAGTCAATAAGTCGTCTCCGAGGAGGGGCAGGGTTTTTGACTGACCAAGCAGTGCAGCTGATGAAACACCTCCAGGTACCCTACGTAACCCTCGCCTTTCTTTTCAGGAGTTCGGAGCCAGCTCACAGTCGACGATTTATTGAGCAAGGGGAGCTTAGCCTCTGGGATGTTGATGCCCGGTGCTGTCGACCTCAGCTTCAATCTAATGACTGCAGAATATATTTCTCGGAGAAAGAATTCATCTTACCTATGAACAATTTCTGCCATGCGGCTTCTGTTTTGTTGGTAGGCCGACCCCGATAGACAGATGGCTGCTCAAAGTCACCAGCTATATTATGCGATGTATATCGGATGATCCCTGCCTCTATAACGGGCGCTACTCTAGATTTAGCTACAATACAAGGTGCCTATACGTCCAACTTACGCACAGTAGGCAGAAAGGCGGGAGGTGCATGCCTGATCTGTAGCGACAGTCTGATATCTGAATGTGAGAAAGCCGAACGTAGTGAAAAAGAAAGCTAGTTGGAGGAACCAGGGCAATGTGCGGGCCAGCAAGGAGTGAGGGGAGGTAGACAATGCACTGGAGTCCACATGGATGTATTGCTGCCTCTGAAGCAACGTATGCGCTGAGTGTCGAATTTCCTGTAGGGGGCGTTTCATGGTGGTCAGGTCGCACAATGACCCTCTCGGCAAGCTTCCTGAGGATAGACAGTAATGTGATTGTTAATGTTACGGTTAAATGTTGACGGCACAAAGAAGAGCGTCCATGAGACAACTTGCTTACTATGTCATACAAGGATAGATGTCGTCGTTGAACACTGAATCTAGATATTATGGCCGTGTAGCTGCCTAAGTAATGTGCGGAGGCGTACATCCCAATTCTTCACTTAGGCTTATTCTTCAATATCTCCATATCATGTCACATAGCAGGGTAACATTACACGGAATAGCCCCGAACCTTGGCATGTAGTCCATGCTTAGGCCCTAACTAACACGAGGTCAGTGTGCATCCATGTACATCCATGTGTAACAAGATAGCTGTGAAAGCATCGGAGGATTATCAAGGCCCGCCAGCGATAGTTACATTTTTCTCCTGAGCAGCAGCCTTGGCACCACGAAACCCAATACCTTACTTGAGGAGTGAATCCCAACTGTCCTCAGACTCGTACGGCCTTAGCTAATCATTTGTTAGCATCCTGAATCCAGTGACGGATCATGATCCCGGACTCTGTGGCTCTGTCTGCTGGGTATAGGACCAGCAAGTCTTGGCAAAACTACTCATGTAGGAGGCAACATCTTGCCAATCAAATCGCCTTATATGAGCCAAGAGAATATAGATCCACAACCAAGTATGGAATAAACAGTGCGGATATTACGGCGTCCCCGCAATCGTAGATACGCCGGCGGATGCCGTTCCTTGGCGACTTAGGCCCCTCATGCAGGATTTCATAGTTGCTTAAGATCCAGCCTAGCGCTTACGTGAACATGTGTGATTCCAATAAACTCGTTTGCGGTACTCCATTGGCAACTTGTGAGAACATCGAAGAAGATCATAAGACCCTGGAGGGATGATAGTGATAACCTAACCTGTCCAGCTTAGTACGGAAAGGTAGCGTGACTGAGATCAGGACAATGGAGGTAGGCCCATTGTCTCAACCCATTCGCGGATCTCCCAGAAGTTCCGACACGTGTGCATGGTATTGAAATCAGGGGTGCGTCTCTGAAAGGCATGGGGGTCATCTATAAACATTAAGGGTGTCACGTCCGACACGCACATAAGGGTAATGCGCAGGAGTTCAATACAGTGATCTGAATATTGCGTTAGTATCCGACTCTGGACGGTGCTCGAATTTGCCAATGATGGTAGAAGTACCTATATGGGTCTTCTTTACTGCTTCATTCCCAGGGCCACTTCCATCTGGCCATTCACCAAAATGGTCGTAGTAGCTATTCTTATGGACTTCCAAGCGGAGTGTATTCTAACCGTGATCAAATCAACAATCCACCTTGCAGATGAAAGAAAAGACGTGAACCTACTATGCAATGTAACTGGTGGAAGACCTCAACCAAGGCAGCGAATGCATCCCCAGCCTTGTGATCAAGAGCTGGAGGCGCGGGGAACCAGTTCAACCTTGCCGGACCGGACTTATTGAGTAATTCTAGTTTGTCTCTTGGCACCCCGATAGCAGGAGCTAGTTGGCTTAGCGTTGCGTTTATGATGGAGAAGTGGTGTTGCTTACTTTCCCAGAGCGCTTTCCATGATGATTCAGTAAGATTGCTGGGTTGTCCCCGATAGTTCGAAGGTTTTTCGAATTCGTTTTCGAAAGGTTTGGAATCATATTTGATAAGCCCTTCTTCAATAAGAGGAGCTGAGGTTTGAGTTAGATGGTATCATTTGACCGTATTGTGCGTAAAGCAAGTGTGACACGTAGGAGAGAAAAGGTGTGGAAGCATACAGTATGGTGACAGTTGGTGAGTACATTGTAGAGTGCTTGGCTCCATGGTAAATGCAATTAGGGCCAGCGAAAGAGAAACACAGAAGGCCAGAATGTGGATGATCCAGGTGAGCCTGTCCCTCAGCGGCCCCAGGGATTTCTCTTTCAAAGGGATCTGTTGTTCAAGGAATGGTTGGGTTGGACTCGAGCTATCCTCCGAGGTACTTTCAGCTGACCTTCGAGGTACCATGACTGTTGTTCTTGGTAGGCGCAGAAAAAGTAGTATGACTGAGATAAAACAATGGAGAACGGGAAATGCTCCTGTTCCTGGGAGAAAGGCGAGCTGAAACTGGTTGGATAACTTCTATGTTTGAGTTTTCTGCAGTTGAACAGAAATAACAAACAACACTCAGTGATACACGTACTTCTAGCATAGCCAAAGGATCAGATACCCTGGCATGGATGAATGTAACGTTACTGCGTTGTGCTTCCGGGGGTCGGTGATCATTTGCATCCGGTCTCAGATATGATGAGTGGACTAATGTCCAAAACTTTTTACCGTAGTCTGAATGCTATATAAGTCCCTAAACTTGCGGTCCTCGAATTCCCCTTGCTGTAAGCGGCACAAACCAAAGCCTTTCAATCTGTTTTTATAGTCATTTAACGAGAAAGACCCGAGCGAGAATGAAGACCTTCATGCCCCTTATTTCCCTTTTCATGGTCATAGGGATGACCTCTGCCGCTCCCACCTCAAAGGTATGGGCGAATGCAACAGCCAGCAATGTGAAGTATAGAGCATTAATGAATGCGAAACAGGTCGCCGCTGAACACGATGTCTCCCCGGAAAGCGCCCACTCATTCAACATTAACGCCTACAGTCCTCCCCCTCCCGATCGCAAGGTCGATGATGCCTTGCACCGCAGGGAGGAGGTTACTCCGGAAGGTGCAAATCTTTTCATCATTCATTCTTATGGTGATCGGCCATCAGAACACAAAGTCGATAATACGGTAGAGCAACAAAACGAGGACAATGTTGACGGCGCTCGTATCTTCAATGCTATCGAGGCCTATACTCCCTGAGCATGCCGAAGCCTCATTATCATATGCAGTGCGTGGAAGAGGGATGATGCCTTGGGCTATCCGTGTATTTTCACCAGTGACTCCTGATAAGATAATATATGCACATCGGGTACGCTACACAAAGACCATAATATGATAAAGTCGTAAGGCAGATAAATGAGGTCAACGACCATTGGGATACAGCTAATATATACTAGTTTATATACATCTGTGTTGATTGTGCTGGTATCGGTTTCATAGTACAGCCTGAGGCTCCGAGGAATGCATTTCACGGACAGTAGAAGGAAACACACGTTAAAGGCCCATACAAAGCCGTACCTTAGGGATCCCTAGGAGAAACATGCTCTACAAACTCCACACTACCGATCTTCACCGTATCGTCCCTTGTAATGTTACCCGCAGCATCTTGTCAAACCGTACTGCCATATCTTCCAGCGTATGCCCACGCGTTTCAGGGTATCCGAAATACACGGTGATTTCGTAGGCGATCAACACGGCAACGAAAACCAAATAGTACTTCCAACCTATATTATCGAGGGTGATAGGGTTGACGAAAGTCTTGAACATGTTCCCGAAAGCCACTGAAACCCACGCGAGACTGAGGCCCCGTGAGCGTAGCTGATATGGCCATACTTCGCATGGGTAGGCTGTGAGGAGATGTGTCCTGCGCACGCAGGTTAGTATATACAATTATGATGTTGTGTTGTATATAATATAAGAGCTTCGATGAGGAAAGGGACAAGCAGGACCGAGCAAATACTTTCTTGCGTAGTTAGTTTCATCCTCAAAGGTACATTCAGAGAATCTACTGTTCATTTCATGTTGAGCTTGAGCCTCTTGGTCTTGTTTCCAATCCCCCCAAGCATCAATGCCATAGCCTCGATGCAGTAACCAGGAAACACCCAGCGCTGTATTGTAAATATAGCCAGTTCCTGCAATTCATCAATATCTGGCACATTCTCGGCCAGCCACGGATTGAGAGCTGCGATAGTTACAAACACCGAAGATGCAAAGACCCTAGAATGTTAGTCCATCATCCCTAGTGGTAAGCGAAATTAGCACTCACGAATGGATGATAATTTCCGTTGACGAAGATGGCTCGCTGAATCTCCTTGCAGCAACCCGAATATATTGACTGCAGCTATAGACAGTCGTTTGGCAGATTTCAAGTAAGGGCTGTGGAAGACGAATGTCCGAAGGAAAACTGCATGCAAAAAGGAAAAATGGGCGAAAGATTATGTCCTTCGCGGAATGATGACAAAGAGCTATCATGGCGTCTCGAGTGGAGAGGTTTGTTTGGGCCAAGTCAGACTTAATACTTTGCGGAATCAAATCGTACCAGTTGTTTAACTGCACATCCAGCTCCACTGAAACATTCAGGCTAGAACTCATTAGTCGGATGATAACTCCTTCCTCTCGTCCCCTGCATTCATCCCTTGTCACGTAGTCTGCTTGGAGAAGATACTATTGATCATCGGCATACATGGCGTGATGCACGCGATTCAGAAGTCGACGTGCCGACAGCTCAGCTAGCCAGGCAAGTAATGATGGAGTCGGAGGATCCCCGCATAGTGGAAGATGTAACCTATCAACGAGGTTCTCAATACCACTTCGTGGCAGGTGATGCTCTTCAATGAGATCGCTGAAATACGCAGGTCAGCCATGATTGGAAAGAAAATGGTGGTTGCCTGACCATTCAAGCGAAAAGATCGCCCAGCACAATTGTATTAGTGATTGACTTCGACCTTCGCGCATATCTGAAGATGGCTTGGACCTAATAGGTCATTCAGCTTCTACTAACATCACTGCGACCTAGACTCAATTCGGGCTCACCTTAGCCAGAGTCGCTGGAAGCTGGTGGATGCCATGTGAACAAGCTTCCAAGCATCGAGTGGTCGAGCGAGATAGTTGTAATACAGGGCGGCAAGATACAGACATTGCGGAAGGGCAGGCGTATGGATAGCCGTATTCAAGTAAGCGTCTAGAATGATAGACAATGCCGGCAAGAGGTAGACACTTCCAGGATACCAGTCTGCATCAAGACTTTTCGGAGGTTGCATTGTCGCAGCTTCTGCTAATGCCAGCATCAATAGCACGAAGCCGGTCTCTAAAGACGCCTGCAAAGGTTCCGATACCACCGAGTGGTAATGCGCGATGCAGTCCTCAACGGAGAGAATCGGATGTTGCAGGTTGACTGTTTGGAAGTAAACATCCATTAGGCTATCTGTCGTCGCACGATTCAATAATGGCTTCTCTGGAGTGATCCTCGATTGCAATGTTACTTTCAACTGATCGGGTAGCGTTCGGCGCTCCTCTATCCGAAGAAAAACATCACTTGGGTAATCGCCCAGGAGTGGTCTCACTAAAGGGCAGGACAACAGGGATCCGGTGGTTGTTGAGTGCCATAGTGGTATAGTCATCGGAGGTATATCTACTGTCTTTGAAATTCGGGAAGTCCCGCTTGAAGCGGTCGGGGTATTATTAGATACGCCAGATCCGGCGGGCGATGTAAAACAGACACTGAGGGAGTGATAGGTCTGATCTTGCAATGCATGGGCGTCAAGGCGGATTCAGCCGCTGTATGTGCGGTTCTTAGCTGGCTGAGAGCATTCGAATGTTCTCTCAGCGCAGACTCTATCTGGTCCAGCCGTCCTGCAATGGCAGATAACGAAGCCTCCGCGTGAAACCTGGCGGACATTTGGAGAGAGGGAAAAAGCAAAAGAAGAAAAAGAATATCTCCATGGTTGAAGCGTAATTACCTTCGTTGTTGAACATCTACATATCGGCATTCGACATCGGAAGCCGCGCAATTTACGCAAACAGGTCGTTCGCCATTGCATTTTCGTTTTCTGGGGTTGCGGGTCGGTCTGGGTTAATATATTGTGTGCCTTGCCTCTCTAGTTTACCTCTGACGACAGAATGTACAAGCTATCGTAGCTCAACGAGGACCACGTTGCTCGTAGTAGTCCGTTGACCTTGACATTGCTGTTGGACGGAGGAGACGTCGTTCCCCGAGTCTGATAATCCGTCGTTCCACGTGACGTGTCTGGTAAGTCGGGTCTACCAAGAATGATATGAACTGTCCTTGAATCTTTATCATCATGTGTCTACCTTCTGTTTCTGATTTTAAACCCTAACTGAATCGTTGTGTTATCCTTTTCTTGCTACATCGTACGAGGTGGTCATCACTTTATCATTTCCATGAACAAGAAGTCCAGTCCCGGTATCGCAACTAGCGAAACTATGCACTAGGTCTGGAACTTGAATCCACGATTGCAAGAAATCACACAACCAGTAGTCCAGGGAGAGTCAGATCCCGAGAACATACCGACCACGGCGGCAATTTCTTTCCAATACGCTGGTCGGCGACCACCCATCTTCTCAATAGTCAACTTGACTAGCGAAGGGTCATCCACACCTTCGCGCACCGCAGACAGAGGGCAGTTCAATTAGAAGAGCTCCATTTGTTTCCAGAACTTCTCACCAGCGGCGAAGTACATATAATCCTTGCTTCGAGGCTTTTGATCAACAGGGAGTGTCCTATCGCCTGCAGGTACTCTCCGATGACATCCCCATTTTGTCGGTGGAAGCTGCCTCTACTATGGGCTGGGAGCGTTATTCTCATCAGCAATTTGGTATTGACCGTTTCAGAGCTTCGGGGCACCCAGGTGAACTTTTTAAAATGTTTGATTTGACGCCGGATGGCGTCGCTAAGCGCGCGGTTCTCACGGTATCTTTCTACGCCAGAGAATCTTCCGTCAAGAAGCAGCAGCAGACTGTGTTGTTCCCGATCCGGCGGGCATTTGCACCGATTTTGTGATTGTGAAGGTTTCGCGATCATAGTCCAATGGTGTAAAGTTTCAAAATAGATGAGAAACAAATATACGCTATATTGTTGTTTGGTTTGCTTTCTAAAATAGACCAGTGCCAACTGTCCCTAAGATTTAACCCCCAGTGTGAGGATGTCGAGATCTCTCGAAGCAACTCTCCGCGATATCGTCCCTTGGGCCTTCTGTTGCCGGTTAAATCCCTGCTATAATCGATGTCGTTCTTTCCTTATTGCACAGGCGGTCGCCAAGGAGTTGATCAAGGCCAATGTAACCGGAAGCATCGTCTTCGTGGCCAGCATGAGTGGATATGTCTCTAATAAGAGGGTCGACACCGCCGGATAAAATGCCTCCAAAGCTGCTGTTCACCAGCTTACTCGTTCATTAGCTGCTGAATGGGGCTCGCGGGTCGGCATGCCACTCATTCGAGTCAACTCTCTGTCTCCTGGCTATATTCGCACTGCAGCAAGGGCTGAAGCGCTGCAGAAGCCTGGTATGGAGGCTCAATGGACTGGTGATAACATGTTGTTCCGCCTGAGTACTGTGGATGAATTTCGTGCCCCGGTCTTGTTCATGCTTGGAGACGGCAGTAGCTTTATGACCGGTACGGATCTGCATGTTGATGGAGGACATTGTTCCTGGTAGTCTCACGTGCGCCCTGGTTACTACTTCAAAAACTGTGATTTCTTTTTCTTCTTCTTTCTTTTTTTTTTTTTTTTTTGAATGGTTGAATCCTTGACAGTTGAATATTAGACCGAATATCTTAGTACAACGGCCTATTAGGGTGGTGACGATTTAGAATCCAACCTTGACAGAAAGCGGGACTTGAAATCGTCAAGAAGTCTCACTACGTGGCTATCGTATTACTACAAGATGTGTGAAACCCATTGGATAATAAACCATCAGGTTAATATCCTTGACGGACAGATGATAGCACAAACCTAGTATCCAGTTATACAGCGATTGTCTGCCCTTCATTGATCGTTGTCGTGATCAGCATTACGCCGAACCAGCTGTGGTGAGAAAGTCAAGTTGGCACTATAATATGATTGACTAGGTATTGGTACTCCATTCAAATTCCTATAAATAAGCTCAGAGAAAGGGTGAAATCTTCCTAGACTTGATTGCTCGCACCATGGGTGGCGTAAACCTAGCTTAGTGTATACGAGGGCCCTAAGTTTACCTCGTTCCTAGGTACTTTTAACGTTCGTGCACTTCCAAAATGCTATGACCTGACATCCAAACGATCAAGACCATTCCTGATATGCCTTTAATGAATTAAATCTTCACCTGCTCGTATAATTCCCTGTTCCGGGATATACATTTCTCTCCATCAACGTAGTTCTCCTGTGACTATCGGCTCTCTAAAGTCTGTTGATAATGAATATAGCGTTTTCGCCAGATCTTATCGCCCCAAGCTTCCCCGCATTAATTAAACACCTCGCGGAAATTGACGCTATTGGACTGTCGCTCCAACTATCCCTTCTTGCTCTACGTCGCCTGCTCCACCCCCGCATTTATGATGGGGAACTCTAGTGATCGTCGTATCAAATAGTTTATCCGTGCTCAGAGGGTGAACAATGTCGCAAAGAACTCAGTGTCATGGTTTGGAATGGAGTGAAGGCTGGTGCGCGGAGTTTTCATAAACTACTACTATAAAACCCCAAGGGCGCCATGAGCAGAATTCGTACAGAAGATTAGCTCTTCTGATTTTTACTCTAACATTACGTGGAGTAATTACAACAGTCGTGATGGCACCGGAAAGCAGGGATATTGACCCAGCATGGCCACCTGGGACTGTTCGCATTGAAGGTATACAGGAGCACTACATGGTTACATGTTCCATTTATGGCCGTTTTGCTAAGCATTCCATATAATAGGAGCTTCCGAGTCTGACCAGGGTTCGAACATTATCCTCCAACCAAAACCGAGCCATGACCCCAACGATCCGCTCGTGAGTTTGAGCATCTGCGAGGGCAAGAAAGACCCGCTGACATACAAGAGAATTGGTCCACCTGGCGCAAGCACCTCAACTTTTCCTTGGTTTCCTACTATGTGATCATGGTTTTTGCATTGTAAGTCCTATCCACTACGGCCATATGTTTGAGTCTGTCTCACGACGCACCCAGAATTGATGTGGCGACGGTAACCTGGGGTCCTGTAAACGCCGAGCTCGGGTTCAGTTTCGAGATCCTGAATGACAGCTACGCAGCAGGATGTGGGGCTCTCTGCATCGGAAGCGTGATTATTATCCCCTTTGCCCTTAAATATGGTCGACGGCCGGTATACGTCTTCAGCACTGCCTTCCAGTGTGCTATCAGTGTGTGGACGGCACGGATGATGAACGTCGCGGACTTGATGGTGGTCAATATTCTGAGCTGCGTCGTGGGGGCATTGGCAGAGGTGCTGGTTCAGATGACGGTCGCAGATATCTATTTCGTCCACCAGAGGGGTTTGATGAATGGGATCTACGTCTGGATCATGACAGTAGGAACTAGTCTATCTCCACTGGCCGGCGGCTACATCGTGGACTCACAGGGCTGGCGTTGGGTTTGGTGGTGGATGGTAATCTTGTTTGGTGCTGGATTCGTCGCTTTTCTCTTCCTGTATGAAGAAACAAAGTTCGTTGCGACCTCGACTGAGGAGGCTCCTGCCTCCATGCCACCAGAAAAAACCCAAAACAGACAGGGAAGCTTTGAACATCAAGAAAACGTGGCGAAAGATGAGGAGAATCCACAGGAAGTTAACAAAATTGGAAGGGAGGTTGAGCCAGGTAACTGGATCGACCCTTCGATTCCAAAGAAGACCTATCTGCAGAGGCTTGCGCTGTGGACCATCTCACCAAGCTCTCTGGCCAATTTCGCACGTTATAGCTACGAGCCCTTTGTCATGCTTTTCACAATTCCGGCCATATTCTTCATGGCCGTTGTGTATGGAGCCATGACAGCTGCGGTGACTGTTACTGTCACAACGCTTTCATCGTGGATGACCATTCCGCCATATAATTTCACTGCCGCACAGATTGGCCTGATGGGTCTCCCCTCGTTTATTGGCACGTCCCTGGCGATTCTCCTCGCAGGGCCCTTGAGTGACTGGCTCATTATCCTTCTGGCGCGGAGGAATAATGGGATCTATGAGCCTGAGATGCGTCTTTGGCTATCCTTAGCATTTACTCCCTTCGTACCTGCTGGGCTGATCATGTTTGGAATTGGTTTAGATAAGGGGCTTCCGTGGCCAATTCCTGCTGTAGGCCTCGGACTGGCCTCCTTTGGCTCAACACCGCCCAGCAGCGTCTCTCTGACGTATCTTACAGATGCCTACACCGAAGTAAGTTGCAATCCAAATAATTTCTCTCTGCTTTGACTGCTCACAGGTCAATTTTGACAGATTGTGGCGGGCTCTCTGGTAGGTGTTACCTTCATCCGCAACTTAATCTCGACGGTCTTCGTTTTTGCTCTGGCCCCCTGGATCGCCAGTTCCGGATTGACGGGGTTTTATATTACATTCAGTGTGATTTTAACCGTCATACTCCTTGGCAATATTCTGTTTATCATATACGGGAAGAAACTCCGGGTTCTCGGAGCGAGGAGATATCTGTACTTTGCAGGGAACCAGATCGACCTCCGCGAATAAGTATTCATATGCCTATTGCAGGCTTATGCCGGAAGCGAGCTATAATGCCAATGAGACTTGAGGGTCAGTGAAGCATACCGGTGACCATTGTTATTTTCCATAGCAGTCATTGCTGCGCCTGAGAATAGACGCAGAACGGCCTGATTGGTAACATATTATTATTCCCAATTGGAAACGTTTTATCTTGTTGCTATTGTTGTCAACACTCCATCCTGGTAGATAAAATCGGAGACCACTGTAAGACTCGGGAAGGGATTACATAAATATCCCCTTCCCTGGGGGTGTCGATAGAAGGATCAGGATGATAATAGAACACTTTCCTATAAGGAGATCCGGTCACTTGGGTAGCATCTAAGCGCCCAACTAACCCTCAGCCTTGTACGGCTGATCTGGATGTCAATCGCCATCCAACCGTATCTGTCCAGAGGATATCAAAAACGGGGAATCGAACCAAATGCCCTATGCCAAGCCCCTCGGAAATATTCTACATCTCCACATCGCTTAGCTTTTGTCGATCATATCTTTCCTCAGCATAGCCTACAACCGAATTTCCTGACTAGGTTAGCGGATAGTGAGCCTTGTTGGCAAATGACAATAGACCTCCCGACCAAAACCTTTGATTTCGTTGCAAAATAAGATGAGATGGGGGCGGTGCTGCCGGTAGCTGAAGCTTGTCTCAAAAGAAGTTGCCGAATCGAAATATCCACGGCCCCACTAGAATGAGAACTGGATTCCGTTTTAACACATCATAGTGCGTTGATCATGACGGCTCTCCCTTTCCTGTCACATAGTCCTAAGCCACATATAGATTATGGAGTGGGTTGCTGCTGTTGAGAACAGTCGCAGAGGGTCTTTACTACTCTATATCTTGTACTAACTGGTTGTGTAGAAGGTGTACTGCCAGGAGATGCGTTGGTTTATTATCGGATACATACCCTTTGTTCACCGCATACCCCCATGCGTTACTACATCCTTGTCGACAATGATGGATCAGGACATAAACCACCTTTTTATTTTATTTTACTTTTTTTTTTTTTTTTTTTTTGCGCTGCGTAGCCACCGTGCGGCCGTAAGCACAGACTAGCCCTGCGCCCCAGACTGGGTCGAGCTGAACGATCTGGAACAATATCACCACTGGAGGCCCAAGCCCTGCCGCAAGCTGGGGTCGGTGACGTTGATGAGAGGGCAGATCCCTCCCAGACATGATATAAAATGACTAGAGGCCCTCTCCTGGGACCTGGATTCATCTGTATTGGTTCTTCTCTGCATCACTCACCCTTCTATATCTTGCACTCAAAGTACTCTATATCTTTGGCTTTATTTTAATATCTGTCTACAATACCCATCCATCCAGTACCATGGCTAATCGTGATTACTATGGCAACAACGTCCCCCTCGATTTGGTAGGGGAACAGGAGAGCCGGCAGTTTCCTCATACTCAAACTCAAACTCAAATCCAGAGTCAAGACTCACGGTCTAACTTTAGTCAAGTATGTTATTCATCTCACCAGCTATGATACACCCACCGGGAAAGTCTAGGAGGCTAATAAAAGTTAGTTCTCCGACCAGGATACTGACAACCCTATGCCCGCTCCAAACGCCACCCAACACCCCCCCTACGAACAAGACCAAACGCAGTTGCGGGACCCAGCCAACCCCGAATATGGATCGAACAGCGCGGAGGGAGAAAAAGGGCTGGGATCAACTATCGTCGGCGGCGCGGGGGTATAGTTTCCCCCCCCCCCCCCCCCTTCCCCGGACCGCGCTCCCATTTCCAAAGGAAAGACATCTAACTCATTCAATCCAGGGCGCGTTCGTCGGTCACGAAGTCGGCAAGAAGTCAGAGCATGGCATACTTGGCACGATAGGAGGCGCGATTGCTGGAGCGATTGCTGCGAATATAGCTAGTCATGCGGTCAAGGACCATGGACAGGATCATGGACACAATCAAGGGTATGATCATGGACAAAACCAAGGGTACGGTCAAGGGTACGATCATGGCTACGATCATGGCTACGATCATGGGTGCGGTCATGGGTGCGGTCATAGGCGTAGAGCTAGGCATGGGTGTGGGCTTGGAGGGAGACTTAGGGAGCGGAAAATCGAGAGGTTAGAGAGGAAGTTGGATAGATTACAATGATTCTGTATGGATCAAGGGTGTCAGGATGCAGCGTGTCGATTATATTTGAGGGTTTTATTACCTGTTTTGAGTTCCTCAGGCTTCAATGAAATCGCGGTCACTATCACCTATCCCCTTGAGTATCCGTTCAACTTGACTTCAACCGAGGGAGTTAATGATACCTGATCACTATTTATGTGAAGTGGAATCTTTGGGATCGTGCTCTTTCACCAAGAGTTGTTTGGCTGTCAACTCGGGCATGCTATGCGGACATGAATTGGCAAATCAACTACATGGCATGACGAATGATAATACGATACCACGACATCGAATTAATTCTGTGGGAATAGAGGCTATTTGTACGAACGGAACCCCGTGAGCCACTACCCACTACATGTCATACTTATCGGGGCCAATGCCATGCGCATACCTTGTGGCAACAACCCCAAGGGTAGGCATTACAAACCGGCCAGACTAGTGTAGCTCGGCTGGGTCACTCACACGCGTCAAGGGAAAGAGCTGTAGGTAATAATTATTGGCCCTGCCTTCACGGTTTGTATCCCGCAGATGTCCGACATGCGTTTTGCGTACAGATAAAGCCGGATAGGCTTTTTGGCTCGGCTATCACATCGTCCGTCTACACATGGCGCAGTCGCGGGGATTGAAAGCGCCAAATGTCTGAAGCAGAAGATGCGATTCCTACATATGATAGTTACAAAGTATGTGACGTGGTAGAGGCTGAACTTCATGCGGAACCAAATCGGCCCCACCGTAACAGACTTCAACAGCTTGTTTCCGCCAGTGGTGGTGTTGAGATTCTGGTAGAAAGGTGAGCGAGTGCTTCTGATAAATAAATGTCGTGGGAGAAGCTGAATTGGGTAAAACACTGTAGGCATGAGTCAGGAATAGCCCCTCGCTGACAAGAGTATTCATAGCTCGATATTTCTAGTTACCTGGTATCGTAGGACTATATATGCCTACTGCCATTGTCCGATAGAGATGTCTGGGGCTCAATGAAGTCTCGGTGAACAGTCCATTATCCTCACAATATCCTCCCAATTCGCTGTTGCCCATACGAAGGGGACAATCGAGGATCACAACCTCGACAAGTTCTAGAGTATCTGCTGCAGTCATTCGTAGCTTGCGGAGGGAATATTGTGTCTTTCTCATGTGTATCTAGAAGCGCAGTGCGCACATGTTTCCGTACCCGGAGTTCAAGCCCTGGATGTATAGCACAATTGGATGAGGCTGAGCTCCATATATAGTGTAAAATGCTCGACTTCGTTAGTACTAAAGTTACATAGTACTCTAGATATGTCCATCGCTCTTTCCTAAACTGAAGTACTGAAGGATGGTCAACAAGATATGTCGTAGAGTAATTGTAAACAGTGACACATACGCGCCCCCAGCATACTATCTCTGCATTTGCCACGAAAAGCCTTCTTACGTTTACTCTCATCATCCAGTACACCAGCATGCCGTTCAAGAATCCATTCAAGAAGTTAGAAGTGCTAGTGAAGAAGGCCCGGACTTTGCTACAACCTGGGCAAGGCGTACCAGGGGGGATAAGCCTAGAAGAACTGGAGTCGATGATACAAATTCGGAAAATGCCATAGAGATTTTGAAGAAAGGTTATGTATCCATAGCATACAGCAGTATGACTATGGACGATGTAGAAAGGCTTTTCGGAATTTCGAAGCAACCTATACCTATGGACTTCCCATCTTGGGAAATCCCAATTCCCCAAACTCTGGGTAAGCTATGCTAACTGGGATAATATGAAGGACACTTCGATTCATTATCCGTGTAGCCGAGAACCTGCAAGATTTTGATACTGTGACCGATGGAAGCCTCGAGAGTGAGGCGTTTGCCAGGGTCAGAATAAACATCATCCTACAAGCCGTCCTAAGAGAACGGAGGCCTTTCGCCGCTTCCCAAGCTCGAACTTTGCACCTGGGGTTCGAGACCCCAATGAGCATCACCCTTTCGCAAACGGTCGTAACCAGCGGGAAAGCAGATTATTCGCTGTGGTATACCTCTCACGAGGACCGGGCGCACCAATTGATAATAGTGGAGGCCAAGAAGGCGAGGCATGTAACTTCGGGACTGCCCCAATTATTAGGGTACATGGGTAAGCATTTCTAGTTGTTACGCTGTATATATCTATCACAAAACTATACATCTAACATTAAGCTAGGTGCCGTCCAACTCGCGCGACGTACTGCGCAAAAGTCAAATATCACTGTTTTTGGCGTCCTTACCGACTCATATCAATGGGATTTTGTTCGTGTTCATAACGATGGGAAAGTAAGGAATCTCGCACTTGATTTTGTAATATCCAATTCGTTACTAACATTCTATAGTATTCTTTGATCACGTTTCGATGGAATGCAGGGCAGTCTCAGAAAATCTGGGATATCCTCAACTGGATGGTCGCTTATGCTGAGGTTCAGTCCCCTCTGTGCTCAGAGCTTTCATGAGCAATTACCTCAGTAGAATTACTTTCATAGGAAAAAAAGTTGGGAATGATCCCTTTAACTTCAACGTGAGCTGCAGGATAATAATATTGTCATTAGACAGGGTCGGTTGGCTCACATGTTTGTGCTCGATAATCTTCATGCCGGAGGTGTCTCGACTTGGCCGAGCCTGAGAGATAAGAGAGAACCTCCCCATAAGGCCCTCTGGGTGTGATGCAGACGTAGCTGCTATTCTACTATAGTTCAGGCAGAAATAATACTGGTGCTAAGAGAAATACCAAAGTTTGACTTTTGCCAATATAGAGTGAATAGCAACAACTACGGTCCGACTAATGTAAATTGTTGCAACCGTCCCTTTAGGGCATTCCTCGCCAGAACGTTTTCGAGGCGAGCAAGATGGAAGGCAATAGGGGGTGATTAATCTGTGGGGAGAAAAGGGAAGGGCAAAAGAGCAGACAGATAGGCTAACAGCAAAACAGTGTAGGAAAGAATATCACGAAGCTAGTCTGGCTCTCCCCCAAGCAAGGTTACGTCCCTTTCCTTGCACCACTCGGGGAACCAGGCTTGCTTTCTTGGCTTGGGATCATCGGGATCAGGTATAATTGTGGGGTAACCGTCGTAGTCCTCGGTGTTGATCGTGAGGTCAAACTGGGCGACATATTGAGTTAGAACGGCATCTCTTGCCAGTGTCTTGCGGCTTCTGACTTTTTTCATGAGCAACGGATCTACCCAACATAAGAAAGGTAGAAGGCCTGGTGAAAAGGCTCCGATGTCTACCCAATATTGCACATTCTCCATGCGGATATAATCTCGGTTTGGCGTCCACTTAGCGTGGGTATCCACCGTTCCACGATGATGACTATAGGGCCTATCGGGGTCTTCAGGGTTCCAGAAACACACAATCGAATTTGGAGGCTGCTGAAGAAGCATACGCCGCCAGCTCGCCTCGGGCCGCAGGTATGCCTCCTCTCTCTTTTTTGATGATATGTAGGGAATTCCATGGAGTCCTCCGCATAGCCAACCACTAACTCTTGGACGTGAGTAGAGTTGTGTGCGAATAAACTCAAACCATATTTTTTCAACCACGAGTGGATTTTTCACTCTTGGCTGGCCTGGCGCTACCGTATCCGAAGGAATATAGAACAGTGCTTGCTGTATCTTGCGGGAGCTTTGGATCAGGCTATTCCACGTGCAACAGACTCGAGCTGAAATTAGCAATGTGTGCATGTCTAAACTCAGTAGGATGTCTTCCAGAATCTCGGGGATGAAGAATATCCTGGATGCATCGGACAGGCGTTGGGCCCTGCTTTCAGGAGGCGTGGAGCGCGTGCTTCTCTCCAATGAAATATTCACCGCTGGATCAGACATCGTAGCTATGACTGAGGATCTCGGATGGGTTTGGAAAATGAGTTCTTGCTCACTGACTTTAGGAAATTGGAAGTGCTGGACAAGCTCGGTGAAAAATGAGTCACCCAGATATCGTGTCAACATAACATCATCGCCTTGGGAGCTCAGCTGCGTTACCGCCGCCCGTTAAGGATGGAAGCTGGAGGTAATGTGAGTGAACGGTGTGCAAACGTATCCATCGTTTGTGAATTGACATTAAGAAAGTCGAGAATGATCTAGCTGATAGTCGCCTACTACCTCGGATACGGCGCCTACGTTGAAGCGTGAATGTTCTATAAAAGCTACTGTTTGTTGCTAACACCAACCAACCACGTACTCACAACCGCATACATAATCAGTCCGTCATAGACTTGCATCGATTTACCCGGTCGGAGCCCTCCTCATCGACCCTTAGTGGGCCTAAATTACCATCGCACAGAGTTGCAGTAATAGGAGTTGATGCCATGGCGGGTTCAGAGCGCGGTTCCCTGAGTTTGCCGATGGATCTTGATCAGAAGCCAGAACACCCAGGGAAGTATGGCTATTATACACCAGATTCTGTATGCAACATAGCTCTAGCCTTAGACATGGTTGCCCCATTAATAAAGCACACACTAGTGTGCTTCTCCCGCAGAGCTCATGAGACGCCAATATTTGCTGACCTCACCTGCCCTTCACACAGGTGTTTAACTATCTCCACACATACAAACACACACACACACACACACACACACACACTTTCTCTCTCTCTCTCTCTCTCTCTCTCTCTCTCTCTATTTCAGTGACACTCGTGCATGCCTACTGTGCTTAAAGCTCCCTGATAGGCCCAGTATAGATGTGTCTGGCACGTGCAAAGTAGTATCCAATGGCAAGAAAGCTGCTTCCCCCTGTACCGAGCACGCTCCAGTTCATACTTTCGACGCTCGGGTGCATCTCAGAGGGCCAAAAACTGAAAAAGACGACAATCATAATGTACACGACTGCGAACGCGTTAATCGCGATACCCCAGACACCCTGGCATTGGAATGGTCCCCAGGCAAGCTTCGCACCGGGCACATTGACAACGTCGTCACCACTATGATTATATAATGAAATATCACCCCTGACACGCCGGTAGAGGAGGAGGATTGAAACCATGAGATAGGAAAGGTACAAGGCAGATACTGCCATTGACACAATGGCATCTAGGGCAACAGAAGAACCAATATTAATGAGAGCTAACATCGCACTGACGACGACTGTAAGTATAATAGACTGGACAGGTAGCTCCTGGAACGAGGAAACCTTGAATAAGTGATCATTAGCTGAGAGAGCAGTGCAGTAAAATAATTCTTCTTACCTGACTCCACCAACGCCAACCCGGAACTCCTCTGTCTCGAGAAAAGGACCAAAGCTGACGAGATGCCGCCGCTAGCAGACCCATAAGAGAGCAGCAGTATATGATGATTAGAATGGAGCACATGAATAGTGAGCCAGGCAGAGAACGAGTAGCCTTATAGAATATTTCCATAAAAGGGTACCCAGTGGGAGAGTTCAACGCATCTTCAAGGTCGCCAGCACAAAAGAGAACGGCAATCAGCATACCGAAGCCGAGACAACCATTCAGTACAATACTAAGTATTAACGCGTGCGGGATAATGCGTGATGCATTTGCGACTTCTTCGGACATCTGTTGGAACAATTTAATATACATCACATAATCCTATAGTAAGCCAACAACTTACATGGACAGCGGCATCACCTCCAGCGAAGCCAAAAGCACAGCTAGTCATCCCGACGAACCAAGATAATCCCTGTGTGCTGAATCCCCCGCTATTCAAAAATCGTAAAAACACTTCTTCCTTTGGCTTATGGTCCGACAGGCAGGTTAATGGGATCATAATGCTGAAAAATCCAAGGATATGCACGACCAAAAGGACAGACTCAATGCGAGGCAGGAGCTTCCCGCCCAACAGGTTCACAAGCAATGCGCATAATAGTGTAGCCCAAACAATCAAAGTGCCTTGCCAAGATAATGATTTATAGAGACTGTTTCCCAGGATCGCAGCGCCCTGGATCATTGTTCCGGTCATAAAGGCACACGATGCAAGGGCAGTCTGCCAACCAAGAACAGCCCACCAACCTAATTTTGTCGGGTCTCAGTGAAGGTCAATGATAAGAATGGCATAAAAGAGTACCTGAGATATAGCTGAGGAACTTCTGATATCTGATGGGGGCAAGCATGGCAGCCCAGTGATATTGCCCTCCGGCAGTGGGTGCCCTATTTTATGATTAGCTCCAGGATCCAATCCAGTTGGGACGAACGACATACATCGAAGTCAATTCCGACAGAACCACAAAAATAGCTGCGGTGCCCACCCACGCAAAAATGAAGGCATAGACAGTCCCACCAGGTCCGCCACTGATATGTTAGCATTCTTTGCAGAACACCAGGCTCTGGCGCGGGAGTACAAACTTCTGTAGAGGCCTAATGAAGGTACTAGACAAGCTGTTAGTGCTAGAGCCGTTTTCAAATGGAAACCCGCTTCAAACTTACCCAAGCAGACCTTCCCACGTACCCAGAAGAGTGCAGCTGAAACCAAAGATCGAGACAATGCCGAAATTTCGCTAAGAAAGTGAGGTATAAGTCCTCTGGAGCTGTGGGTATTGGTGAGCTTAAGACCATTGTAGCTTACCTTAAGAACTGGTTTCTTTCCCATTTGCTGAAGACGCCGATTATCCTGTTCTTCGAGGGGCGTACCGCCGGCACTGGTGATGGAAGCATGATTCTTTGGCACATAGGTCGCCATAATGTAGAAAAAATTATAAGAATAATAGTAAATAAATAAATAAAATGAAATACAATAGAATAAACCGGGAGATAGAGCTAAGGAGTAAATTAGACGGCATTGAGAGAATGAAGTGAATTCGAAAAGGAAAGGTTGCAATTGGGGAGAACGCCGTTGGACGGAACCCCTTGCTGAGATCGACATTCACCTCCCCTTACATGGTGTACGCCTCAAATGGCAGGAGCTGGGAAAAGAGTGGGATCGTATACTATTTCCTTCGAGGAGATCGCATCTGTCCAGTACATCGTTTACACCATGAATTTGCCCAATGGTCTTGACCTATCCAGATAGTATAAGATTTTTTAAATTGTGTCCTGTTATGATATCATGTAATCCATTCAAAACAAAACATTGCATTTGTCATTTCATATTAGAAAAAAGTAGGTTTAAGCACCTAAGGTAGTTAAAGCAGAAGCGCGTGCATCAACTATTTCTTGCCAATACCCAGGACCGCGACGCCTTTGCATACGTTCCCATTCTCCTCGAGGATCTTCACATACTCTTCACGAACATGACCTTGCTCTTCAGCAGTCAGGTCACCTAAGACCATCTTACTACCGGGGTTGGAACTTGTGCACATCATCTCGGCAAACTGGTTATGGTCTTCAACAACCCAATTAAACTCGACGTACTCGGTATGCACGTCGCGGAACCCAGCAGATTCTAGCTCTCCCTTTACTCCAACAAGGTCTTTCCAATGTGCCGGGATTATATTGCTCCCCTTGGGTTGGGTTGACTTCGACCGGATTGTCAGATATCGCATGGAACAAGAAGCAAATGATATGGGAAATCTTACGGTATTATCCTTCCCGACGGGTCGCACCTTGTGGGCCGCTTGAACCAGAAGTTCCATCCACTCAACCTTTGCCCAACTTGTACATGCAAAGACGCATCCAGATTGCAGTGCCCGATGAGCCTCTCTCAGACCCTTCCTTGGGTCCGGGAGCATGAAGTAGACCAGGCTCCCCATGATATGGGAAACGCTATTCGAGGGAAATTCAGACAGATCCTGTGCATCCACTACGAGCGTCTCGAGTCGGCCCCAGCAATTTGCAGCGTCGCCTCCGGCTATTACCTTCGAGTCTTTCTTAGCTCTGGTCGCTGCCACCATGCCTGCGGAGTAGTCCGTCGCGACCAGTCGAGTTTCTGGTGGTATATTGTTGCCGTAGGTATCGATCAGCAAACTAATCGCAGTGCCGGGACCACATCCAATGTCCAAGATGGTTGTGGCCGATGAAAAGCTGAGGGTGTTCTGTAAGGCGTCAATCATGCGCTTGCAGGGAATCAACAGTGGCCCTTCGAGGGGGACTTTGGCATATTCGGACGCAGTGCTGTCCCAATCAGACGACTTGATATTACCAATCTGCATTGTGCAAGTGGAGAAGGAATTCAATGGCTAGTCTTGGAAAGACGAAAACAGTAGGATATAAGTGCAGCTTGTTTATAACCTCTGAACAGTTTGATAGAACAAGAAAGAATTACCCTATCGACGACGGTGTTTTGGTGCTCGTATTTATATCGAGAAGTGCCATAAGGCACCAAGTTACCCACTCGGAGCCTTTCGCGGAGACTTTTCCAAAAAAAAAAAATAAAAATAAAAAAAAACTACTCTTTCGCAAATCAAATTTTTGAAATTACACCACGGCCCCACGCCAGAAACGGCTCAAAATTTGCCCAGTTTCTTGTCCAAACGAGAGCTATGTCCTGATACCAGTATCGACCTGGTAGGAGATAGTGCTGAGTCGCGTATAGCCCCCGGACCCTGTGGGCACTGCCGACGCGACCAGCGATATAGCAAGACCTCTCCAAAAACACATATTAGGCCACAACTACAAGGCCGCCAGTTTACTTGAATATCTCAAGAATTATAGCTCAGATATCCTAAAGTATATTGTCGAGTTTATCTAGACCAGCTGGGCCCTGACTGACACCCTATCCCACTGTCCAGTAGGGGACGAAGGTCCAGCTGGATAAGATACAATGTGTAATTATTAATATCCGAAGGAATATTTTAATAAACTTACAATTTGGACAGAGAATTCTATTAGGATATATACTTAAGCGGCGGCCAGAGCTTCTCCGCTATATTATTATTAATCTAGTTATAGATCGAATACCCAAGGTGGGTCAAAAGTGAAGATACTAGCGCGTTCCCGCGACGTGTCAAAAAATCGCAACTTTTTCAACCACCTACAATTTCATCAAAATGAGGGCTTTTGGGACTGGAATTAGTGGAAATCGAAGTCCTAATTCTGAGCTTTCTAGTGAAAGCCGCGCGGCTATTATATCTGCACTAGAAAACCAGGTATTATTAACTTCATTAGCCAAGCAATTTGGCGTCAATCACAGCACAATCTATTCAACTAAAAAACGCTTTTTACAAAACAACACCCTGCAGTCACTTCCTAGAAAGGGTAGATCTACAAAGCTGAACCATTCTACTAAGCGCTATATATATCTACTAGCGCGCCGGAGGCCTAAACTGAGCTGCAGAGCTCTATGTGCAGGTAGTGGTTCTGGGATTTCTACCTCTACAGTTAAGCGGGTTCTAACGATTTTTCATTTAAAAAAGTAGAAAAGTAAGAAAAGGGTTGCTTTAATATCTGAGATAGCTAGAAAACGCCTTGAATTTGTGCGTGCGTGGTCGAATTATCCCGATTGGAAAGATATCTGTTACGGACCCAGACTAGCGCGGCACGACCAGGATAATATAATGGCCACGATAACGATAAGCGGTGAAATATTACCACTGGCAGAATATTACCGAACCTATAACGTTCGAGTACATAAATATCAGTAGAGACAGAATATTATGACCACAATAATATTAGGAATCCTCGGTGTTAGCACAGTAACACCGATAAAACCTAACCCTGGCGAACACAGATATATCTTTTGTATAGTATATCTGACATAAACAACAAATACCCACAGAAGTCACGTAAACAAAATAGTATATACTCGCCAAGTAATAGTATACAAGTACCATCACAGTATATATAGACTATATGGTATACCATAGACCAGACTGATACTCAGGGATCAAGAATATATAAGAACACGTATTTATATACTTAGCTTAGTTCTTTGTGATCAATCTACTCAGTTACTACAGATACACCTTTTATATTGTTACCAGCTCAACTCGTTTGTACTAACTATCTAACAATTGGGTATACGTACTCAATTGGCCTGGCCTTTCTACCTTGGACTATCATTGTACAAGCATCGTTCGTCAACATCGTTGAATACTCGTCGGATTTATTCAGTCACCATCATTATCGGTCACTAGTGGATTCTAGTCATCGAGGTAAGTCGGATCTAACCAAGATAGCTAACTGGTCGCAGAGTCCTTAGACGAATCCCCGGGCGTAACATCTGCCTCACCGCCACAGTTAAATAACAGATACACCCCCGGATCAAGGATAGATAGGCCAGAGAGTAGAAAACAGAGAAAATAGACTGGACTATATATAAACTAATAGAGATTCTGAATAAAGAAATCTAGATCTCTATAAAAGTCTACTTAAGTTGCATATATCTATTATTATTCAAATAAACATATAGAGAAGAGGATTAATGTACTTTCTCTTTAAGATTAAAGTCTTAGACTCGGATTAATATCACTGTGGCCAGGGAGCTAAATACCGAGATATATTCTTCTATAATATCCCCTATATGTTAAATCCAGAAAGATTATACTGAACAAATTAAATCTAAAAGTCCAAGAGAAAATAGACTATAATAGAATTATATCCTATCCGCAGGTGATACACTATGTCGCCGAATTTATATACTAAACAGGATTGCTTACCCAGTTCTGTGAGGCAGAGATAGAGTAAACTGGTCACCATAAAATAGATATAGATATAGGAGATAATATATAAATAGTTACTCCAGGGAGAACTTGGTCAAACCCTCCTATATATACACTAATACCTACCTACCAGGAGATACTAGAAGGGGCTGGAGACGTAGAATAATATAAGATTAGGAAGATAAGATCTGGGGGGCTATCAGATAGCAGGCGGCTTTAGTTGTGACAAAGCTTTTGATTACTTCCTTTGTAAGTATATGGTGTTATACAGTTAGATTCTAAGCTCCCTGAAACACCTGCATAGCTAGACGTTCAGTAGTTAGGCTCGAACAGGCTAATAGAATCTTGATTGATTGATTGATCGATTGGAGACTTTTCCAAAAGGATCGTTTTCCCGGTCCTATATGCCTAAAATACCCTCGCCACAATATTAGTCAGTATCGTCTTCGGATATGGAGCCAAGAGAGGATAACTGCTGTTCCTTAACCTCACTGAATACACCGATGACTATACATCTGCCCTCAAGATTGGTCGCTGCAGAATCCTTATGTTACTTCATGTGTCCACTCCGGTTTCCTCTCCAGGACCAGCAATCCATTCAAAATCAGGAATTATATTCCACCTTCCTACACTGACCGTGTAAGATCGTGGGTTTGTAAATTATGCAATTCGCGCTTTGCAGAAAGGCTGAAAGGAGGAGATAGTTTCAGGTCATCGACGGTCATACGAAACCGACACACATATGTGGAGCTTGTAGTCACTATCCTAATGTATGTTTCCTTGATTGATTTATAAATGGTTCCGTCACTCCAACGCCAATTGCTGGTAAACCTCCCTGCCCAACTGTAGGGCTATGCATAATGGTGGTTCAGGTAGAGAAGAGCCTCAAGTATCTCTGGAATATACCTTCTGTCGGTGAAGCTTGATTGTATTCGTCCATATCTATAGGTTACATTTACTTAATTGACGTTCTTGCGGAGAATTCTTTAAATCAGTCGAGCAGGGGAGAGTAGGATCCGCTTGCAAGTTGCCATTGATGTGAGGGAGTGGCTTGTTATGGTTTATACCCCCTCCACTATTCGACGAGTAGTACAGTTTAATACTGACTGAGCGGCTAAGTCTATGAAACCATCCACAATTTATGCAATTCTGCACCATGGAAGCTTGAAGTTTGGACGTTTCTGATTGGCATTAGTCCCAGTTAACATGGTAACATTTCAATGCGCAAACCGGGGCCCGGCCTGCTGACCATCCTGCTAGATATTACGCACATCATCATACATGAATCATGCAACAGCAACGTGGGATATTTGCTTGCGGAGATATGTCTCCTGTATAGGACAGCCGTGGTGTCCAGCCACCTCCCAATCCCCAATACCGCGGTCTTTGGGCGCGATCTTCACACCTCTACCCCCACCACCAACAATCAAATTCCCTGGTCGATACTGGGGGTTAAATTTCAGACGGTTGATTGCCGACACGTGGATCTTTGCATCGCTAGGGATATCACGCACTTCTCCGCGAGGAAGGGGCCAGCGAATGGGCTTCCAGGAGCCATCCTCTTGTAAGTCCATGCGACGGAAGGGTATATATTCCATTGCTTTCCAAGACAGGACCGAAGTCCATGGGAGCCCTTTCCGGAATTCAAGGCAATCATGAATCTTTCCATCCGTGCTCGATCTGCGAAGGGCATGTTCGAAATGGGAAATACCAGCCTTTTCATCTGTGGTGTCCGGTGCAATCACAATTGGTTGAGGGTTGCTCATGTGGTTCTCTGGAGACGCCCTGTCCTGCTCTCGGCCCTGGGCCTTACAGCCTGGATCATGCCAGCAGTTGAAGTCCTTCCTCTTCTTGACGCTAAACTTCACACCCGCCTCCTGGGCCTTTTCCACCATCCAGACCAGTGGAGCGTGACTTAAAGCATATCCTTCGCCATCCTCCAACTCCCACCCTCCCCCGATATCCGCGTGGCATCCTGGGAACCACACCTCTTCAATGTCCTGCTCTTCATCCTCCTCGGATTGCATTGATAGGGAAGAACAGCTAGCCGCAGCGCTCGGTAAAGGCTGCTCTGAGTGCTCAGCTCGAAGACGACGTGCCGGCGGCCGGTATGCCTTATGGGCCCTGGTCTGCCCCTGGGTTTCAGCGGCATCCTTGTGTTGCTCTTTTTCGTGGTGATGGCGGTGGTGAGCGGAATTGTGTGGGAGATATAAGTGATGCCGTGCAAGATGATCCCGCACTTGTTGTCGTCGGGAGGTCGGGCCCGTTGGAGTGGACGGTCTCACTTCTCCGATCAGGTCCTGCCGGAACTTCGCCCGGCGCTCGTCAATACTGACGGCATGCCGGATTACCTTGGCTCTGGTGCGAGCAGTATAAGGGAACTTGCTGCGCTGCATCCACGCATTCTCAAATCGAGGCACGCTATTGACCGTATCAAAAAGGCCTAGGAAGCGAATCTGAGACACAGGCCGGCTAAATGTTTCTCGAAACGCCTCCATGTATTTGGATAATCTTTCCTTTTCTCCCGTGTTGCCTCGGCGTTGCTGCCATTTGGCGAATGTCTTCCAAGCGAACCGGAGGAGTTCTTCATTACCTGCCTCGAGAAGGCCGATCTCATCCAACATTTCCGCGAGAAATCGTGCGACATATGCCCCACGACTAAACCCAAAAAAGTAGATATCGTCTCCCGGCGTGTAGTATCGCATGAGGAACTTGTAGCCCCCCATGACATGTTCCGCCAGGGTAGAGCCTATCGCAGCGTCTTTCGCTTTGAGATAGGCCGACCGGATTCTGTGGATGCGACCGGAACTTGACAGTGAGGTCGAAGTCACATATGTCCCAATTCCAGGTTGATAATAATGGAATTGATCCCCACCACTACGATCAAGCATCTAGTCCGGGTCAATCCAGTCCAGATATCGGACGCACGGAACTTACCCTAAAAATCTTGAGCACATTGCTGTCAGATTCATTGCCGGAGAATTTGTTGCCCGTGCCGTCAAAGCACAACACAAATTGCCTTGGTGCTCGGTTAGTTTGCATGATCTTGAAATGATAAACGAACTACAGGGTTACGATGCAGAGTGAAGAGTATACCTTCCGGGCTATGACTGAATGTAGCCCTACAGGCTATGCCATGGGCCTTTTAGCTTCCACAGCACTCTCTGGCAAATTGATGCTTTCGGTAAGTATGGAACTGCGCATTGCTTGATGCGGTCAAGAAACTATGCTCAGTTTGGTCCACAAAACAGTTGCGTTAAAATAGGCATATAAACTCTGAATCGTGATGCACAATTGGCTTGTTCAATTGGAGGCCCAGAGAAGTATAATGTCATACTTCCGCACGTTTCCCATGTCGTGATGTCATTGCCATTGAAGCTGAACTGCGTCGCGTGGGATCGAGCCCGGCATACCATATTGCTTCACAGCAGTTGCCTTCACGCTCCTCAACCCATGGCCGTACATAGTGGCATATACTGTGCTATAGCATACTATTCTTAGATGGCGTTCGTTGGTAATCATCGCATTATGGATCAGAACGTGAACCGTACCGGTCTTTAGCTTCCAGCATTTCGGGCTCAGATGATGTCATCGACTAGCATATCTAGGCTCTATTGAAGGTTAGTAATTATCATGTGGCGTCTAGTCATCTTACTCGCATCTATCTAACGCCTCTAACCTAGACGGTCTTGCGGGACACCTTCACACGCGGCCTACTACAGTAAACTGTGCTTAGTGGGTGCATAGCGACCACATCTAAACATCTCCATGCGAAGGTAACGTCTGAAATGAATTAACCAAACTGTTACTAGTCACACATTGTAGATATCACCTGCCGGCAGTGTGGTGGATAACGATGCGATTCCTACCTGTAATGATTTGCAGCGGACTGAGATTTGCTCATATCGAAAGCTTCGTCTGCATCTCATCTGATCACGACCCTAGGGACCCGTATGATATTACGTAGAATAAACTTAGTCTGATTTGCATTAGATTATCCCATCTTCTCCCCACTCAATTCTGGTCATCTGTTCCACCAGGTTCGTGGCTATCTTTCTCGTCGTTCGATCCAACGCCGTAACAGTGGAGATCCATTCGAACCGCTTCTTCCAGGATGCCCATCGCTCCTTTGACCAGCCTTCAGGTCCAGTCCATTTATCTCAAGCTGGAATCTCCTGACCTAAGGAACCCCCTTTGTCGTATATTTCCTTACCACAGTACTCGATCCACACCGCCGCAGGGGGCACAAACCCATTCAGCGTCCTAATATCGATCACCTCCAGCTCCTCATCGCGTAGCTTATTGTACAACCAGTCTTCGTCAACGTCTTCGATATAGGCTTCAATGCGTGGATGATGGAATTTCTCACATGGAGCCGACTCTAGAGTCTTTCTCAACACCTGCGACCCAAAGCCAATGAGGAATCTAAATTTATTCGGCCGAGGAATCCGCAGGTAGAGCTTGGCTGTGAACACGTTCACATTGACCAAGCCGCGCCGCTCTTGATCGCGCGTCGCTTCGTTGAAGGAGTGATCGGCGTCTGTTGCTGTTTAAAGTCTGTTTGGGGATCTTAGTAGCAGCATCATTGAAAAGGTCATCCACGGTTGAAAGTAAACTCAGTCAAGTGCATCGCGAGGCCGTCCAATTCGCGCATCTCCCCATCAAAATTGGGCAGTTGCTGTAGTGCAACGGTGAAGTCCACGAGTCGGTTGCTTTGTTCCGGGAATCGTTCGACGGCGGCCATGAGGACTGACCAGATGTCGCCATACTCTAGGATGGAGTTCGCTTCGGTGATCGTGCAGCAAAGGGCTATCCCAGCTACTTAGACAGGTAACACGGAGTAGTCGGTCAAGAGCAATCGAAAAGCAGTGAGAGTGTCCTCGCGAGGCGGCCATTTCTGCGCTGCCTGCTCGGCCAAAAACGTTTCGTAGTGGGGATTGATCAGCATAGTGGTGGCAGCCGATTACCTAGAGCGTAAGTGCATAGCAGTATACAGAGACTGGGTTGGGGTGGTTGGGGGGTTACTCGATTTATATTGCTCGCTGCTGGATCAACATTCCAGAGCTCCTACGGGTGTGAGTCAGTGAAGTCGTTGCTTATCCCTGCAGGGGTCTCGCTTATTAATGAAGCCGGTGTTGGCTTTTTGTGCCCCAAGCTCTGTGCCGTAAGCATCGTCTTTGAAGCTATTGGCCGCATCAGAACGTATCCCTGATTCTCGCAGTTCCCGGTTAACTGTTTCCAAGACAGCCCCATAAAGACCTAGATGGTCATTAATAGCTTATGGGGGCCGAATCTATGCTAGGCCATATTGATGAATCATGTTAGGATACTCCATTTTAGGTGACATAGATGGTTTCATTTTTGATCATCACGGAGTGCTCTGTTACTAGTCTTTCAGTGCTTATCTGACAGAGGAATTGGCCTCGATCTCATTTGATTCTGGCCCCCGTTGTTAGAAACAGGACCGGGGATGGGTTCCTGCGTGAGGACTTCGAGCTGATCTCCTGATGGGCTATCTTCATTCTTTAAAAGGTATAAATAGACGTCACATCTTCACGGTTTTATTTCTATCATCCCCAAAACCAGTTGTCCCTAATATCAAACCAAAGCTCATAACAGCCGGACTCAGTTTCATTGACTCAATATCTACTACATCCCAACGATGCCCTTCTTCTTCAAAACATACACTATCAATGTTCTGCTAGCTGGTGTCCTAGTGGTCCAGGTTGCCAGCGCCCACCCTTTCACAGACACCAATGGGCGTAATCTCATCACTGGTGAGGGCATTGACAGCGATGCCAACGTGGTCAGCGACTGAGAAGCGTGGCAAGAACCATCCAAAACTTTCGACTGCCGATTTCCCCAGTATGGGCTACGCCTGCCCAAAAACCGACAAATATGCGGACATCACCACCTACACGTCTGGACAATTGACGAAAGCATACGCCAAAGCAGCGAAGTATGCCAATGAAGGGACAACATTTGAAACAAGTTCGTCACACCCTCCTCCGGCAACCGTCAATCTCATTACAGCAAGTCGCGGTGAAGGAGCATTCTGACAATATCCACAGAATGTTACCCTCGTAGTTTTACTACGACGGCCTGCCCTTCCCGTGTGGCTCTAAAACCATGGAGTTTATTCTTGACTAGAAGGACCCAAGCACATTATACAACAGTGATGAGGTGAAGGAGATTCCCGATCGGCTTATCTTCAAGTACGCCCTTAGAGGGGAAACTGCTAGGGCGCAGTTCTGTGGTGTTATCCGCCACGAAGGCGACGGTTTCATGAACTGCCCCATTGTTTGAGCTAGAACGATGATTTATCGGAGGGAAAGAGGTGGTGAAGTGTAATCATTATTGTCAATAAGTATCGGTTGGGGCCTGCTGATGATTCCTTTCGTTGGCTTCAATTGTACACTGTAGACTATCTGCACTATGTTTGTTTTTCGTTATATCAGAGGAAGTCTAGTTACGGGCTGCCTATCCGATGCTACAGAAGGTACCGAAGCCATTTTGCCGATCGTATGTATCTCATCTATTTGGACTAAAATATTCAGTTTGGTAGCCTGATCTTATGGTGGATCATGGCCCTCAATCCCCACGTGCCCCATGTCTTGTTCCTAACCTGTACAAGCAGTTATATGAAACATCAAATACTATTCTATGCAATGAGACAGCTCCTTAATCACAATTCGAATGAGAAACCCTAGCCCTCTATCTCCTTTGAAGGTCGCATCTGAAGGTTGGCGCGCCCGAATCGCCTGTCGCGAGGTACCGCGCTGAGCTGATCAAGCTTGACGCTTCTGCTTGCCACACTTTTGCAAACACTCCTCCACCTTGATGGCCATAGTCGTTGGAATAGCATTTCTCACAGTCTCGATATCCTCACCGGCAATGCTCTGCCCAAAAGTGGCAGCAATCACGTCATCGCTGAGGGAGAATGTCTCTGCAGCGACCAGACCCACCGCAAACTCATCGGACGTGAATGTTGCCGCAAATTTGGCAGGCTCACAGTCCGGGTTCACCTGCGTGTGAAACGAACCGGCCGGATAGATGGTTACCATGCCAGGGCCGAGCTCCACGCGGATAACTCGTTGCTTGCCTTCAGAGTCTAGGACTCCCGCCTCTGGTACCATTTCGGACAGCACATGCCCTGACGTAAGGGCAAACAGCTCGGTGGCGCGAGGGTGGAGATGGAGGAAGCTCATACTGCATGCTATAGACGTGAATCAGTGTAAATCTCAAGAACCAGAGTAATTCTCGCGGAAAATACCTGGCAATTCCCCGATACTGAAGGCGGCACCAGTGCCAACGAGGGCAGGGAAATTTTGGCTAGTGGCAACCGGAGTCTTGCTGGCGGTGAAATTGAAGACAAAGTCTTCATCTTTTGGCAGGAGCTGGTAACGTTCAATGGCACTACACAATTAGGTCTTCCGGTTTGTTGTGTCACTGGACTCGTGTTTAGAAACTTACGTGTCTGCAAGCCGCAATTGAGCTGTCAAGCTGAGTTCAGACGTTGAGCGCTTGCTGATGGGCTGGGGTGCTGCGCTCGCCGGAAGGGCAAGGGCGAGCATCACCGCGATGACGGAGCGTAGAGCGGACGTAGCAAGCATGATGGCAGTTAGAGTTAAATAGAAAGGGCTGATGTGCTTTGGATGTAGTAGGATGTACTGAAAGTGCTGCTTAACCGATGTGGTTGTGTGATGAACGATCAAGAGCGGAGGTCAACTAGGGCCTTATATATCGATCGATATATGGATTTTTTTTTTGTGTTGGCACATCATTACAAAATTGAACATCCAGCATGTATTCCAAATAGCGTTCTTCAGCCCGATTCATCTCCTACGTATAAGGTGTGCCAAGTGGGAGTTCTATACATGGGATTTCCATATACGCATAGCACAGCCATCGTCTTCAGCCTTACTCAAGCCCCGGCGTATATGACGTTCTCCTATTGGCTGTGATTGTACTGGGCACAGCAGGTCGAGCGTATTAATAATACGACACGATTCTCAGCCCCATAATTGAGTGGATCCACACCGTCCCGAGCGTATCTCCACAATTCCGTATCGGACTTGTACATACTATACGGAGTAGTTGTAGCATTATCCAAGGTAGTGTAATCCCTACAAGACATGGATCTGGACCATTTGGTAGCACGCTGTAGTTTCACTACTGACCTCGCTCGGCGTAGCCACCGTCAAGCATGACGTGAGCTGCCGGTGCTTCCAGAGCTTCGAACAGAACCCAGCCTAGTCCAACGGGCTCGAATATATATTTACCAACGATGGGCAAGATACGACAGCTTTCATCTTCCACAAGCACTCTCGTAAACCTCCAAAGAGCAGATTACGAGAAATGACAGCCAAGATCAACATCAAAATGGTCAACTATCTCAAACACTTTGTGTTCCTGGTCTTCGGAGCTCAGCTGGCCACCGGGCAAGCTGTGTCAACTGCAGCGGCACATTCGACAGGATGGAATTCCAGTTTTGAGCTCAGCCCCGATCAGTTCAAGCTGGCCAATCTGACAAGTGATATGGGCACCATCATCAACACGATTACCAATTTTGACCGGTCTCAGCTTGCAAACGGCGGAGCACATGAGGATGACTTTTACAATGTCCAAAGCCTGCCCAATAACCAGTGGCCCAGAGAGCCAGGGAAGACCGTCAAGCTCCAAGAGTTCACGGACCCATCACCGTTCTCTATTCCCGCAAAGACAGCCATGTCTCGCATTATCTATAGCACAACCAATGCAAACGGTACATTGATCCCTGCTTCCGCCTATATCCTCTGGCCGTATCAATCAAAAGTTCTTCGAGGAATAAACCACACCTCTGCATCATCTGCACCCGTTGTGCTATGGACACACGGAACCTCAGGCTTCTATGCCAACGGAGCTCCCTCGACGCACCGTGGCCTGTTTTACGCCGACATCGTGCCATTTGCGCTGGCCGAGGCTGGATACGTTGTCGTTGCCCCGGATTATGCAGGGCTTGGGGTAGACGTCTCCTGGGATGGGAGTCACATCCCACACCAGTACTTTGTTCGCGAAGCCGGTGCTTACGATGCTCTTAACGCTGTGAGAGCGGCTCAGGAGTCCTTTCCAAAGCGACTCTCAAGCGACTACGTGGTCATGGGCCACAGCCAGGGCGGTGCGGTTGCTTGGGGCCTTTCGGAAATTCTTGGTCGGAGTGATACCAAGTTTGAAGATGTTGCGAAAGGTTACCGCGGTGCTGTCATTGCCGCGCCACCGACCGACGCATTGTCCTTTACCTCCGCCGGCTTTCTAGCGTGGATAGCAAAGCACCTTGACCAGATCTATCCGTCCTTTAACCTGAGTGACTGGTTCACTCCGCTTGGCACGAGCCGAATAAAGCTTCTGAACGAGGTCGAAGGATCCCAAATGGTTACATTTGCCATGTTCAGCCCTGACGAGCTGATCCTGCAGCCTGGTTGGCACGAGACTTGGTATACTAAAGCTTTCGAACAACTAGCCAACCCTGGGAAGCGACCTTTCAAAGGACCGCTTCTTGTCATCCAAGGAACAGCAGACCCAACAGTGCCGTACAACACGACCAAGACTACCGTGCAAGAGACATTTGAGATGTACCCTGGGGATCTGGAGCTTTTGTCTGTTCCGCAAGGAAGTCATTTCTCCGCCATCAACGCGGCAAAGCAGACCTGGCTGCGGTGGATTGAAGAGCGATTCGAGCAGCGACCTGTGGCCAAGCGGGGTTACGTTGAGTCCCAGTTGGACAGCCTCTTGCCTCTGGAGCATTATCAAGTGCTTCCAAACTCTTTCCCGCTGTGGGCTGGGGAGTCACAGTGGTCTTACGAGCTGCCGACAGCATTGTGAATGCTCAACTAGAAGAGAGAGAGAACAGCGGCGCCTGGATGGGATTTATTAGCCTTGGAAATCTTTTAGCTTAGCCCCTTGAATATGTGTATTGTTACAATATTTACTCATGCCAGCAAACTATCCTTTGACAGACTACACACAGTACAATAGGCTCTACTTTATATCTTACAACTCCTTTTACTGTACTCAGATATGAGGCTGTCAGATTATATTCATATAAAATACACTTCCGTTGCGCCATGCCACACAACTCTTATCTGGAATTCAAACCGGCATAATTCCTGTATATATGGTATTGGCTCTATTGCTCATTGGAGATTGGTAAAAGGTCACACATGGGTATAAAATTTTGGCTAAGTAGTCTGAGATGGAACCGTCATTTAATAAATCATCACTGCTGGACATTGGAGGTGAGCTCCCGCTTAACCAAGTACATGCTCTCAGGCCACCACGTTTCTCCAGTGTCTACCGACCAGCCCAGCAGATTCTGAGTCTTCATCAAGGACATAATCTGACTTAGCTCCCACTGTCCAATATCACCAATCCACCACACCCCATCCAATAACATGACAAGAACCAGCCAATGAGCAAAGATATCCATAGCCAGTAAATGCGTCGCGCTGAGCGATGGTACCTCAGTTCCGGGCGAATCCTGTGTCATCCACCGCTCAGCGCTCGCCTCCACGGAGGGAGAATCGAGCACCGACCGGACGAGACTCAGATACTCAGCTGGTGCTTTATTCAAAAACGACATGATGATCCGTCGAAGTACCCGTGGCGATTCCATTGATGTCACGCTGATCATGTAACTTGCTACCCATGGTGAGACTTTGGGGGATCTATTTGACGATAGGGCGTGATTTCTGGGGACCTGAACGCTTTCGTCGCCTTCTCTTGTCGATAGAGCCAAGGATGTACAGTGTTCAAGCACAGACACAGTTTCCAACGATACGTCGAGTTGTAGGTTGTTGGAAGCAGACGGATCCGACATCTTTAAACGGGCCGCCGTAGATTCAGCTCTCCGGCGTAGGCTCTCAAAAGCTCGAGTATATGTAGATGCGACTAGAGGGAGAAATAGACGCTTTGTATTCTCAGATGGTCCATCCTGCGGGGATAAAACACCTGTGCTACGGAAGACCGGGGTCGGTAAATTCGGCCCTGTATCTATAGCCGAGCTGGAAATGGTACCGTGAACCTTATCCACGAGGTCGTTAAGAATTGCAGTAGACACTGTATGGGCCGCGCGTGTAAAGGAGATCCACTGTGAGTGTTGCGGCAGCAACTCATCCGGCAGCCGCTGCCCACACTGTTTTGCGGTGGCCGCAAGATGTACTCGGATGGAGTGGCTGGCAGAGGCATACAATACCATTAACGCCGCGTTTGCGAGGACATGATCGTACGAATCAGAGTTGTGTATGGCTGATTGTATGTGTCGAAGGGACGCCCTATGGTGGCGCTCCGCAAGCGTCAGTAGCTCTCGGATCTGCATGAGGCTCTGGTGGTCCAGAAGCGTCTGGGCTCGTTTAGCTATTCCGTGTGACTTGCATGCTGCTGCCAAGGCGAGCAGGGATGACATGACAGCCTTGTGATTGAAAGCCAGATTTGGCACTCCTACCGACAGAGCGTAAAGATCGAGATCGTCAAAAGGTATAGTTTGGCTAGTGTGCGTGATATAGTGCGCTAGGAGACCGAGCTCTGTCGCGTCGAGAGTCGCGGGGAAGTTTGAATTCGACACTAGCCTCTCTTCATCGGTACTAAGTCCTGAAGAAGCAGCAGGTTGTCCACCAGACGGAGGACTGTGAGCCGAATGGCGATCACTCGAAAGTGTGGATGGCGACTCAGAGCCTGGGACTACAATGCTAGGTCTGTTAGGTGGGACATGCGAATCAGGAACTGGCAAGTGGAGCGGTTCCTGCTCTTCCGACAAATTGGCATCGCTCGGACGGTTCTGATACCGACATCTATACATGCGCTTGGTACATCTGGAGCAACTCGGCCTCAACTCATCGCACTAGGCAATACAATCAGGACAACGTGTGCAGGGTTCCTATAGTAGAGCCATGGCCTACCTTCTTCCGCTGTTGCTTACATCTGACGCAACCATTCCTGGATTTCTCATGTGTTCTCCGGAATCTGAATTCAGTAGCCTGGAATACCGGGAATATCGTATCGCTAGGCATATTGCCGACGGCCCCAGGCGTCGCTAATCAAAATCTGTTAGGGCAAATAAAGTTACGGTCGGTTGCGGGGAGATTGGAGCGTATTAGCTAAAGTGCGCCAGAGGCTCGCCCCCTATGTATCTAGGGAGAAACCCGTAGGACCCGTTCTAGAGTCTTCTTCTGAGGCTGAGATTACTTCAGCCTCACGGCTAATTGAATCCGCTCCGGGTGCAGAATCAGCACTAAATCATCGATGTTGGTTGTCTTGGACCGGCATTTGTACAGCTCAGCCTCGTTTGTGGGGAAGAAAAAGGCTCGGCGTACGTGGGAGATTCCTTGGCACTTTTATTTCCACGATATCGGATTAAAATACGAGAGCTATTGTAGCAATAGAAAAGCCCAGCCAGGTGGAAATAAAGTGCCAAGAACGATCTGCCTCAGCCAAGCATTTGTCCTCTGGTAAACGAGGGAGAGCAGTGGCCGATAAGTGCCAAAAACAGGTAATGTAGCAGGGCCGACACGAGAATGACGGGCGGGATATCGCATGAGGTTTCCATGACCCGTAAAGCTAGTCCAACATAAGAGTCTGCTGTTGCTGCCGTTGTCGGATCTCCTGAAGCAGGGCGTCCAGTGCTCGGCCATCACCTATTTCCGTCTCTGCGGATCGATTCACATACCGTTTATCAGGATAACCCCATTCGCTATCGCCAAAGTCCAGTAGTCCAGATCCTTCATCCGCATCATGCCAGGAGTCATCGAATGTGGTATATCGCTTCTTTGTTAGGCTCACCGATAGCGCCCCTGGGCACACCGGAAAGACAGGGTCATGGTCGTAATGATAACAGAAGTCGGTAAGCCGAGGAAGGCGAGTGCAAATGTTGTCAAAGATGGTCTCCCATGTCCCCGAGAAGCCGTAAATCACATAAGGGCCATCAATACCAAAGGAGCCCAGAGGATACTCGTGCCAGTCGTGGGTCTGGACGTGCCAATCCCGGAGATTGTCTCGGTGGGTGGTGATATGTGATACAATAGAACATCGGTCTAGACAAAGGGACCTCAGCGAGGACTGAGCCAAAACCCAGTCCAACTGATTATGGTGCCCGATGACAAAGTTGCCCAGGTTCAGCGTCTTGAGCCTGGGGAAGTGGAGACCGCTCCCGTCAAAATAACCCGGTATGGTTCCCCAACCTACCTGGAAAGACAGTGTCAGGCAGACCAGGTGGTCGGATAAAGGAGCCAACCACTGGTGGTGTAGATATGGTTCAAACACCTGGCGCTCAATTCGATATGTGTCCCAGTCGGGTCCGGCTTCATCATACTCCTCAGCCACCATGAGATGCAGAGCGTCGATGTCCTTCATGACGCTCCTGAAGAGCTCCGATGTGGTAAACTCCGGCAGCGGGGCATTTTGCAGGTTCTCAATGGTCAGGGAATGGATAGGACGTATGCCGATTATGTTACTTGAACGCCTCTGGATCGCCTTGAAGACGGATTCGAGGATCTCTTGGCGTCTCGGGATATCTTCGACAACTTCATCGCGCGGATCATCTGTTTCCACGCCGGCACAGTGTCGGGAGAACCGTAGATGCAGCGCCTTGATACAGTCCAGTTCGGCGATGCGGTCTATGTCGCTGATAAGGCCATTGTAACCGCATTCTGTATACGAGTCCCAGATACCTTGCGGGTCATCATCGGCGGGGGCAGAGCGGATGTAAGCACGTCTGATGGCCTGTCGCACGACTTCGCTGTCCAGCATGCCATTCCACGATTGGTATTCCCCTTCGGGATCATACACCAGCCGCACATTTTCGAAGACATACGCTTTCGCCAACGTATCCCAGAAACGGCACACCAGGCGAGCATTACAGATATACTGTAAATTGTCGCGCTGATCTAAGGAAGGGTCCCCTCTTTCAACCAAGAGACTGATGACGAGACTCGAAATTTCACGCGGGAGGTTTGCGAACCACATAATAGCCGATTAGCGTGTTGATGGATGAAGTCGAAAAGTCAAGTCCCAAGAAAACGCGCGTCGTGGAGAGAGTTGATGTGGGGGCGGGATATAAGATCAACAACATCAACAACGACAACAACAATAACAACACGGGCCAAGAAATAGTAGAACTGATACACATCGACTTGGAATCGACAGGTTAGGGAGGATAAAAACAAGAAAAGAAAAACATACAACAGGAGGGATTCGCTGGTGGTCACCCACCCAACTACTAACCTCCCGGCGTGTGGCTTAAGTACGGCTGAGCGGACGGGAAGCCCTGTTTTCCACACCCTGTGGTCGTATGTACCGGTTTATTCGGAGTACTAGTTTATATCGGGGTGAATTACTTTATTTCCTCGACACTTTTTCCACCCCTTTGCTAATAAACGACTAGCAAAAGAGAAAAAATAATTAAAAAATTAAAAAATTAAAAATCTGCTAAAATTACCAGAGTTAGAAAATGTCTTGGACTCGATTTAAACCGCTTGAAGACTGCAGCTGCTCGAATTGACGATAAAGGGATGCCTCCCTGTGGCTTCAGAAATATATATCTTATCTCCAGCCCGGGCGATCCATACCTCAACCATGAATAACCTCCTTCAAACCCTCCCCCCCAAAAAGTAATCAAAACAAGGAAGAGGAAATAATTTAAAAAAATAATTAATACGAGAGTGAATGGTTTCATTGGATCAAACTAGTGAATCAAAACACTCTTTACGCTCCGGGAACTTCACTCTGGATTAAATTTACTGATGGATCTGTTTGTATCCGAAAGGTGTGAGGTAACATCGGTACCCTTGGTGTACATAGGGGTTAGCGAATACGGGTGATACCAGAGACAGCTGCTAGTAGGGGTAATGGATCATTAATGGTCTATCAAAGGCACATGATATCATGGATCTGTATCTGATTCAGCTGGTCGTGCCGGGGCAGGTTCCGGCAGACGCACATAACCCGCAGGTGGTTCTTTCATTGTTTTCCACACGGAGCGTGGCACCGAATTCTCAGTAACATGTCCTAGAAGCGTCTCAAAATCCCGACACACATGCTGATTCTTGAAATCAGGGAACGGCTGATCCCATCCCTCGACCCAGTTGAAGAGGATCACGTCAACGCTACTGGAACATTTGACGGCCTGTGCCAGAATATCTATACAATGACTAATATGTGCAACGTGTTCAGCGTCCGGATGGTTTCCAAACCGAGGGAAATAGTAATGCTCGTACGAGATCTCCTTCCGTAACATGTCCAGGCAGTGAAGGAGGTGGAACACTTCCGTCTGTGCGATATATGCATCGTCACCGTATCCATGCTCTTCTGGAATCTTCACGGCAATCGAGGGATCTTTTCCGAGTTTGTAGATTTCATCGGAGGATATGATAATCGGCATGACGCCGGTGCCGATGCGGAACCATTCGGCGTCGGCTTCAGGCCCTGTCGGTATTCGCAGAATGGAAGGCGGATCAGTGTCGTACAAGGATGCATTTGGGGTTATGGTAACTCTTGGAATATCCACACGGTCCAGTAGAGGTGCTGAAATGGTCAGTGTTACGTGAAGACGGTGGAGAAGATTCATTTAGCATTACCGTAATGCGATGTTGCCTTCCACTTGTCTTGATCGCTCAAGTGCGAGACGCAGGCCTGGCGAGATAAGACCAAGATCAAGAGAACAACAGAGGTTATTAGCAATACCAGGTTTAGAAAGGTGAGCCATAGCATCATGGTGTTGCGCTGCGGGGGTGCCCGCGGTGCTGCTCTCGTTATCCGCCTCTCTTGGCCATGGTCATGTTGATCAGCATTGTCATTGCTAATTAGGAGTGGTTTCGCTAGATCCTCATGACTCAAGCCGGAACGAAAGCCATCATCTAAGTCGCCGAAACTATCTTGAGCCTTCGACATATTATAGCCGGGTCAGCAATGTAAAACACAGGATATATCAAGAGTGGTAGAGCTCTTCAGGTATGTGAAATGGGTATACGAGATGCGAGGAACAGTGGCTGCTGCGAATAAGACTATGCTTTGGTACCGGTCACGATATCGCGGAAGCAGTTTACACGGGGATTGGAGGCCCAGAAGAGCTAGCTAGACCAAGATACAAATTTAATGTCAAATCCAAGTGGTGCATGAAGGCGGACTATCGCAACCCCACGCAGCCTGAAGGGGTTGATAGAACAAACACTGATGTGGCGAGTCCGTCGGGATTCCGCGACAACATCCCTTGGCAAGCTTGGCGAAGAGGAGATATAAATCCTTCATGGGGGCATGGGACTTTTATTCGGATGTTCCAACTTATAGGATACTCCAAAATCTCACCCATGTTACATCCGCTATATTCTGACCATAGATGCTAACCCATTAGAGCAAAGCAGTATAATCCTTCTTCAGTATTATCATGCTTGTGACCACATTCATGATGTCGAAAGCTGAATCTAGATTTCGATCCTAAGCACAAACTGTACGTCGCGCTCTGTTCCAACACACGTCCTAGATCTGTTAGCAGCTCGCATATAAATCCTGTCGATACACACTAGAGAATAGATCCGTATCATTTTCTGTGACCCATTGTTGTGCTCTTTTCAACTACCATTGAGACATTTTCCTCGAGAATCATCCACCACCATGCAGTTTAACATCATTGTCGCACTCCTGGCCCTTGGAGCCCCCTTGGCTTATGCTTCACCCATAAGTATGAACAACCACTAAAGGGATTATTTTTGTGCTGACATTGAGTGATGTAGTTGGTCCGGACAACGAGGCAATTCCATTCTACCAAAAGCGTGCCGACAACAGTGAAGCCATCCCGTTTTACGAGAAGCGGGAAGAAAATAGTGAGGCTATACCTTTCTACCAGCGTCGTGCCGACAACAGTGAAGCCATCCCGTTTTACGAAAAGCGGGAGGAAAATAGTGAGGCTATACCTTTCTACCAGCGTCGTGCGGACAACAGTGAGGCTATTCCTTTCTACCAGCGTCGTGCGGACAACAGTGAAGCCATCCCGTTTTACGAAAAGCGTGCGGGGGATAGCGAAGCTATACCATTCTATGAGAAGCGGGAAGAAAATAGTGAAGCTATTCCTTTTTATCAGCGTCGTGCGGACAACAGTGAGGCGATTCCTTTCTATGAAAAGCGGGACGAGGAGAGTGAGGCCATCCCCTTCTATGAGTAGTCACTTCTGTTATCACAAGTGCAATGCACTATGACTGGCTTTGTGTATACTTAGCATAACGTCAATTGAAAGTCTCCATGGTCGAAAGAGTCCGCTATTCTGCATGTCTCTAGAGGTCCTACCGCATCCGTGCCAAATTCTGTATCATCCCTGTAATGGAATTTATTATCTGAGGTACTTCTCGCCGTTCCTCAAACCCACCAAGTAATGGTAGATTAATAAGACTGAACCGAACCCCGCATTATATGGGCGGACTCAGTATCCACCACCCTGAGGAACATCTACTTCCAAGCACCCCTAATAGTCTTGCACCTGGCCATGGTCGGCAACCCTCTATTACTTGGCAGTAGCCTGCCTTCCTGATCTAGTGCCTACTTCCGCAGGTTAGCTACAGACACAGTTTGGCCATGATTGGACACACTACTGAAAAACCGGCATACATCGGTGTACACATCAGATCCTGCAATGTAACGTCGGGGTTATCTGACAAGGATTCATTTCCTTGCTTGGGGGCGGGACAAGGACGGAGTTGTATAGGGCTTTTGCCCGGGCGGGGTACATATATTCGATTCGAATGGTGTAGGAGTGCTCTCTAAATCTGCATATTCTATTCTACGGGAACCCTATGTGTTTTAGTACGATATCTCCGTGTGAAGTTGCCTCAGTGTGACTACCGCAACCCCATCGCAACACACGGAGTTAACATTTACCGAGATAACCTTGTTGAAGAAACCTCATTCGCCCAGAGAAATGACCAAGTACAAGCCCCTTGTGGAAGAGGATAGCTCGGATGGCTTTGACCATCTCGAAGGTCACCACGCAGCCTCCAAAATAGAAAATCATGATCGGAAGCTTGTGTTTCGTGTCCGATATGCCTTCCTTTTACTATTAGCGACATTCGGCTTCGTTGATTTGACATACCGAGCATACACCTTGATCCAATCACGCAAGCCCATATCCTGTAACTGTGGAGAGACGGTTGAAGAAGCCATCGCCAAGAGCTGTAGATATGACTCGATTGCAGCTGCTTGGCTCCCTCCCGCCTGTCGAAATGACGAACTTCTAGAGCAATTCGAGACATCCGGCCCAAACCCCGACGGGAGCTGGGCGTACTATGCGGACAAAAACAAGACGCGGATTCTATCGCTTGAAGAAGTGTCCATGCTCCCCAAGACTGGATCGCACTTCTTTACCACACATCAGTGGCACCTGGTCCATTGTGCATACTACTGGAAGAAGATGTTCTTAGCTGCGGAGGCGGGTACCGTGATTGAAGCTCGGTATAATAATCTTGCTCATATCAACCACTGCGAGATGATGTTTCTGAAGCGCGATGCATTGGATACGATTGTGACCGAGGCTGGAGTGTCACTGCATTCGGATCGAATGGTTGTGGCGAAGAAACATGGTCACGAAGGACATGAGCAAGATGGGAAGTCCGGTAAAAGCGCAGGGAATGGCTATTAGACTACCCAAACTATATTGTACGCACTGAGCAATTAGAGACTTGGAAGTCTGATCTGAACAATGGATGTTATCGTCCCTAAGTGCAACGTATCAGCTATGACCCTCAACCCTATTCATCGTCTCAACAACATTGCCTGCAATTCTCCTGGTCTCTGCATCGGCAGATCCACAATAGTGAATAGCCCTAAACTGCTGCTTCCACAGTAACCACCGATCCAGGCACAATCCCTGGGTACCTCTGAACTTCCTCCTCAACTTCTTCCTCTCGACTTTGGGCAGCATCCACAGCGGGCCTCCCTGGGTGCCCCCAATGGCTTCATCCCGTCCGTATAGAGCGTGACCAGCATAAAGAATCCACACCCCCGCCGCCGCCGCTTTAAACGGCAATTGATCGACGTGCTTCGGATCTGCCGAAACAACATCGGGACTGCCCCGCACAGGAATCATGGCTCCCTCTGCTACATCTGATAAGGCCCAGATGGCATACGTTTCGAGTTGTGAGAGACCAAGCCCAAGGACCCGAGCCGCGTAAGCCTGGAGATTGACGAACCGTCGCTTCTTCTCGTCATCATCCGCATCAGGACTCATCGCTAGCAGTCATTTAGCTCCTGCAAGGCTCCAACATGATCGGAAAGCAATAAGAGAAGAACCCACCCTCCCATGTTTGCGGAAACTCAGACGTAAAATAGGGGAGGTTCCTCCACAATTTCTCGTTGAGGATAGTCTCCGTCGAGGTAACGCCCGCCAGCTCCTGCACGATGGCGACTAATTTCTCTTGTGCGGGGCTCTCATAGGGTATCTGGCTAGCGAAGCTATTTATTAACTCCCAAAACAAGGTGAGGACACCCCCTGGATCCTTGTCTGGGTTTTTTATATAATCCAAGTAGACCGCGTCGAGGGCAAGCGCTGCGTCTTTGGCCGAGGTGGCGTTGGGAGGTTGGATGGCTGCATGGATGATGGTTTGGATTGGGGCTTCGAAGTCATGAGGTGTGGGAGTTTCAATTCTCAGGTTAATTTGATCCATCGCGATTAATGGATTAGAGAGATAATGTATTTCGAATAGAGGAGGTTGACGAGTGCCACAGATCCAACGATCCAGGAAGATGTCGGCAATGGAAGCAGTAAGATTTCTCAGAGACAAATAGTGGGCCGCGGAGGCACATTATCTGAGGCTCAGCCTCGTTAGTTAGTAACTTAGTATCGCGTCTTGGGCCCCGAATAAGGGTTAGTACCATGCAGATTGCTACCAAGCTTTGATATTCGCCCCCACTATTCATGCTTCGGTGTAGTGTTGGATATCTATTGAGGCGGAGGGTAGTCATCCTCTCCCACTATAAATACCATGGGATAGCTCAAATCGTTCTTCTCCGTTCTGCAGTCCAGAATTGAAGCTCCAGAAGAATCTCCCCAGATCAAGATACCCCCCCTAATCCCGTCAGTTGGAATGGCTTCACTGCAACTCCCTCCGGTCCCGACCCCGGTCGCGATCGTGGATCAATTCATTGCGCAACAATCAGAGGTCTTGGTTCTGAAGGAAAAGGTCCTCTCCCTCTCAGGGGATAGCTTTGATGTGAGGCTGGTTAGCGGCGAACCTATCTTTCGGATCAAAGGCAAGCCCCTGAGCATCTCGGGTCGTAAATCGGTCTTCGATATGGCGGGCAATCACTTGTTTGATATCGTCAAAGAGCATCTGCACCTCCATTCCACCTACGCTATTCAAGCTCTAGATGGCAGCAAGTTACTCGAGGTCAAGAGTAGCTTTTCCTGTAGGTGGCCTTCCCATTGTGGCTTTCAGCGGCGTTAACTTCATCTCTCAATTGTATTTTACTTTTTGCCTAATAGTCACTTACAGTGATCGGCTCCAATGCCACCGCAACCTTTACATCCCCCAGTACTGACGGCATTGTCTCCTTAAATATGAAGGGGAACTGGCGGTCTCGCAAGGCGAGCATTGTGGACGATGCGACGGGGGCAGTGGTCGCGCAGATCGATCGCAAGCGGTTCAACGCTCGCCAGATATTCTTCCACCAGCAGACCTATGCCGTGATGGTTGCTCCAGGGGTGGATCTGGCGCTGATCGCAGCCCTGTGTGTCTGTTTCGACGAGAAGAATAATGACTGACGAGCTTGACGTTTTCTTTTCGATCTCCTATGGCTCCTATTGAGTTTATTTGTTTCTGGACGGGATTGGAATATTATGTGCTTTTGGACCGACGGCGTTGAGTAAGGCAACGAGGGTTATTATAGCTTGGTCAGATGATATGATAAAATGACTTTCCTCCTGGTTCGCTATTTGGATCCGGAAATTATTATCCCCAGGTTGCCTACAACTGGAGTTTTAGAATGTATACTCCAACTGGTATAACTACCTGTGTCACATTTGTCCATACACACATTCAATTTATATTTATATAGTATGACACCTTGTGCGCATTGCGCAAACAAAGAGACGGCTTTCAATTAGTTCATTAGATATCCCCTGCCAGAAGCAATATCAATACCCACCAAGGCCCATCGCGAGCTGTTGTTGGTCAGATGTAAGGGATGTATCTAAGATAACCTAGATGCAACACTCATTGGCGATTGTCCGGGTTGCCAACCATCGGACTTTTATTAAGGGCTGTCTAGAGATGACATGATGATCCATGTGAATCTTGGCTGAACAAGGCGATGACACTCATGAACGTGGTTGGGTCAATGTTCCATGTTTTCACAGGAAAACAAACTTTATCGACTTATCAACTTTCATATATTGTCTCCGTGTTCATCTCGGTGTTTGGAATAATTGTTTGCTCATACAACCAGCCGGGCCGGATACTGACGGCAACAATGAAGGGCCTTGGATTAAGAAACCGTGAGAGGAGCATGAACCTAGACACGTTCTCCCGTTGAAGCCCTAAGCTGTCCCATATTGTCTGCTGTACAACCCACACCTGCGTGAATGCCTGCGTTTCTGGCACAATCCTACTGCAATATTCAGGATAGGAATGAGGATCCGCCAAATGAGCCACGCGAAATAGAGTCATGATGACCGACGGAGGTGTTACACTTCGCGATTCCCGCTTGGATAAACTCGACAGACCGAATGGTTGGATAATGACCTCGCTGGAGAAACGGAATGTTTTTCGGAGGCTACCCCCTTCATTTAGTAATGATGGTCCCGATAGAATGGGATAAGAACGGTTCACGACCAGGCAATGGGGCCTGTCTCAGGTCAGCTTGGGATAGAGTGCAACCAAAGCTGGAGTTCAACTTGTGTCAATGAATGAATACTGACATCACTTTGGAATACATGAAATAGGTGGGAATTCTGCCGTATTTTGGATAGCATTTGAAAGAGGTGGAGAGCAAAGGATGTGGCCGACTCACCATGGTTACAAAGTTGACTAGCGACGAGCACCATAATCTCTGGCCTTTGATGCCTTAGCCTTTTCAGTTTCGCTTTTACTCCCACCTGATCGCCGACATCTAAGCCATGGTCATCTCGTACCGGTCCTTGTTGTGGCAAAATGTGAGCTCACTGACCAAGAGTCATGAATAGGGCTTATTAATTACCTGACGATGTTGACCCCCAGAGTCCGGTAAATTTACAGCAATAATAACTGTATAATCTCTACTGCATACCCAACAGTCCGGTGGCTACAAGTGTGAAGAAATCATTGGTTGTTAACACTATGAGCTATATTTGAGTTCACCATACAAAAGGGTTTGACTAGATATAGAAAAGGCTGATGGGAAGGGAGATAGTAAGACTAATATGCCATGGTCAATCATCTACCTCGCTCTTTACTGATATTCTACAGAATAACAATCAACAGGGGGTGGAGTTCACACTGACAAAGTGCCTAGAGATTGGACTAGGAATTAAGCGAAGCCGGTGCTGACCACCCAGCTCACGTCATCGTTGAATGAGGTGGTCGCGTCGAATGTCTGAACGCCACCATTGCTCGCAGCGTAGAGCACGTTTTCGTAGTGGCGGAAGTAACGGGTGGGATAGCTCCAGGATCGAACCGAGTTGCCCTTGCCATTGAGACCGGCCTGTGGGCAGAATGTGGCGTCTTCGTGAAACTGCTTCGTGCCATCGTTGGCATTGAGGAGGAGCGCGAAGTTATAGTGCCGGATGAAGCTGCCAGGAGTGTCAACAGACTCAAACGAAAAACAGGCGCTATTAGCAAGGCCAGTGCGAACGGTCCAGCTAGCCTGCTGTTTCAAGGCCGTGGTGCTTGTCGACGACACAACCTGGGTGTTGACCGTAGAGCCGTCGTGTGCAATGTAGCGAGTCGTGTAGCCGGCCGTTGTCGCTTGCAGCGAGACCGAGGATCCGACACTGAGCGCCGGGCCACTTGTCAGTGATGTGATGGCGTATTTGGCAGCCACGATATCCGCCTGCACCGAGTTCTCAGTGGCATCGGACGGATATCCGGAGGTCATCACACCCTCGTAGAATGTGCCCTGGGCACCATTGCTATTGTCACCACCGATCCCAAGAATGATGGCGCCTTCTTTGCTCATTGGATTGTAACCAGAAGCACTTGGACGCGCGCCACTATAGTACGTCGATAATGAGCCGGATGCAGCGTTTGCACCGCGGATTGACCACTGGTTCGCCTCTCCCTTGACGACCGCAGTGACGAACCGGTAGGAAATGGATGGGTCGCCAGCGTTGTTAGCAGGACTGGAGCCAGAGAACAGGCCGTTCTCGAGATCGGCCATGATCCAAGGACCACTGCCAGCGCCACTTCCCCAGACAGTGTTGTCGCCATAGTAGATCGCTTCCATGTGGCCATTACCCGTATCTTTGCTGCTGATCTCGGCATTACCGTAGTCGAAGCAGCAGGCACCGTTGTAGTGAGTGCCATCCAGGACCGCGTACATGCCTTCCGCCTCGTCACCGGTAGCTGTGCCACTGGCAGCATTGTTGCTATATCCGGTGCCAGGCGACATAAAGACGCCATACGCCTTGTGGCCGTTCAGGGTGACTGGTGCGCCCACCGCGCTCGCCAGGTTGTCGTAACCATTGGATTCCGGACCACTAAAGCCGCCCGGTGGAGCCTGGGTGAGATGGTTATCGCGACCGGACTGGTCATAAATGATCGTGATCAGGCAGGTCGTGCCGGCACAAAAGGAGTCTTGGGCGGAGGCATTGGCAACACCTCCGGCGGAGAGAGGGGAGATGTCCGTCGTGGTACCGTCGGAGCCACGTTTCACTTGATACAGTGGGCCGGTGTAGCTGCTGTATAGGGCCCGAGTGGTGCTGTGTGCGGCGACACAGGGCGTGCCGCCGGAGGAATATATGTCGCAGGGCCCAGCAGCGACTAGGGAGGCCGAGGCAACGAGGCCCAGAGCCACTGCGCCGGCGCGTTCGAGACTTCGTCCTGGGGACATGTTTGATCTCCTTTCCACGGTGAGACGGTCACGCCTGTGAGTGCTTTAAAAAAGGCAATGGGATGCTCAATAAGCCTCTGGTTTAGAGCAAGTATTTCGTAGGATAACTAGCGCATCCCGCGTATCCTTTTATAATCTTTCAAGATGTCCGTTCCCTAAATCAAGAGGGGTACGCATTACGTGCTAAAGAAGCCAGGATTTTCCTCCAATGGCCAAGATCCATTGTGCTCAGTTTAGTCGATAATATCACAGAATTTCAGTCTCTAGAAGCTCGGTTAATATTAAAACCAGATTTTATTTCATACTTGTGACAGAACATCTAAGACCATATAAGAGCTGTCATGCGACAAACCCTTCCTGCCAACATTGCTGGATTTGTACAGGAAAGGTTATGGTGAAAGTTTCGCCCAGTTACGTTGCTAAGAACAATCATTGGAAAACATATTAGACGACGTAGATCACTATGGCTTCAAAGGCAAGAACACATATCTAGAAACTGCAAGTTTTGGTTGTTTAAGGGTGCGAATGTGCGGAAAGGGGGAGAGCATTCCTTTCGGAGCCGGCAGTACTAGCTAAAGCGTCGGTTAATATGCTTGTCTATGGAGCGAGGCAGATAGTTTGTTACAGAGCAATACTAGGCTGCAGAGGCACTATTTGAATTGGGTTGTGTAAATGACGATCGGCGCACATCCCCCGCTTGGGATAGACTGGCATATAAGAAATGTATCTGTGCGAGTTCCGCAATATTCCAGGACATTAGGCATGTCGCTTCATGCAAGGACAATCGTTAAGTTTCGTAATTGTTTATAGGGCGTATCTGACTACGTCTTCCAATGAACTGATTGTATTACTTTCGTGCGCATTTTCTTTTCTTTATTACACACATGAATATAAATCCGAGCTAGTTGCGGGGAAATTGAAGGCCAGGATTTATGGCGGATTTGGGTTTGGTTAGATGGGGTCATTTTATTCCACCTCTAAGACTATTGAGACTCTCTTCTTGCAACGCTGCCGATGGACGGCTCTATTCAGAGGGGGTGATCTAGACCTTTCCGAATACACCCCGCATAATAGTCGCCGGAAGTCCGGGAATACCAGGGGCTTTAGTACATGGAGCAGAACGCACGTATTCACCACGTAAACACACGGTTGATATGGAGCTACTATTTGGTATATACTTCGATAGGTATCGATGCTCACTTCAATGCGGGACTCGACGGGGGATCCAATGTTGTATTGTATTCCAATGTTCAGTTGGAGGAGTAGTTCGATACTTATCCATGAAACAACTCGATGTTTAATCAAACGCTTAATTGAATGCTTAATTCAATAAGGAAAGCTTGGGTTGGCTCTGAGACGACGAAGCAAGAAGCCCTAATTTGAAGAGGTCATGTGATAAGACGTTGATCACGCGCCCACATGTAATATTCCGGTGGGCGGCCAATGATACCTACGTGAGCAAAAGCGTTTTGACAATTAACCGATATCTCGCGGGTACCCCGTCCGTGAATCCGTGATTAATAGGGCCAAGTCTTTCCGGTACTGCTTATTGACTTCTTCAGGTCAGCTGATGAATGTCAGATCTCGCCGGCAATCTCGATTCTCCGGGAACTCACTCAGAACAACCGGAATTTATTAACTTCAAGCTGCTTAGCAGACGCTGAGGGTCAGCGCTGCACGTGATCCTACCGCTCTGTAAGATGCCTATCGGCTGAGGCTTCCCATTTGTTGAACACACCAACCTGGAGCATCAATTAACAATTAAAACCAAGAAAAACCACTCCTCAGCCTGCCAAATCTAAGACCAAGTGCGTTAGAATCATGTCATCATTCATGTTGACGATTAGCTGTTTCGCGGATAGAGATTGTTGCATGAAAATTGTACTTACTGGGCCAACTATTCTTATATATGATGGTATGAAAGGTCCTCTGTCCAAGTAGTTCGTGCCTGAGAGCAATTCGGCAAACGCCCTCACAATCGCATAAAAGAATGGACTTAGCAATTTAGACAAATTATTCTTATGGTTTTCAGTATCCGCTGACTGCTTCTATCCTGCCCTCCACGCCACTAGTTCAGTAATGGGCAATTCCTGCTCAGATACGGGGAAAGAATGGAAAGTTCGAAGAATGTCGAGGCCTTCTCAAAATCACGACCTGTAAAGGGCTGATTGTCCAACAGTTTTGTCAACTATAATGACCGCGGAGGTGAGTTTTAGATCATGTACTTCAAGGTAAGTGGAGGTGATAAGGAAGAATACCGAATCCCCATTTTGATAAAAATATATGAGAATGTCAGTCGAGACACTAATGGTTCAACAGATACTATTTTTATTTTGCAACCGTCTTGTACCGGAGTCCACTCTCGGCTTTTGCTAGCATCGAAAAATTCTAATTTCGGCTCGAGATATTGCTGACGCCATGCAAGCGGCCCATAAGTTACAACATAGACTTTAATGTGCTGGCTCTGTATGTTGATGCGAGAAAGTACAGGCACCAGCAGAAGATGTTTTACTTATAGGCGCAGGGCTACAGGAGCACGCAGAAGCATTAAAAACAGACCAAGACTAAATCTGGGTAAACTTTGACTGAGTAGAAGGGTGTATTAGAGATAGAGGATGTGGAATTATATCTAGAGCTTCGTCCTCGCTTTTTCACGTCCAGCTTTCCCCCCAAATCCAAACAAATACGCGGCGACCTTGCGCATCTGGATCTCTTCTGCACCCTCCGTGATACGATACCGACGGAAATGTCGATAGATGTGCTCGAACGGGTAGTGACGTGAGTAACCATCACCACCATGAATCTATCAAGTCAGCTTCACCAACAATCAATCAAGATCAGAAACAAGGAGAAACAATACCTGAATAGCTCGATCAGCGGCCTGGCAACATAGTCGATTGGCCCAGAAATTGCACATGGCCACCTTATCACTCAGTTGCTTCTCGATCGCAATCCACGCCTTGTCCGTCGATTCAGCCACCACCCGATCCATGTCCCAGCTCGTCTTGAGAATCAACAGCCACAACATCTCCACCTGCGTCATGAGCTCCACCACCGGAAACTGCACCGCCTGGTGATCCGCCAACTTCTTCCCCTCGCCCCAGACCGTCCGAGTCCGTGCACGCTCAATCGCCCGCTCCAGACAGAATTTGGCCGCACCGCACGAGCTGGCCGCCTGTCGGATGCGATTCTCATGCACAAAGGTCTGCGCAATCGCCAACCCCTGGTCGACTACCCCCAGCACCGCCGAATCAGGCACCCACACCCCGTTCAGAGTCACTGTCGCGTGGTCCGTGGGCATGTTAAACGTCCACTCGTAGCTCGCGATCTCAATCCCTTCTGTCTCCCGCGGAACCAGGAATGCCGTGATGCCCTTCGCGGATCCATCCTCACCGGAGGTTCTCGCGAAGATGATCATATGCGTGCAGTGATGGGCGCCCGTCTGCCACTTCTTTGCGCCGTTGATTTGGAACCCGCCTTGGACGCGCGTCGCCCTGGTTGACATGAAGGTCGCGTCGCTGCCATGGTCGGGTTCGGTGAGACCGAACGTGGTACGGAATTCTCCGCGGAGTCGTGCGGGGATGAGAGTGCGTTTTTGGTCTGCCGTGCCGAAGTGGTGGAGCATGAGGACATCTGGGAAATTCCCGATGACGCTGTGCTCGTTCTGTAGGTCATTGGCGAGCCCTAGGCCGCCGCCGTACACCGGATTCGAGGCCATGTGGAAGCGTGTGGCCGACATCCATAGGTTCGTGTCCGGGTGACCTTGTCCCCCGTAGATCTTGGGGAGGGCAAAGCGAAAGAAGCCGGCTTCGTCGGCGAGATGGCGAGCTTTGCCTGGTTTTTTGTTAGCACCTTATTCTGGCTAAGGGTTGGTTGAGCTTGAGATAGGCATTGGTAGGATTGTTGAGGGTGGTGCACCTAGTAAGTCCTCCCATTCTTGAGAGGGAAGACCGCCCTTAGCCCAATCAGTTCGGGCATATTCGCGGCGATGATCGAAGAAACGGTTATTGTCTTCGGAATGTTGGAGAGGGAGGATGGTCGAGTGGATGAACTTGTCGAGGGAGTCAAGGTGAGCAAGTAAGGGGGGAGGCAGATCAAAATTCATGTTGGGACAAGGCTTTCTGATCTTCTTGTTAGTCTGTGTTGTCTTTATGTTGTAGCTCCAGGAGCTTTCGTAATCATACTGGTGAGTTATAACTCAACGTGTTGTGGTGGATATCCTTTTCTACCCCAGACTCCACTCCTCATGATGTGGATTCAACCCCGCAGCCCTACCTCGGTCTCGGATCGGCCGCTCGGCTTCTCCACCTGGTGTAAACCAAGCATATCAGCCTTTGGCATTGCTTCACGGTTGGGATTCTATGGTCGATTCGACATCATCTGCGTCTACGACTGCTACAACACATGTGCGTATAGACTTTCGAGTGAATTCTCGGTGTTACGGCACTGATAGCTGGACGGAAGGATGCTCCGGATATCAACAGAACCGCTCGTTGCTTCTTGAAGTGTCCAGCGAGCACCAACAGTGGTATTTACAGCTTCTTTTCTCGGATATAACTGTCACGCAGCTTCTTGACTGTTTCCCACATGATTTGTGCTCTTAAATCAAGGCTGTCCGCCCATTCTTTCGCGCCCGGACTTTTCGATTGGCCTGTCACGTATCTTGCTGCTATTCCTTGTGCGATGACACATCCGCGAAAATGAGCGAATGCAATACCCCAGTCCAGGTCTGGCCTAGCCTCGTATCCGGACTCTTGATACCACCTCAGAGACTCCTCAAGACTGGGAAGACCGGGGATAGAATGACTAGTTCCGTCACGGAGTGTCGGCGCACCTGGCCCCGATTCTTGGAAGATCGGAGACAGAAGGTGAACGATATCTGATAAAGGATGTCCGATGGTAGCCATCTCCCAGTCTAAGACACCAATTACCTTGGGCTCTGTTTTGTGAAATACGATATTATCAATCTTGAAGTCCCCGTGAACGATGCTAGAGCGATCCTTGGGCTGGTTGGTCTTGAAAAAGCGGGCAATTTCCTCCAGGTGTGGAAGGTCTCCAAGGGGGACATTCGTTTTGACATTCACTGCCTTTGATTGGCGTTTTGCTATCCCTATAAAGGTTCGGATTTGGCGATCATAGAAGTTATTATGCCTACCCAACTCCCCTAGGCCGACTGCGTTATAGTCGAGGGTATGCAGTTTGACTAAAGTTTTTACTGCATCCCTCCACCTATTGACCGTCAGCTGATGGGAGAAAATCTCCATAAACCTGAATGCTTACATTTCCTTACGATGCTCTGCAGTCACTCCCGGCATGTAAGGATCTGTGATAAACCGACCGTCTAAGAACTCCATAATGTAGAACGCGGTGCCGATTACCGTCGAATCTTCGCATAAAATATAGACTTTGGGTACTGGAACTTCGGTATTCTGCAGTGCATGTAGAATACGATATTCTCGCTCCACTTGATGCGCCGTTTTGGACATGATCTCGCCTGGTGGCTTCTTTCGAAGCACATATCGTCGGGATTTCGCATCGGTGATAAGGTATGTCGGATTGGACTGGCCAAATCCAAACTGCAGTGCGAGAACAAAAAAGGAGATTCAACTTCTGCGCACAATCGAGATTGACCGTATAGAATAGTTTGGGGATAGATGAGTTACCTGCTTGAGATCAAGTGGTCGCGATATTCCCAGGTTGTGTTGCCCAATATAGTTTTCTAGGGCAACTAGGTCAATGGGTTGTCTGACGGCGCCGGCCATGATGCTGGTCTCGGTGTGTATTACTCCCCCATAGATTTCAGACGCTCTGCAATGCGTATCAAGTTATATAAATCCTACCGTAGGAGGCCCTTAGCTAGAAAGCCGTAATGCAAACCCCACTTGCGCCCCCTCGGCTGGGCTGGCAGGAACCTCGGCTGGTTGACACCGTTCAACAGAAACGCGTTATTGGCACTATCTACCTAGAATTCTGACGTATAGGGGAAGAGAAAATAAAGATGTTAGTATTCCACCGATTGGATAGTGATTCGACTGGAAAACTGTGTAGGATGCGGCTCTACCTGTAAGCAGATTATCGATAATGCTAGATCTTTTATCCAGCAGCAGGATTCGGGCCCCAGGCACCCAAACCCCCGCTGTTTCCACGGATTAAATAATCACCCTTCCAACCCTACCGGCAATATCGGAGTTTCCCTCCACCAACTTGCCCCGCAGAGTGATTGGATTGTACCAACTGTGCCACGTAAGAACGTTTAATGAGCCTCAGCAAGATGCGAGATTGTAATGAGATGAGTACGGAGTTCGAGCTGACTTTGCCAAGCACCACTAACTGGATATTGAATCATCAGTGCCACGGACGAAGGTGTAAAATGCTTGCGAAACCTGGACCCACCGAAATCCGAGATCAATCAAAAGCTAGGAACCACAGAAGTCCGAGTCTGGAGAGTCTGGGGTCTTCTCGTGACGTTGTAGCTGAATTTCTGGTTGCTCTCAGAGACTGCCTTGGTGGAGAACAACAATAAAATAGTACTTTCTAGACCCGATCGAATCACTTCATCGGGTTAATGAAGAAATGATCGTCAGTCATAGCTGTGACGTTGAGCTTCATTCCCACTTCAACCAGACCTTCCGCTCTTGGTACACAGAGCATCCCAAAGGCTGGTTTAAATTTGAGCCCTGGATCAATTCGCCGATATTTCATATGTTGATTCCACGGTTGTCGTGGGTGCGTGTCGGCTGTATCAGGATCCACACTCGGTACATGGCATCGCAGACAGCGGCATACCACGTCTAGATCCAGTGGTCTTTCATAACTATTGGTTATTCGCAAAGTCTTCCACCGGTCCTCATCCCAGGGCGCGCTACCCCGAATAATAATATTTGGCCGAAAACGCTCGATATCAACCTCACTTTCTCCCGCTTGAACAAGGCGTTCGTTGAGCTCCCCCAAACTGGACATGGAAGCAACCTGAACTGGCATCATGTCAGCAAACTTAGTAGCCTCAGTACGCCCCAGGAACTCAGGAGCTCCGCAGCCACGCAGCACACGAGGTGTCGGACCCTTGTACACCAGGCGAACGTCCATATCTAGAAAGTCTGAAAATGGCTGGGTCAAAGAGGTATGGTATTCCCGAGCATCTGTTTCCTGACCCCAAATGCGGACGTTCGTTATTTCCGTGTTATCCTGAAGCCAGTCAGATGTTGGATGCGCGGGGATTTGGATTTTATGCTGTTTGGTAAAAATAGAAAGTTGATCCGTATCGGCGTCGAAAGCAGTTCGAAGAAGCGTCATGTTAGAATTTGTCCGGATAGTCAAAAATTCCCGGGTGTCCGCTGAGATAAACATCCAGTTGCGGTCCAAGTCTAGACCAGTTCGGAAGAGCTGAGCAGACTTGACTTCCAATCCACGACAAGACTTTACAGGGTAGACACGTAAACTGACAATCTCATTCTCGGGAGGCGAAGACGGATAGCTTGCTGCGGACTGACTATCAATCTTGGGGAGAAAACGAAGGAGGAATACAGTTGCCAGTCCAGCAGTGAATACAATATATGGCAGCATGTGAAAATCTAAGATATTTGTGGAGCCATGATAAAATGTTGCCCCCAGATCTGGAGCTTAGTGTTAGGTGTTAGGTGGAAGAACGAAAGTTAGAGCACCACCGTAAAGATGCAGTTAGGATGCAGAAGCAGCCGGCAGTAATATATAATATATCGTAGCCTGAACATGGAGTAACTCTGGCCCACCCCAGGTCGCTTGGAATGCTTTGTCATTTGCATCTCAATGCCAAGTTCGCCGACTACTGGATCCTAAGGCTCCACATTGGTAATCGCTCCTATAGAGCCTTCTCTAATACACTTATTGCCTATCGGATTTTATTAAAGTACTACTAGACAGCGAATAGTTACTACTTAGACTAGTATCTAAACTAGCCTGGATGTCCAAATACGGTCAAACACGCTATAGGAGATTGATTTTATGTCATGGAAGTCCGCTCATGCAACAAAGCGCCCCCTGGCACGGTTGAACGCAATGATCTCATGGTACAATCGGGTTGAGACAAACTGCCGAAGCTAAAAGGCCTAAACCAGGCCACCTAAGCCAAGAAACCCCGGGCCTTTTAGATGGCAACTCGCCACAGGTGACAGTAGTGATAAGAATTGCGCCCAACCTAATCTCTCTAGCCAGATACTCCACCTCAATATCTACAGGTCCTCCCAGATAGTCTGATTTGTCCATGCCATTACCTGAGTCCGACAGAAGATGCGGCGAAGTGGGCCCTAGAGTTGGCCTTGGGTCGGGTTCGTGTCTAAAGTCTAAGACTTGCTCCTGACCCTGCTCTCGCCTAGGTTCTTTATATAATAAATGGTGACCCAATATCCATATTATGGATAGATTCTAATTGCGTAGAGGATTTATATCGTTAAGTAATTTATTATGTTCCAATCCTACTCTATTCTTATATAGAATCCTAAACATCTCCTATCTGCCTAGTACTGTATATCTTGAACATGTTGGCCTACAGTACCCTGCAATGTACCGTTGAATAGATTGTACTGCACCGAACAAGCCCTTACAGGTATAACTACATGATCGATTCGCCTGCCTGCGTTCAGCCATACCACGTCGGACTCTACTCTGTGCTAATCATTCCTCTTCAGTGGCGTTGCCAATCGCTTCCAAGACAGTTGCCAGCCCATTATCTCCCGAAAACGGCATTACATCAACTTTGCAAACCGTATTGGGCTCGGGCAGAGTGCCGTCATTAAAGTACGCCATTATCGCCTTGATAGTACACACAGAGCCTTGCGAAGTTATCGTGTGCTAAGTACGCACCGTTAGAAAGCCCACGTTGGAATTAAGAGGTCGAACGGGGTGTTGAAACTTACTCCGTAACCTTCCTGTTCAAGCACGACGCTTCCCTCAAAACCCTCGCTCATCTTCTTGGCCGAGACAAGCGGCGTGATGGGGTCGTGCTGGGTGCTGACCAGAAGGACCGGGTTCTTAGTCTTGGCCTTGAAGTCGCCGGTGTACTGCTCCTTTGCCGGCATCCCCCAGCGCGCACACTGCAGAGCGCTAAAGTCGGCGAGGTCGCCTCCAATCTTGCTCAGCTCCGCCCGCGCCTCGACACCTGGGAGCGCATCCTCAAGAGTCTCTAGATGGTCCTGGTTATCGCTGCACTTGATCCCCTGGAGAGCTTCCGCGTCCGGGGTGGCCGGCAAGGGGGCCACGAGGTCGGGAAGAATACCCGTGATGTTTCCCGAAAACATCACGTCCAGCTTCTCAGCTAGTGCGGGCCACGTTGAGGGGAAGTAGAGGGCGTGGTAGATCGTCCCCTTGATGGCTGCGTAATCGACTATGTATCCTTGGCCCTCCACGGAAACGGGAATGGGCTTGGACTTCAGTGCCTCCATCGCCGCGTAAATATCTTCCTCAAGCTCTTCGGCAGTACGGTCTCCGGCGATAGGGCATATGTCCTTGTTATCGACGCACTGGGAGCAGAACCCGGAAAAGGCGCTGTCCGCATCCGCCACCTGGTCCACATTACTATACGAAAGCTATAGGTTAGCCGGAATGGCACGTACCCATCGCCTCGAGCGCAGGAACAAAGGACAACGTACATATGGTAGTACTCATGCGCGTCTATGACACCATCCAGGACAGCCTTGTCGATCTTATCCGGGAACATGGCAATGAGCGTCGATCCGAGGAGCGTTCCGTAAGACTGACCTAGATATATGCCATCAGTAAACAGTCTGTGGTTTAAATCCTTTGCATGCGCTTGCTACTTACCCCACCATCTCAGCTTGCCGTCTTCCTCAAGGGCGTCGACCACGTTCATTATGTCCCGAGCCGTGAACGCCGTTCCGATAAGGGTCCCCGTCTCGTTCTGCGTGTGAACGCACGCGTCTGCCTTGTTCTTCACCTCCGCCCAGACCTCTCCGAGGGAAGTGTCGGAGGCGTTTGTAGCAAAAGGGGCTCTCAAGTGAGATGCGATTCGTTCCTCTTCATCTTCATAGCAGGAGAATGGAAGTGTTTTGCCGGTTCCTCTGTCGTGCGTCGTTAGCCTTGTTGTAACTCTCCAGGATTCGACTTGTTTCACACTCACCGAGGTACCACATTCACGACGTCGTATGAGCCTCCGACAAATCTATCCCGTCTCGGTTAGCATTCTATGTGAGACAACGCCATGAGATATGTTACACATACACGCTCAAGACGGACCCCAGCAAGGACATCTCAGCGACACCGCTGGCTCCCGGGCCACCAAAGTTGAAGAACACGCTTCCCTTCGAGGGCTGGTTTGGCGCAGGAACCCTTAGGATCTCGAGGTCGAGCGTCTCCCCAGAGTCAGGTTCAGTGTAATCGAGAGGAACAGCCAGGCTACCGCATTCTAGTTCCGTTGTCCCGTTCACTCCGAGGTCACCGCAGGGTTCCCACTGGATCTCGCCGTAGCCCCGAGTGCCATGGGGCGATGCTCCTGAGGCCAGAGGCGCCGCGGCAGCGTAGGCCACAAGGCCAAGAAAATATGAAGAAATCAAAGTCGACATCGCTTTGGAAAACACAATTATAATAACAAAGCGAAAGGGATATTTGGCTAGAATGTATAGATAGTAGTGGAATCGGAAGTTGCTGCGCGGTCTTTAAATACCTACTTTAAAGCCAAGACTCCTTGGCACTCCGCCCCATCCTTGCTGAGGATCGGGCATCGAAACATCGTGCAGCACCTTGCTTTGCTGGCTGCGGGCGCGCCGAGCTTCCTTCTAAACAGCGATCTCGAGGCTGACGGTTTCTAGCTTTTTGATAGGTTGTCCCTCTTGCGTATATTACCGGATTTGGAGAAACCCAGCGCTCTCCAGGGCTGGCTCTTCGGGTCCACACATAATGGCTAATAGTGGTGGCATTGGCCCCGCCAATCCTTGCATTGGTACTTCTCCACGATCTCTCTTGTCTTGGCAACTTTCCTTCGTATATTACCCGATCTGTTTAGTCCTACTCAGAATGATGACGCGAGGGAAGATGCCGAGAGTACTCCGCCCCACTAAACGCTACCCTAATATACTAGTACCCTCCAACTCGATCTGCAACCTTATTGCTTCTTCCGCTCAGGAGCGTCGAAAATCCGATCAGAATAGATGCTACAGGAATCCTAGGCGCTGAATACCGCAGACTTGCTGCAATAAAGCTATAGTCCTGTGGTATAGGATCGATTTGAAATAAGGGGAACGCCAATGGGATGGACAACGTCTCCGCGCGAACCTTTATAGCCTGCACTGTTCATAGTTTCTTGAAATAGTGCCAAAGCGGCAAAGCCTCAGCAGTCTCGCTGGCGACGGTAGAACTAGGGTTGTTGATACAGGCCACACCGCAGGAGGAGGACTGAGAAGAGGCTATCGAGGAATGACTGAAACCATAGTTTGGTTGCGGCTTGACTGTAGACATAATGCCGTCCACCCATGGATCTGTGTCTCCGAACAGGACAACCCTATAATGGCTGGAGTCCATTCCTTGAGATATTGGATACTCAACAATACAATATTCTAACGTTTAAGTAGAAACGCAATATATTATTGACTCTACGGAATAATTTCAGTTTCTCGGGGGCCTCCGTCCTCCCTCACCGGGACTACTCGTATAATGATATGATTAGTACTCATGTACCCTTACCTGGATGGTAACCTTTGTCAGCCCTAACGAACTACTGCCACGCTAACCAAAATATGTAGGAGCCGCCTGCCTCATATTTCCGCAGCAGATGTCTATTATCTATCCTGAGGCTATAATGGACACATGGTAACTAGGAATTAGTTATGTATGAGTACGACGGAGGGTGTTTCTTTGGTTGAATTCGAGTCTTCGACCGACGAGCGTGGGGGTCGAAATCTGGCTGGCTCATGGCATTGGATTGTGTAGACTCATGGGTTTAAATCCCACAGCAGGCAGTGACCCTGGGTGGTGTCAGCTCATTGGAAAACCTCGCAGGTCCCTATCATACAATAATGAGGCGGACCTCGGAAGAGTGGCGCGCACGGCCGAGTGGACGCCATCCTAAAACACATAGTAAATGCGAAATACTACAACCTTCCACCTGCGAAATTGAGAGACATACATCCTTGGGTGCTATAAACTCGTGTTCTTTGGTATTCTGATGTTTTAACTACCAACCTAGCTGTTAACCTAATAGATGTTTATCCGTGGCAGTACGAATTAATAATATATATTTTAACTGACTGAAGTGGAGTGGAGTACTACAAAAGTATAAAATATAACTATCGTTCATATGCGGGTCCATCATAATATAGGTATATTACCCTGGTAATTAAGGATAATTAAAATCTCACAATCTAAGGCGGTCTTATTCTAATATCCGACCTTCTTGAATGATTGGGCTTGGATTGATGGAGATATCCAGGACATACCCATACATACAATATGGAGTTGGCACGGTGAGTCGCTTATCGATCACGTTATCTTTGGTTGGGACGAACTAATCGGGATCACGGGGTCCCCTCCCTCTTCGACCACCAACCGCAACATCATGAAGTTCGTTCTACCCTTTCCCTCCAATTCCACGGCATTAGCGTCAACATTTCTATTTCCATATCTCATTATGCAATGTCTGTTCCGCATGTTACACCGTCACATGATGACTACTGGCAAGCCAAACGGAGAAAGGTGCGCAAAGGCACCCACAGTTGCTGGGAATGTAAGCGGCGGAAGATGAAGTGTAGATTCGATCCGCGCATTGTTGGTGCCTCCTGCAACGGCTGTCGACGACGCGGCTCCAGGTGTATCAGCCAGGAGTTCCCCGAGGACCTTGCCTATGCTCTCATGGGCATTGGATCTAGCAGCCGTGATGGCACTCCCTTTGACGGCAGCACTCGCGCTGCCACGCCCAGTGAGCGGGCACATCATAATATTCTCACGCCTGGGACAACGCGCTTGGAGCCTTCACGATCCCATGAGTCTTCCGAGGTCCGTCTCCGTCTCTTCTAGTCCTCCCCCCCCCCCCCACTAAAGTATTGTATGATTGTTACTGACTGCTTTCCAGCATTATCTTACGACCACCAGGAATGATACCTCACCACGTAAATACGAGAGGTTGTCTCGGTTCTTACATGAATTACTCCCATCGCGAGACGATACGGAGAGGATCTGCAAAGCCAGTCGCCACTCTTCCATTCTCTCTCACGAATTATTGACTACGCCATACACGACCCTCTACCAGAACGGCCTCCAAACGCCCGACAGTTTACTCATGACCCCAGAACCCAACATGCATCCTGTGTTGATCGCCAGGCACATGCTCCAGCTTGCCCTCTTCCTCCAGCATCTTCCCCCGGGTCTTCCCAAGGAGATTAAAGGCCTGTCGGAACCACCTCGAGTCATCATGGAACGTGTAGCAGATGTTGCAATCTATCACGTCACGACCAACGAAGAACTTATCGGCAGCATAGAGAGCCTCGAGTGCATCATGCTCGAGAGTTTATACCAGGTGAATATTGGGAACCTTCGACGAGGCTGGATCGCGGGTCGGAGAGCCATCAGTGTCGCCCAGCTGATGGGCCTTCATCGATTGGATAACCAGACCCGACACAAGGCGCTCGACCCCAAGACAACTTATAGCCCACAGCTCATGTGGCTCCGTATCCTCATTTTAGACCACCATCTCTGCCTCCTCTTAGGTCTTCCCCAAGGCTGCACCAACCATAGTATGGCCTCCGAGGCCCACCTCGCCAACGACTGCCCCATGGGCCGTCTCGAGCGCCTGCACTGTATCATCATGTCCCGCGTTCTCGAACGCAACGCATCCAAGCGGAGCTGTCGCGACTACGCCACCACCCGCGCCATCGACCTGGAGCTCCAGAAAGCCGCGGGCAGCCTCCCGAGCAAGTGGTGGCTGGTCCCCAAACTCGACCTGGCCTCCACCGACTTGCAAGCCGGGTTCTGGAATATGCGCCGCCTGGTCGTGCAGATCTGTCACTACAACCTGCTCAACCAGTTGCATCTGCCGTATATGCTGCGTTCCTCGTCGGCGGAGAGCCAATCCGAGTATTCGCGGATCACGTGCGTCAATGCGTCGCGCGAGGTCCTCTCGCGCTACATCTCGCTCCGCAGCTTTAACCGCATCGCGTACAGCTGTCGCACCGTGGATTTCCTCGCCCTCATGGCGGCCATGGCACTCCTCCTCGCACATATGGATAGTCATCGCGACGGGGCGGAAAACCTGCTCGCGAACCAGTATTTGGGCGATCGCGGGATGATCGAGCAAGTGCAGGAAAACATGGACGAGATCAACCGGTTGAATTCGGATGAGCTGAGCGCGAAAAGTGCGGAGTTGTTGAAGGCGTTGTTGGCAATTGACATGGAAAAGGGAAATAGGAGCGTGAGTGTGGGGGAGGCGGGAGGCGAGGGGCTGCTGCAGCAGGACGGGATGGGCCTCGAGGAGGAGGGCGTGGTGCAGGTGCATATTCCGTATTTTGGGATTATTCGCATCGTCCGCGATGTGGCGACCAGAACCACGCATCGGGACGCTCTCACCACCATCACTAACTCCGAACCGTCTTTAACACCCCCCTTCCACGTCTCTGACACAGCCGCTTCCCATGAATTTACCACCCCTTTCGCGGACCACCACCATCAACAGCAGCCACAAGGCCAAAACACCTTCTCTGACCCCGGTCTTTCTCTGACCCCATCCCCGCTGGCTCAGGGCGGGTACCCCGAACTAGCCGCAGGCAGCGAGGACTGGGCGTTTCAGGGGGTGGATATGGCGTTTTTTGAGAGCATCATGAGGAATGCTGGGGGTGATATTTGAGCCCTGCGTTTGCAGCGGTTGGGTCCTTGCGACAGGGAAACCGGTCCCTATCCGTGTGAGGAAGTACGGGCACTTAGTATGTTTACGTGGATATTGGCGTAATGACACAGATTAAGCGATCAAGAAAGAAAACAATCAGGTGTATTACAAAAAAGAACTAAAAAGATTCCTAAGTCTGATGTTTCATATTGGAAATGACAGTGTTGGTTTTTATCCTTTCCAGAATCTCGCCCATAGTCCGCCATGTCTAGCAGCGCTAACCAATCACTTGATGTTTCCCATCGACTAGATCCGTCTTATTCTCCTCTGCAGCCTCTGTTTCCCGCTTCTTCCCATGGTCCGGCAGCTTCTTCAACGGAATAATCGGCGTCAAGAGGACCGAAAACGCCGCACACGCCAGCGAAAACGCAAATACGTCCTTAATGCCCACCATATATGCGGCGATCACCGCCGTCAGATCGTCCCCGCTGAACACCTTCTGGAGTTCCGAGGCGCCGGTGCCCAGAACCAGGGCAGAATCGAGGTGGGCTGCACTGGTGAGGACGGTCTGCAGCATCCGGTTGGCGAAGAGGGATTGCGCGATGGCGACAAAGTAGGCGCCGCTGAGGGTTTGGCACACTGGTGGTGGGTGTTTAGTATACATCAAGGTCCACATGCGCATGTTGTTTGCATAGGTAATACTTACTAACCATGATTCCAGTAGCACTGGAGACCTCTTCCAGCGCGGAGAAACCCTGCACAGCCGTCATGGGGACCTGATTGCAGATACCCACGCCAAAACCAAAGAGCACCTCGGCACCAATGTATATGGCTTGGGAGGAGTCGATATCCAGGATGTAGATCAGGGCCATACCAGCAGTCATGATGAGGGCACCGAGGAGTTCGAAGGGTTGTGTGTAGCGGGTCTTTCCAATGACACCACCGCTGACCACGGCTCCTAAGGCAAAAAAGGCGAGGAAAGGGAGGGTGTTGACACCGCTCTTGACGGCGGATTGCCCGTGGATGGACTGGAAGTAGATTGGGAGGTAGAACATGACTTGGTAGAGGGCGCCGTAGGAGCTAAAATGAGTGGTCCTTGGGTTAGTCATGGCTGGGAGATGTATCGCGAAGAATCAGAAGCAACCTTACACGAAACAGAATAGGGCATTACTCCATATTGTGCGCCGTTTCAAAATGCAAAAGGGGGCCATGGCACGTGGGCCCTGTCGCCATTCGGTCACGAAGAAACCAATGGTGAGGACAATCCAAACGACCAAGGTAGCGATTACAGAGCCATGATTCCATGCTTTGGTCTGCCCCCCCCATTGCAGGGCCAACGTCAAGCATACGAGAGAGACGAGGATCAAGCAGAAGCCCGGGAGATCAAGGGTGAGAATGATCTCCCTCCACGTGGCGGGAACAGGTTTGATATGCTCGGGGATGCGAAGGAATAACAATAACAGAACGATGATGGGGACCCCAACGGGCAGGTTGATCCAGAAACACCATCGCCAGGTAACTCCAGTCGTGAATGCACCCCCAATTACTGGTCCAAGAATGGTCGACACCATGAAGACCGCCATCCAAGCTCCGATGAGAAGCGGATGGTTCCTCGGCGGGGCCACGTAGTTGATGACGATGAGTGTGCCTCCGAGGACACCAGAGGCTCCCCAACCTTGAAAAGCACGACCAATGATGACTGACACGCTATTCGGAGCTGCAGCGGCTACAATACTGCCCACCAAAAAGATCCCGACCGCGCTGAGAAAAGTCCACTTCACCTTGACATACTTGAACAGCTTGCCCCAGAGTGGCGAGGCAGCGGCTGCGAGGACGAAAGTCGCGCTTCCATACCAGCCCACATCGTTGAGTCGGCGGAAATCGTTGGTGATGCCGGGAATTGCGGTTGCGATAATACCAATCTCCAGAGAGACGAGGATGGTGCTCACGAAGATAGTGAATATTATGAGACCTAGCCGGATGCCGGTCACATACTCGGGCTCGGGCTTGCCATTGTGCTCTTGGGTGCCGTTAGTGGGACTGTCCTTCCCTGTACAGGTCGAGCCTGACTGCTCGGCTTTGTTGCTGCTTTCCAGGTCCGAATCGTGTGTCATGATTCTTGGATGTCAGCCTGTCGACAGGATGAGAGGCGCTGTAACTTGTAGTCTTGGGTTCACAGAAAGACATGTTGCTGCCAGTCTCCATGACAAAGAACACATCTCGATGACAAACAAACACACCAGGGGGTTGAGGGACGGAGGTGTTACAATTGACACGGTCGACCGAGAGAACTAAAGATTTCGTCCGCCGTCTTGGCAGCCATGTAGAATTTCATCCGCCGCAGTGCTGACAAAAGCTGAATGACTAACTAAAAATGGACTAATTAACTAGCTAGTTAATTGTTAAGTTACTAAGTCAAGAATATTAATAATTACGCAGTGGAGCGAAGCCAAGCAAGCATTATATTCCTCCCTGCACCTTCGACCCTCCGCGTCGACGTTTCCTGACTGCATGACTGACACCTCGGCCAACATGTCTCATTCCGCCGCAGCTTCAGGGCGCTTTCTTCGTCTGACGTCCCTCTCTTTACAAACATTATTATTAATGAGTCGGAGCACTTACACATGTAATGGATTCCTTTCCGATTTCTTGTTCGGCTGGCCCCTGTCAAGACTGAGGGCTGTAAAGAGAGAGTGAGAGCTTCTCGGACATCAAGATACCTTCTGCACATACCGCGGTGGACGTCCCAATTGCCGTCGTGGGCTTAGCATGCCGTTTTCCCGGCGACGCGAGCTCCCCGTCCAAGTTCTGGGACATGCTAAAGAATGGCAAAGATGCCTACTCACCAACATCAACCCGATGGAACTCGGACGTTTTCTACCACCCAAGCGGCGACCAATCGAACACACTACCCGTGAAAGGGGGCACCTTCTGAAACAAAATTCTCACATGTTTGTTGCCGCCATTCTCAACATCACCGTTGCAGAAGCCGTCGCCCTAGATCCCAAACAGCGCATCGCTAAGGGAGTGACATAGGAAGCCTTTGAAAACGCTGGCATGTCTCTTCAACGGATTTCTGGCTCCCAGGCAGCCTGTTACATCGGAGCTAGTGTAAGCGACTATCGAGAAGCAATGGAGCGGGACTTCTTGCACAATCACAGATGGCCATCACGGGTGGTGTCAGTCTGATGCTTACTCGGGACCTCACTACAAATCTGAATAATTTGCAATTCCTCAACCCCAACGGCCGGCCGACGGCCTTTGATGAGAGTGCAAGTGGAGATGGCCATGGCGAAGGTTGCGGAATCATCCTCTTGAAACGGTTGGCAGATGGAATCTAAGATGGCGATGACATCCGTGCCATCATCCGTGCCACTGGTGGTAACTCAAATGGCTTTACACAGGGAGGTAACTATATTGAGAGAGATGTGCATTATACCCGAATACAACTCCCAGCTTTGGGGCTCTTCTCGGGTCGCCGACGGCCAGTTGACCAGCCGGTGAGACTAACTTGGGTATGTACAGGGTTATTCTATCTAGATAGTGGTGACACGCTGCCTTCGTGCGGCCTTGAAGTTTTTAGTTCCCTTCTCCTCGTTCCGTCTCTCCAGCTCAACCAAATAGCTCACATCGACAATTGTGTCTGAAAGTACGCGTACAGGCCTAGACGGCGTAGATTGGGAATACCAAAGGGGTCTGACAATAGCGGCGATCATAGCCGGCTGCTTCCCCTAGCCCGTCGCCTCACCCTACCGCTGGTGAGGTTAATCCGCTGCCGCAGGTGTCAGAGTCGCTGCTGTCCCTATTGCCGCGTAGTCGTGGGGCGCCAGATAGGCCAGGCGCTTTAGGTAAGTATATTCTGGTGCCATCAGCGCAGTAAAAGACTCGTGTGTCCGTGTGATGCTACCAATCAGGAGGGCCTTGTACTGAGGGACATTAAGCAGAATAAGCTTGTTCTTGACTGTGGCAGAGTACTCTGCTCGTAGCTCTGGGGCCGGGAACTATTATTCGATCAGCGACATTGTTACATATCAGGTCCAGCGTCTTGAGCGGGATATTGGATGTTGCTTTAATACTATATCGGCAACTAACAGAGAGTACATACAGATATCTACAGATATTCAGGATATGCCGCAGTCTAGTCTTTAGCATTTGTGTAACATTATTGTTTGTTTCGACAGCCAATAGAGCCGAGTTGGAAAAGAAAGAAAGTTCATAGACTATGCCTAGGTATTCTATTTAGCTCTCAGAAGTAGAGCACCTTCATTGTGCTGATCATTGATGTACAGGCTCTTTCAGCGTACTATGATCTATTTGGCCGCTCGGCGGTCCGCCTGCGGAGCGTTGTAGGCCAACGGGCTTCAAGAATTCAGATAAGCAGTTTGAGGGAGATCGACGATATTCGGGATTCTCAGAAGAAATGTATTGGGATTGAAATAGAACGAATCGCTTGAAGAGCTGGGTAATCGTTGCCTGAGGCAACCGCCGTTACAAGTGAGCAGTAATCTTAGCGGCCATGGCCCACCTTGCCTAAAGTCTTGTTCAACCACGTATGGATCGTCCTTGAAAGCTCCTGTCCAGCACCAGTTTGGCAATGAAAGCCAGCAACCCCCTTGAAAGTATGCAGAGTAGCCCAGTGGCCCAGCGCATCCGCCACCTGCTTAGGCTGTCCAACATAACTGCTCTCCAGCTCGGCATCACCGACAAACACCGGCATCCTGATTTTGTCAATGAAAGACTCTACGTTGTATTGCTTGATCTGAGTAAAGAAGTCCGAGGGCGAGTGCGTGTGGAATGCCCACATGCCTTGGTCGATGCCCCAGGCGGCGCCGGTGGGGAGCTTCCCGGCTTCCCGAGCAGAGAGGACGGCGTCGTCAAATTGCGTGTAGTTGCCCGCCTCGTAGATGTCGAGCATTTCAGATGATAGCTCCCTTGTGTATGCCGCGTAGTTGTCCCAGACGCCGTCAATAAAGACTGCTGCGGACAAACGGGGCTCGAAGGCTGCAGCACGGGCAGCCAGGTAGCCGCCGAAGGAGTTGCCGAGGAGGACAAGACGATTCGTGTCTACGACGTGCTTCTGCTCCGAGAGAACATAATCCACGACGGGTATGACGACTTTCTCCCAGTCGGGAATGAAACCAAGGTTCTGGTTCCGGCGCACACTTGGATGTCCTGGACCTTCGTAGGTGATACAATTCCATCCTCGAGCCAGGGCGGGCGCGACGAAGTTGTGGTAAGAGTCCTCCTGCGCAGCGTCGAAGCCGTTCCCGATGATCAATGTCGGCAGCTTGTCATGCTTGCTCTCCGAAGCAGAGTACCAAATAGCCTCAACGGTGAAGTTACCCTTTTTAGCCGGAATGCGAATGCGCTTGCCAGGAATCGGCAAAGCAGCTATCCCCTTGTTGAACGCCTCTGTCTGCTCGGCCCACAGGCTGTTGATGAGCGGATTGCTCCAGTTGCCGTGGAGGTAGGCATCAGCCCTGCGGAAGTACGACGCCGCAGAGAACCACGTGTCCCTGACATTGACAGGGTCGTAGGCATTTTCCGGGTCTTCCGCCTGTCCCTTAGTATCGTTGGCGAGCTTATAGAAGACCTCGCTGAAGGACGTCATGTTTCCGGCTTGGATTTCTTTGGCAGCGCCAAGAATGGGCCCGACGTCGCCTCCTCCAGTGATGGACTCGCCGAGAGGAGTCAGCAAGTCGAAGTTCATTGTTGAGTCATTGCTCAACAGCAGCATGGTGCTGTTAGCGGTGCTGTACGCCGCACTCGCTACACCGGAATGCAGCAGAGCGGCCAAAAGTGGGCCGGTGTAGGCGGAGGAAAGTAATTTCATGGCGAATTCCGAGCCAAAAGAAAGCTTGGAGGAAATTGTGATAGCTCTTTGTGACCTGTGAACTATTTGTTTTGTTTCTCATTGATTGCTCTCGTTTCTTGTCTTCTATCTCTTGAATCTCTTCTTCATATACTACCGTCTTTCTCTTATACCAGGCATCTAGAAGGGACATACTACGCAATTGGGCCCTTCCCAGGCTAAACCGCATCGAGTATGCATTTTGCGACGGGGCCCTCTCATTGGTCGTGCCCCCAACTTACTTCCGTAAGCCGGCTGTGCTGCATTAACGATACTGACTTGAGGTAGGGCGCCTTAAGATCGTGTGTGGAACTGTCAGAACCACTGTGGCAAAAGCGTCACCGCCCGTCATGGGTCCTATTGTATTTTGTATACTCCATACAGCTGGCAAAAATTTGTAGAAGCCTAGAAGGCAACGATATACGAACAGATCCACAGGAATCAGCACGATGCTTTCGCACCCTCCGTCTGTAGCCCCGAGCCATAGCAAACTTATTAACTTCACCCACCCATCGCAACCTGATCTCTCTTTTTGGCATCGTCGCTTGTCGCAATGGTCAACCACGGGCGCTCCGGAGGTTGCGTGACATGCAAGCAACGCCGCGTTAAATGTGACGAGGCGAAGCCCGACTGCCGAGCGTGCCAGCGCCTTAAGCTTCGCTGCGGAGGCTACAACAGGCCCAAGGATGCTAAATTAAAGTTCAAAGACCAGAACCACAGGTTCTGCACAAACATCAACCAAGATGTTAATTCTCACAGCCGGGAGATCGTGAGGGCCTTGACGTTGCGGCGGCTCCCTGAGCCTGACACCGCCGTGCAGTTCTATCTCGGCCATTACGCCAGCATGGGCCGCGATATGAAATCCACGCGCGGGTTTTTCGAACTGCTTCTTCCAGCCTATTTCTCGGAGCCGGAAGGATCGGCGCTCTCGCTCGCCGTGTCGGCGTTGGCTTCGGAGGTCTTGTCCATGTGGCGGCAGGATGCCAGCAGCTTTCGCTCACCACGAAACTCTTATTCCCGGGCGATCACACGCCTTCAGAATGCGCTACAGGATCCCATAGAACGTGGCAAGCCGGCAACTGTGTTGGCTGTGCTGACGCTCCAGATTTACGAGAATGCCTCTGCGATATATGATCTTCGCCGGGTCTCAAGCACGCACCACAATGGCGCAGCATCTTTGCTCTCATCTCTGGCCCCAAACAATATGGACAGGATGGTGCGCGCCTACCTACGAAAGTTTATGCTACATACCGAAGTTTCGACCGCGATACGTCAACAAAAGCCACTGGAGAGTATCGCATACTCATGGATTAGGAGCAAGGATACGATGGTTGTGCCAGAAAACCCCAGCTCAGCACTCGATGCCATTGGGGCGTCCGTTGCCGAATTACAGGCCAGCTATATGCAGTTTGTGACACAGGGTGGCTCCAGGACGTCGTTGACCTGCGTTGTGAAGGAGTGGATAGCCAATGCAAAGAGAGTTGATGCACAGCTTCTGGCGTGGGCGGAGAACGTACCGGATTACTGGAGGCCGGTAAGGCTGATAAGTGGTCGGGATATCGATTCGTCCATACCCACCTACCAGTCTATCTGTGAGGTGTACCCGTCCTGCCAAATTGCCAGTATTTGGAATCTCTGGCGCTTCCAACGCCTCCTGCTGGCCAAGATCACACTCGGCTCCCTCAATGTATCCTCAGATCTAGGTCGCTTGGGTTTCGCATACGGCCAGTCCTTCGGTGACCCCACAGATTTCGTCAACTCCCAACAAAGACTCCAAGAAGTGGTCGACAGCGTGTGCTACAGCATACCCTTCTACCTTGGCAACCGAACCAGCCGGTCCAGTCTCACAGATTTTACTGACCCAACGATTTTGCTTCCCAGCCATGATTTATTAACAGACGGGACACGACTGGACAGGGATCGTCTCGACGCGGGCATATCGAGAGACGACCACAGGCGGCATGTCATTGCGCAGGGGCCATGGCGCGCCATGCATCCGCTGAGCCGTTTGTTGACGCTCTGCTCGGAAGATCACAGCAAGATGATAACGAGCCTTCTGAGGCCTGGACAGCGGGAGTGGATCTGCAACCAGTTCCTGCGTGTTGCCACATTACTGTATCTTCCTTCGGAGTCGGGCAATGACATGGAGAGATCAGAATCAATGGGAGGGTCTGCCGATGCCCAGGCGGAATATCTGGCCAAGGAGATTAGGAAGGGTGCAATGCTTATGACGGGGCCGTAAAGCTTGGAATTTGATTGAGCGAGATCCAGTATTGGCCACTCACTGGACCGTACTCCTCGTGAGATAAGGTTATATCATGGGACCTAGGCATAACAGTACCAATCGAGTCTATACTTGATCCGCTAATACTACTATACAGGGTGCTAAAGATTCGATATGTCCAGTTAATGAAAGTCAGAGATTTAGGATAGACAATTGACAGACTTCCCCCGGTCGCAAGATCCCAGAATTCACGCTTCTTGAGTAAGTTTAGCCACTCACTATCGCCTCCTCTGAGCCGTACAACCTCGGCAATGGGTTAAATCTGACCGTACCGCTCTCAGATGGCAGGTACCAAGGTACAGAAGAGGGGTCCCTAGGTACAGCCCGTCCCTCGAATACTATCGTCTCCCATTGTCATATCCAACCCCATACAATGTGTTCCACGAGTGACAGTCGTTTTGTATTCAACAATACAAGTTGTTTCGTGAAATTGCCCAGAACCAGAACAAGAGAGCAACGGGGCGAGTTCTAGCAGAAGGCTATGATCTTCCTCGCCTGTAAATGACATAGAATGGTCGTATATGTTCCCACTTGCTGACCGAAAATCCTGCTTGGAGGAAGAGTATGACCCATTGCCCACCACTTGGCAGTGCAGTCCACCAGCCAAGCACCGCATATAGTACCGAAGAAGCTTCCAAGGCAGCCACTATCAGGTCAATGCAGAAGACACAGAGACAGAGCTGGCGAAGGGTCACACGCTTCAACACAAAGCATTGTCGCATTATATTACCAACAGCCTTGACAGAGCTAAAGATACCTGCGAAAAATGCTAATCTAGCGTTAGTTTCGTCTTGAATATGAGAATGTTATACAAAGGCTGAGCGGGGAACATTACCCCACAATAGACAGATATTAGCCATGGTTTTGGCTTTGCCTACACCAGCGTCCAGATCGATAGGTTGGCCTACCGACCACCAATAATACCCTTGTATGGTTATAATAGACCCAACATGGTGAACAAAGGGTAACAGGCCGAGACTTTCCGATGAAGATATATCGAAGAGGAAGAGGGCGGCAACAATAGCAGTGCCAACATATGCTGAATCACCATAAGTGAAGTCGGATTGCGTATAGTAGGAATCAGACCAGGAGCGTCCTCGCCAGAGCACCAAGAAGACAGGTTGGGAGATGAAAGCCAACGAGATCACCTTTGCGAAAAGGTCCAAATGATGAAAGCGGAGTCGGCTCTGTTGACGGGGCTCCAGGAGCGAATAGCTCTTCCCGTATACTCTATTCAGGTTATCGACCGTAAACACATAGCGATGCATGATGACAAATAAGATCACAAGAATCGAGGTCAACAAGCCAGCAGAGCTGGTAATTCTGGTTAGTACCAAACATTCCCGAAACGTGGGGTCAGAAGTAGTCTTCGTTCCATGCGCCAAAAGTGTTCTGCAACCAGCATCGTATAGGTTGCTCATTTTGAGACTCGTAGCGGTGTGAGGACAGATGAAGACGTGGTACGTGAGCTAGATATGTGGGCATTCGGTTATAAAAGGAGTGAGGTGGCCCTGAAAAGTCCAGCCTCGAAACACAGTCACAAAGTGCCTCTCTTGGGTCATTCCAATGGGCCCCTAACTGAAGTCCCCCTTTCCGGGATGATACCAGTATACTCTATTGACTTTTTGACCCACTCCCGAAAATTGTGAGGTAGTAATGCAACTCAACTTGCTGGACGGGTGCGACTGGAAAATGCGTTCCAGATCGCTCCCACAAGTGGATGGCAGCTTCCAATTGCATCGACACCTAGGAATGCTGAAGGGGAAGTGAGATCTTGAAGGTTTCGTATTTCTTTATTGGAAAAGGTGTATGCAAAACAGGAAAATGCATTGCAGATCACTCCCACAAGTGGATGGCGGATTCCAATTGCATTGACACCTAGGAATGTTGAAGGAATGTAGTATATGAAGGGTTTGCTGTTTCCTTGCGGAATCGAACGAACCAGGTGTAACCGTGGAGGGGGGCGTAAATTTAACCGGACTGGTCAGTGGAATGTTTTGTTTTTGTTTTATTTTATTTTTATTTTTAAATTTTTATTTTTATTTTTATTTTTTTTCAATTCCTTCCGTTGAAAGACAGCACATAAAGGGTGAAAGCTGCGAAAAGCAAGGTTTTGGCGAAAAGAGGCAGAAAAGCACCAGAAGCTAGTTAGGGACCTAGACCTAGGTACATTACGAAGCGTTGAGTAGTACATAGTATCCGTGACCGGCTTATTGATACAGAACTGAACCCGGAGACCAACCTAGAGAGTTACAAGCCACACTTACCTGAATGTGTATCGCTTCTGCTCCGTGGCAAGATAGATGCTCTAGGTAAAGATGTTATCCGATGCTTAGTGAATGACGAAAACAACGGACTATTAAAACCGGTGCTCGGTGAACCCTATTGTAAGTAATTTAATCAACTTCAATATTAATATAGGATACATACATCAGCCAGTTCCTGGTCGTGCCACTCGATGATTATTTTTGTTTTTTTTTTTATATTATTGCTGTGATCCACCCATAGTCGGCTAAATGGCCGAAGGTACGTGCTTGTCCGGCCAGAACCCTGTGGCTCTCGCGGATGCACCCGTTTGCAATTTAGGATTTATTTGTAAGTGTTGCGAGCTTGCTTGATCCTCTATCTAAGACTCTTAGAATCTGTCTAGCTGCTGAGTCCAGAGTCCTATTTTACCCATTCGCCATATGGCAAGAGGAGGCCGGAAGCCTTAGCTGCTGAATGCTGACGAAGGCGCTGATCCAATAAGGTCACAATACAAATAGAGAGAACCCACCAAAATTCTGCCCACCTACAAAAAGCTGCCAGGCGGTTCGCCTGCAGCCATCGGAGAATATCTGTCAGGAACTGCAGGGATCGTTCGAACCAGTTGCCTGCACGCCTGGCTATTACTGTCCACCCCAAAGCCAAGAGCAAATCCGATGCCCGCCAGGCTCCTATTGTCCCCTAGGAAGCTATCATCCCAAACGCTGCGCAGCTCTTTCAATATGTGCAGAAGGGAGTTCTCGAGAGATCTCAGTCATTGGATTTGTAATATTGGGTGTACTGTATCTGCTTTGTGCCATTCTGGGGTTGGGGACGAAAGCATGGAAACAGAAGAAAGGGCTGCACGCTCCTAATACTTTTCCATCGGCAAGAACTTCCTGGGACCAAGGACACATTGAGTATGCAGGGGGACCGGCGGGTAACTTCCCTGCTCTTGATGCCGCGTACGAACAGGGGTCCATTGTCCGAGAAATTCCTCACTTTGGGACGATGTCCGGAGACAGACAACAGGGCGAGCGTGGATTGGACTTCCAGCTCCGTGATGTATGCTTTTCTAAGAAGGGTGTGCCACGCCCCGTCTTGCAGGGAGTAACTTGCCAGATACCGAAAGGCCACATGTTTGGGATCATGGGACCGTCAGGAGCTGGCAAATGTATGTCATTCTTCCTTAGAGGGGCATAAAAGCGCCCAGGGCTGATATCTGCTAGCAACCCTCCTCCGTATTCTCTCGGGGATGAAAACACCAAGCTTTGGGTCCCTCACCATTAGTGGAATTTATGGCTATGATGCAAATATTCGGCGGTAAGCTGGGCTGTATTCTGGCGTTTGGCCGCCGATACGGACTTCTGATGACAAACAGATACCGTCATTGTATTAGCTTTGTCCCACAGGACGACATCGTCTTCCCAAATCTCACTGTTTGGGAAAACATCCTACATACCGCGACCATTCGACTCGGGGGGACGTACACGACTCACGACATAATGATTCACGTGGACAATATCATCACATATCTCGGGTTGGATCATATAAGAGACCAGCAGGTAGGGTCTCCAGAGAATAGAGGGATATCTGGAGGAGAGCGCAAGCGCGTCTCGCTCGCCAGAGAAATCGTTGCAATGCCGTCAACCATCATACTTGATGAGCCAACATCGGGTTTGGATGCCACAACCGCTTTGTCCGTGATGGGCCTGCTGAAAGATCTTTCCGGTCTTGGTATTACGGTTATTTGCGCCATTCATCAACCTCGAAGAGATGTCTTTGATCTGCTAGATGATTTAATGCTTTTGGTCTCTGGAAGACCAATTTACGTTGGACCACAGACGAGTATGCTGGACTATTTTCAGTCGATTGGCTTCACGTTGCCCAAGAAAGACAATCCTGCTGACACTGTTATGGACCTAATCAAAACCAGACAGGTAGGGTGTGATATCCCATGGTTTGAAGAAAAGCAAGCGTTAGCAGGAGGCTTGCCAAGTGCGGAAGGACGATTTACGGAACATTGTCCTGCAGTGGCCGCATCAGTCATGGCTGCACCTGTTTTCACGCCTCCTGACGATCGGGCGGCATGGTTAAGCCAGGTACTTACATATATTCGTTGTGGTGCTAAGCAGCAGAAGAACCAGCTTTTTGGTATTCTGCTGGAGATTGTTACAGCTTCATGTTGCGGCGTCCTCATCGGTCTTTCCATATATGAATCGAAAGGTCATATTTTTCAAGGCTACTTTAGGGAACCCTTTCAGCTCTTGTCCAGTGCGGTGGATTACAAGAGTGTACCAACAGCGGGACTTCTCTCCAGCCTTGCAATCAGTAAGCGAACTTTCGGAATCCTAAAACTTGGCAAGGCGAACTATATTGAGAATCTCCACAACTAACCCTAGCTTTGCTATCCGTCAGGCCTTGCAGCTGCACCAGCTGGAATTAAAACGATTGCAGAAGAGAGTATGGCTACTACCTATCAAAGTCGTGAGTTAACGATGGAACTGACTGAGACTTGAAGAGATGGTATTCGGCCAAGAAGTCCATTCGGGACATTCCGCTAGTGCATACTTCATCGGCAAAGACTTGTGTACATTGCCCCGTATCTTGATATCGACTCTTCATTTCACAGCATTTTTGAAAGTGCTGGCAGCCACAGTCATTCCGGTCCATATCTTGTTCTGTATAAATGCAGCATATTTCTTTTGTTGGTCCTGCCAGTCCCTTGAAGGTTTTTTACCCTTGGCTAACACTTTAATAGGCATCTATGGACTAGCTTCCCTCGTTGCATCCTTGGCCCCACGCCAGGATGCTTTATTGTTAGCAATGCTCACGAGCCTTACTGCAGGGGTCCTAGACGGGTCAGGCCCTCGTTTGGATCAAGTTAAGCATTGGAAAATGGGCTGGCTGTGGTACATTTGCCCGGGAGTATGTCGGTTTGGCCCTGGCACCCACACACATTCATGGACTGACCTTTCTGTCTCAGACTTGGTATTCTGAAGCTTGGTTTAGCGAGCACGTTATGCCATTCTCGTATCTGTATGACACTGATGCAGCTGCCCACTTCACCGGGTATATCACTGGGAGAACGGGGTTTGATATTGGGTGAGTACACCCTGGCCCCCCTCACAAATGAATCTTACATTGACTCCCTTTCCAAATTGTTAGGCTCATGATTGTCATTGGAGTTGTGTACCGTATTTTAGCGTACCTTTCTCTATCGCTACCTCGAATGAGAGGTCCGGCAACAGGAATGAAAGGCGCTCAGTAATGTTCAGCACCACTTGGACAGCAAGCCTGAGCGGTATGCAGCTTCAAAGTGCAACCATGAGGGAAACTCAGCCTAACTTGACCCAATCATGTTTTTCTGGATATGACCGTGCTAAACCATTTATAGGCATTATATAATGAGAACGGCGGACTATCTATCACGCTAAGTGTTGTCAGGAAAGGGAAGGAGCTAATGTGATTGTACGTAAAACCCTCAATAGCTAGTTTACAGCTGCACAACAACAACAACCATCTCCTACCGAACCGAACCGGAGAATTTCGATTGCTACACCCTATAAGCGTGCGTATGGAAAAAAAAAGATTCGTTCGATACAGTGTATAGTATTACTCTGTCTATAACAGTGACGAAACTGCTGATTAATATAAGCATACTCTCTCCAACAAGATATCTATTAGGATATAGATTGGGTTACTGAGCTTTGAACCAGTATTTAGTATGTTACTGTGATGTAGATAAGTATAGGATTCATTTATGGCTGAGTAAGGTCTACGAAGAACTCCTAAGCTTAGAGGTAATAAGTGTCTTCTTTTAGCTGCTTATTTTGTATTCTAGCCGATAATATTCTATTTTAGTAACCTATCTGACCGATAGTCAATTGGATGTGACTATATGTGGAGTGAATCCGAGGGTTTACATATATGTCTGTTCGACGGAAATATTTGTACTATAGCTGAAACGGATTTTAATTATATTACTACACCCTAGTACCTTGCCTGTTATCCTGTTACTCCTAGTAGAAGGATATAAGTACTGTGTATCAAAGATATTGTCTCATGTAAGCTGGATCCCTGGTCTCTGCACTAAAGGTCCATGGCTTTGCCCCGTATAATCAATAGACCTGATAAGCATCATAAAAAAAGGAAGTATAGTGAACTTTTGGCACACCTCAAACATGAATCATTTGTAACTAGCCTTATCCTATACCCCCAATGGACAGAAAATAATTATTCCATTAGAAATACGGCCATCTTGTCGTAGAGGTCATTCTTCGCTCGTTCCTGGACCGATCCTGTCTCATATGCCTTGTCAAAAGCGTGCCCACAACCGTCATGCCTGTACATCTTGACATGCTTGCTTGTCGTATCTTTGATCCTATATCCAAGAGCCTCTCCCTCAAGGCAGAGCCGATCACAAGCCGCAGTAACGAGAAAGATTCTATCTGAGAACCTCTCAGCTGGTATTACGGATGGTGAAGCAAGGATACTCTTCACGTCTTCGGGGTTTGAGTAATAGGAGCGTATCAAGTAGCTCAACAGGGGCACTGTCTATGGATGTATCAGGGGCAATCTTGTCCGTGGAAGTTTTGCTATCCAGCAGCAGAAACAATTGCCTTTCCATCGTTTTTCTTCAGTTTTGGCATTTGCAAATGATATTGCTGGAGAAATGATTAGTAAAAATATCGAGGGCAACGGCTGGATATGTGAAGATGTACAATAGAGGTATTGCAAGTTAATTCAGGTGAGCCCACTGAAAACCCCACCCAGAGATGGTTGCCCACTAGGTTCTAGAATATAAAATAGGGTATAGGATCTAAACTATAATAGAACAATATACAAAAATGTCAAAGGCTACATATCATTTATTCATGATTCTTGCCTGGAAATAAAGTTGGATTCAAGAAAGAAAGGACATTAGGATAGTACACATTCTGGTGGACCCTGTAAGGTCCTAGCTACCATGAGACAGGATTATTGATTATGACAAATTTAACTGATCACCAGCCAAACACGATCACAAGTAGTACGCAGGATAGACTTCTGCGTTGTACAAGCATAACCTTTCTAACATTGAACGGACCCATCTGCTAGAGCCCAGACAGGACCCGAAACGGCGTCCGGGTCAGCCGTGGTATCAAGATTACTATCCTTAAAGGCTTGGGGAACAAGGCCACCCTTTTGAGGATTATTTTCTGGACTCAACAGCTGAATGTTTGTAGAGCTGTCAACATTGAAGGCTAGGTTTACTTTGGGCGGAAGGTTAAAGTTCGAATACAACGTGCAGGTGCGATGGCCCGATTGAACAGACTCTGGAGTTGAGAACTTCCAAACATAGTTGGCACAGGAATCGAGTCGTTTCAAGCACTCCTTGATGCAATCACATTCGTCTTTGATCTGTGGGAATTTGAGATCGACTTCAGTAGTAACACCGGTCACGTCGAAGCCTCGGGTATATCGAATACAGCCGCTGTTAACGGTTTTCAGGCCCGGACAGATCAGGGGTTGATTAGGTCCCTGTTGATCATGGACAGAGGCCGGATGCGCAGACGCGACGCCCACTAGAAGAGAGATGAGGAAGCTGCTAATGTATGCCATGTTCGGAGAATACTGTGAATGCAAATGAATTTATTAAGAGGTAGAAAATGCAAAAGATCCCCGCAAACTATATAGGACGCGGGTAGCCTGGCCAGAGATGACTTGGTCTATCGACTGCTTTGCCACACTCCAAATAGCTTTCTGTGTTCCAGATGAACTTCTCAATCAGTCAACCGGGAGGGGGGAAGGAACAGGGAAAGAGGGGATTTTGACTTTGCGTAGTGCGAAGCTCGTAAAGTTTAACACAGGCTTTCTTGCAAAGCTTGGCCAGACTGATCCATATCTCTAAAGCATAGTAACGTGCTTCAATCCATATAGAAGACCCATGGTTCACCCAGTGTTGAATTTCGAGTTTTCTGACTCCCACTATTATAATATTGGTAATTAGCGCCACCACCATGACCTACGTTGGCCTAGATAAACTTCTCATGACGCGGAAATGGTCCACAGCGAAGTAGTTCACGGTATAACCCCGGACGTCCGTCTGAAACATAATCTCCAGTGGTCTTCACTTTCATGGCCATAGTTCCTGATGGCCGATCTTCAATATTGGGATACAGTGTTAGTTGTAGTTTCTGTTGTGGGCCTTGCAGTTGTTAGTGTATTCTTCGTTCTTCGCCTCCTCAGTCGCCAATTATCGCGACAAAGGCTCGATATCGGAGACGGTTTTATGGGAATCGGGTTATTATTCTGCTACGGAGTTGCAATCTGTACTATTATTGGTCGGACAATCGACTCTTTCGCCTTCGATTAGAGGCTGACATATACATTGTTGCAGCTGCATTCAACGGGGTTGGGCAGGATATATGGAGCTTAGATGAGAAAACTCGCAGCCGTAGGATACTAGTAGGCTCTGTCCTCTCGAATTTATCGACGGAAATTATTTAAACATCGCAAGTTATACTAACCTTTGGCAGCTCTTCTGGCTTACGCAGACGCTGTGGCCATTTTCGCAAGCTTTCGTCAAGTTATCCATCATTATGCTGCTTCAGCAACTTTTCTGTGTTCAAAAGCGGTCGATTCTATTCTGGCCTTTTATCGTCTTTACTGTGAGTTGGGCTGTTACAGCGATATTTGGTAATATCTTTCAATGCTCTCCCCCACGATACTTCTGGCTTCAAGCTACTGTTAAGGGAACATGTATGAGCGGCCAGAAAGCTTTCTACATGGTCATAGGCGCATTATCTCTCGCGGAAGATGTTGCACTATTGCTTCTACCGATTTCCGTTGTTTGGAGCTTGAACATGGGCATTAAGCAAAAGGTCCAGGTTACTGCCCTATTTTGCCTTGCTGGGTTGTAAGACCTATCTGTCTATTGTGTTTTACCATAATCCTGCTAACAAACTCGCCATAGAGCTTGTGTGTTTAGTCTTCTTCGTTTAGTTGAGTTCAACCGCTACTTGACAAGCACCGCCACGTGTGAGTATGATAATAATTCTGGTTGGTTCACACTACTAAGGGATATACAGCCAGTGGCTCCAAGGAAGCTCTCTGGACACTCCTCGAGCTTTATATGGTAATTATTTGCTCTTCCCTTACATTAATGCGACCGCTATTTGGCTCCTTATCCTCGACATGGATCCGGTGGCGAAAAAAATGCAAACACCTGAGCTTTCCATGTCAGTAGCCCAATGCTTGTGTTTTGCTATACACTATTTTGAGAATATGGGGCACTTTCGTGCAATAGATACTCTGTCTCCTCTATCGATTGCAATATTCAACGTACTCGAGCAGGCATGATTCCAGAAAAACGATATAATAATACACACTATATTTGCTTCCCAAATACAAAGGGCTATACGATCAGCGTGGGCCCGAACTATATTTCTTCGAGTTGCATGTGCGAAAGAAAATGCATAACAGAAGTTGCTCTAATATGCCTCCATACCCCGTCTTGCTTAGGCTCCTTCCGTAGGTGCCCCTGGTGTGCGTATCGCTTAATCTATAACATTCTACAGGACTCTATCATCGGCCTGGCAGACTGAAATATCGCAAGCATATCACATTCTAATCAAAGTAATTAATGTTGTTCTCTTACGAATACTCTGTCATTTGAACCAGGCTTATACAGTGCAGTTACAGATGGCGCTTCCTGTAACCAAGATAGCTGGTTATCGACGCATAACTGATCCAAACTACTCCAGCAAGAACAGCATACGCAATCACTACCCCGATGGGAGCGGCGGCAGTACCGATTCCCGTCAGCCAATAGCTCAATCCTACATTGATACTTCCGAGGATTATAAGAATTCAATCAAATCACTGATGCAGATAGGTGGTGACACTCTTTTCTCGTATCTTCGAAAGTACCAGTGCTGCGTTAGCCCTATCACTGGCTAAACAAGCCCGAGACACGCAACAATTTCAATTGCAATAGCTGGAAAATATCACTATAGCAGGGTACACAGCTATAAGTAAGCGTGAATGAATTCCCACGATGCGGGGGGGGGGAAGGGAGAGCGAAACCCCAAAACAAATAGCGGCAATAAAAATATGAAACGCAACTATGATCAACACCCCGTGAGCTATCCTTTTCTTGCTGATTAATTGAATGCCAGTAGTAAAGACAGCTTGTCCAGAGGCAGAAGTCATCATTCTTAACCCTCCCCGGTTGCCTGCTATCGGTTAGCAGATACAACACTAAAAGTATCATATATGACAATAGCTGCAGAGGTATTTTTTTTACAGTCTAGCAGCGAATTGTATTCAATAGCCCATATCCACGAGCTTAACGAGTTCCTCACATCTTCAGAACCGCCGTCCAAGGTGATACAGCTGTCGCAGCGGATGTTAGCTGTAATTACTCCATTTTTGGTCCCCCTCATGGCGAGCACTGACATGTGAGCCTGTAGATTATAGAGAGGCTCGACATGTCCTATATCCAGTCTGGGAGGAAACGTTCTATTGTTCTCAGTTGCCTAAACGACGAATATGGTATATCCTTACATCATTGGTCCTTTACCCTATGCAAAACCATTGAACTGATAACGTGGGTTTCTTTTGCATAAAGATGGTACCCAAGCCTGTGTTGCTAGTCTTTGGGGGATGTTGACGCTATATGTGACTGCATTTTGTACTGGAGGAGAGAAAGTTTCAATTTGAGCTAGCGTGTGAGTAAGAGGGAAAGAGACCATCCACATAGAGCCGGCATCGAACATGGTGCAGCAAGAATGGTGGTGACTTCTATCCTGGGGCACCGGGGGTGAAGAAAGGAGCAACAAAAGTCGCGGGAGTTCGACCACCGAGAGTTTCTCTCAAAATTGAAGTGTAAAAACAGATTTAAGTCCTTTTTTTTCCGACTTTCCATAGTTACCCAGTTCACAGGGGAGCGCCGTGAACTCTAGAGAGTTTATGCGCTCCCTCATCAGAAAGCCTATTTGTTGATAGGCTGTACAAAAGTTGAAACTCAATATTCCAAACTATCGAGGTAAAACTCAAATTCACTTTACCAAACCCTGACGGTAAAAGAGAAATAAATCGCTTAACAAGGCTGCCGAGTTTTAATTTAAGGAGAGCGAGGGATCTTTCATTACCAGTATACAGATGATACGGTGAGAAGCCCACCCTAGGTGCTGTCCAAATGAAGTCCCTTATGTTTCGCACGTTGAATGTAAGGGAAATAGGACAAGTTCTGTCACATACACATTGGACCATGGTTCCTGGGCCTCGTAAGCTGAGCGACATGTGGCATCATATGTTCCATGGTACGAGGAATCTAATAGAAGAACACCGTGTTATTTGTAGTTCTGTAGAAGCGAAAAACTATATGCGTCTATTGGGTAGTACTAGAGCTTGGTACTTTACGACTCTCAGACTGACACATTTCTGGCTGTGTTAGACAAGGAAAAGCTTGTTGGCGATGGCTGCAATTCTCAAAGGACGTCTCATTCCATGCAATAGATGGTTTTACCATTCATATTATTACAGCCGTGGCTTGATGACCCTTCTCAGTCATGCAAAGCGAGTGTTCACTTCAAGGCGCTGTTCAGACGATTTAAATCCAGCTCATGGAGTCATGGTCATTAAGAAGCCGTGAGAAGTAATACATTGAAAGGCGAAAACCCTCGGGAAATAAAATAGTAGGAGGCTGTCAACGGATCAATACGGGAATCCCGGCTTCCCCCGACAACTTTGGATATATGGATCAATTGAGAAACTACGTTTACTCCGTAGCAACGCAGGAAGAAACTACGAAGGCAGATTGAATTTATGTAGCCGAATAAATGTAGCACTCCTTAGCGAAAAGAGGAACTTATCCGTTGGAAAATGTACGCGGGTATTCGTGGCTGGGGTTTCTATTTATGGAGTGGATACGTAGAGATAATCCAGGAGCCCAGACCCAGATCTCAATATAGACGGAATCCCCCCCGAAAAAAAAAAAAAAAAAAAAAAGACACAGCCATGGATAAGCCCCAGCGGCACAAGCCAGACGTGGGGGCCAAAATGAGTCGGGGGCTAAAACTTGGCCCGATGACGAAAAGCTTAGTATGAATGCCGATCATGTCCAAATAAATACGGGCACTGTGGGACAAAAGATTTATGCGGAGCGTGTGATGTCGACATATCCCGGCTGACGTTTCTTCGCAGTGTCTTCCTTAAAGGGGCAGTGGATATTTAGGGCTAGACGAGATTCTTAAATATAAATATTTAAAGGTTGTTGCTCCCCTGCTGGAGATTGTGATGGAATACTACTCAGTATACGTTACGTTACTTTTCAACACTCTACCTTGAACCTTCTCGATCCCTGCTAGCAATAATGAATTCAGAGTACTATGGAACTCCCTCCCAAAATGGGTATGGCTACTATGGGTCTCCGCCTCCCCAGGGCCCTCCCCAAGGGTATCAGCAATCATATCCGCAACAGTACCCAGAGCCTCAGAATCAGTACCCTCAGTCTCAATACTCCCAGTCTTACAACGAGCAGCAGCAGCAGACCGCCCCTGGTGAGCGTGGTCTTGCCGGTGCCCTTGCCGGTGGTGTTGTCGGTGGTTTCGCTGGCCACAAGGCCAACCACGGCTTCCTCGGAACCATCGGTGGTGCGATTGCTGGTTCCATTGCTCAAGACGCCTACAAGAAGTACCAGCATGAGGGTGAACAGAACCCTCCTCCCCAGGGCGGTCACTACCCGCAGCAATTCCCTCAGCAGCCATACCCGCAAGCGGGTCCATATCAACAATACCCCCAACAAGGTCCATATCCGCCGAGTCAATTCTATCCACTGAATCAGCTGCATCACAATAAAAAGTCTGTGATGAAAAGACAGGAGGAGGTTGAAGAGCTTCAGGACAAGATCAACCGCGTTTCCCAGCACATGCAGCAGGGTCCCTCTCATCACAAGATGAAGGATCTGCGGAAAGACATCGAACACTTGCAGAAGGATCTGAGAAAGTCGCAAGAGGACTACCAGAAAGAGTTGGACAAGGCGCTAGACGACGATGCTAAGAAGGGACGACACTAAGCTTCAGAAAGAGCAGAAACAGGGTGCAGCAAAGGCGGTAGCTAACCAGGTGAATGGGCAAAGGTGGCTTTTCATTGCTTGTAAGGATCAGGGCTGTGCTGTTGATGGTTTGGACGATGATTCGCATGGACCGGCTCATCGGGCAAATGGATGAAACCCAGTCTATAGGGTAAATATATGGCACAAACACCAACTACTACTAAGTCCAACTATTATAATATATATACAAGAAAGCTGATATGTACTAAATTATATAAATATGTTATAGGCCCTTGTATAGTCCAGAAGAGGTGGTGATATGGAGGTTGATGTTCTGAAAGTAGGGCCGCCTAGCTATTGTAAGCGTGCCTTCGGTATATATAATTAGGATAGCAATATACTATCAGAATCTAGTAAGACTAGCAAACGTCAGAATATGTAGTATAGAAAAAATATCTTATATTAAGATTACTACAAAAATTATATATAAAATAGAATAGAATAAATCATTGAAGTATTTAAATTTTCTATATATCTTAGATATATATAAATTCTATGGTTCCTCACTTGATACGATAGAATAAAAAGGCACACAGATGATCAATCCACATTATATTGTAGGGCAGCCTCTGTATTTGCATAGTAGATTAGCGAAATCTAGCGTCAGGAAAAAGCCTAAACAAAAAGACATATATGAAATCAGCAGTAACAGGACGCCATAGGATATAGTATGCAACGCCAAGCTCCTTCCTCGATTGTATGATGCGAATCGCTGTAGGTTGTTCTTGGTACTGCCTGCGTGAGGCCAGGAATCCATGAGCACTGATAACAAGTGAAATGGCTCTTATTAAGAGGGTTTGTACGTGAAGAACACGTTCATCAGAACCTCTGTAATAGCCAAGTTGCTTTCGGCAACAATTTCGAAAAGCCCCGCAGTAGACGGAACACATCACGCAAACCACGGAAATCAACAAGCAGAAACCACTGGCAGGCCTCAGGAGCTGTGCAGTCTATCTCCTGGAGTTTCTCATCTCTAGGAAATTGCGGGGTCTGAAAGTCTCTTTCATGGTTCAACCTGGGGACATAGACGCTCTTCGCTGTCTTAACGCCCTTGACATGTATTTTCGTTCGATGGAGCAAAAAGCCGATGGGTCTAAAAGGAGATGGACCATAACGACCGGTGTCTGGCCCTAGAATTTGTCCATATCCGATCCTAGGGTGAGGTTAACTGGGACCATGGGGGGAATAATGGATACCGGGAGGGCTAGCGGCGGGTCGTTCCCGCTATAGACCTCCAATTTTATTGACGAAGGCGACTGTTGCGTCACCTTCCAACCACTGGCATTTCCCGGCCTAATACCTTGTCCAGGAAAAGGTGTGATACTGCAAGTTAGAGTCTGAACAGGACTGTTCGCCTCAGTCGCGTCACGTGAATCGGTATCGTACACTGCCCACAACCTACCACTGAGGGTTTGAAAGGTGGAAAAGTAGTCCAGAGCATCCTTGAGACGCTGCGATACATGGAGATGGTCAGTTTTGGAGCTTGCTCCCACGAATACGCCAAGGCTTTCTGCTTTGGCAGCCAACAGCGCTTCCATCGCATACTGCCTGCGGCTCTTTTGCCACTCATCAAACTTCGAAATGCTCGTTGGTTCACGGGCTAAGTTTCCTGCTTTATCCGGAGCTCCTCCGCGGACTAGGCAGTCGCTCTTCCGTATTTTCAAGTACTCTTCGTACACTTTATCATTGGCAACTTCACATCCACCGGAGATGATCCCTTTGTTCCCTGTACTCACACATGCCCTGACTTCTTCCATTTTCTTGCTCTACGTTTCCTTCTTCTCGACAGAAAGCTGATACCGAGTACGCAGGAAGAGCTCAGTGAGCACGTGAGAGCCCCTTTCTGCAAAGAACGTGCGGTACTGAGCATATATAGACGTTTCTGCTTCCACAATGGTAGCAAAGCTACCTAGGTCACAACAAAATGGAGACAGATGTGGTGAGGGATTAGAAAGACGACCGCCAGGTGGCAAGCGGCTTGAGTCGTGATAAAAGCTTTCGATTACTTCCTTTGTGGGATATGGCGGTTTATGGTTAGATTATAGGCTCTTTTGACGCACCTGCATAGCTAGATGTTCAGTAGTTAGGCTCGAACATGTTAATAGAATCTTGAATGATTGATTGACAGAGCTGCCTCCTTGGCCAAGTCGGAATTTACATATCCATACGGGTCTTTCGATTTAATAGAGTAGACCCTCTTAGACCCTCTGGTCGAAATTGTAATTTCCGTATACGCTAGTGGCATTGAAGGAGGATCCATAACGATACTGAGAAGATGCTGCTACTCCGCCATAGCCGATACTTGTATTTGCGTTCGCTTGAAACTCATCACTCAGCCCTTTGCCAGTTTTTACCATGAGGTCACAGCTCGTAGTCGTCGTCCCATAGCCTCGGATCTTACTATTATCGGGTTCCCAATACTGCCTCAAAGACCCTGGTGGCTTAACCTTTTTTCCAGTACTGTTGAATCGGATAATTTCCGATTTAGAGCTGCTGTCCAAAATACCTTGAATATTTAAAGGATCGATACCTAGTCTCAGCATCAGCTTACATTTGATTGAATGGTAACATGGAAACCACAGGATCAGAGGCCTGGTAATGGTCTTAGAAAACCGACTACCCCAGAAGACAAGTCTACTACGTTGTGTATATGCAAAGAAAAGAGGTTTGTAACAGACTCATAATCGCAAATACAATTGCTTCATTGTACACAATAAATAATAGAAGGTAGCAATCAAGGTCAAATTATGCAGTCTATGTGTGGGACCTTTTCCCACTATATCCTCTCAGTATCGAGACCTGTGTTTCGGAAATGAACTCTTGTATTATTTTTTTCGTTTCTCCAATCGTGCCAATACACCAGTCAAGGAAGTTATCAAACCCTTGACCCGCAAAGAAGCAATTTTCCACTTGAGGCGGAAAAGCGCTATCTCGATAGCCAATGCATCAATAATATGTTATCGTCTGCGAACCGTCACATGTGGTTGGCGAACAGTCCATAAGGTCTAACTTAATTAATTCGTTATTGGCTTTTGGTCCACACCCGTTGCCGGCGATCTTGTTATATTCCGATGGGCTGCTAGGGACAGTCGAGATAATAAGAACGTCCATCTATGTCAGAGGTTGAGGATATCGGAGTGTCGATTAACAGAAATTCTTAGCATTTATTAAGTCAGCTTGGAAAGCTGTTGATCTATTGCGTCACTGTATGTCGGATGATGATTTGCTAAAGGTTAGTCCTTTTCAAACCAACGCATTTGGTGTCATGAATCCGTCTTAGTAGAAATAGCATACGCTGTGCCGCTCCAAGCCACTTCTTCGCGACATGTGCTCATTCTAGACACGCCAATTCATGCCTCCGGGAATATTGATGTTTGCGTACTTCTCCCAAGCGTCTCAGGTCTATGATGGATGCGGCGCGCGATGAGCGGGTGGTGATTCGCTAAGATCGAAATTTGACGCTTTCACTGAAGGAGGTCCCGTCGTAACCGTCTTAGTCCAAGTTGGAAATGCGGCGCTCGATCCCCATACTTCCTACACTAACTGGTACGGAGCAACAGGGCTGACAGGGACATCGCGCAAGATGGATCTACTATCAACTCAATTGAGGGGCGTTTACCATGCCCATAGTGACTGCGAGTTTGTCCTACCAATTGCCGATAGTGCTGGGATCTAAGGGTGAAAACGTGGGTTTTGCGCTGAACGCCGAACCAGCAAGTTTTTCCCCAGCTATACTACGCTATTGATAGCTCGCTAAGCCAGTTGTAGCTCTCTGCAGACCTGGCGAGACTTGATCTGGTCTCATATAAGACTGCTGTGTAAGTGATACCATAGTAATGCCATAAGCTGATCCAATAATGCATTAGCAGTAAAATGCCTTCCGAAGATCGCTGCTTGTTTCCAACAAGAGGTTTTTACCAGACCCTTACCGCCAACCTGAAACGCACATGAGCAAAGCAGCCGCGTGACTATGAGTAGAGTTAGGTTCACGACAAACAAAAGAGCGAGACATGCGGCAATCATATTTACATGCTAATCGGAGCGGGATTGTGCCAACTCGCATACCGACCACCCAATCCAGCGCCAAAACATCTTACCACTGGTCCCTTCCGTATATGCTCTGCTTGGATCAGTTTGCCATTTCATCTAAAGATGGTCCTGTTTCCGTGCCGAGTGTCCGTGCTCCAAAGCGGAAGAATGGGACACAAATTGCAAATTAGTTTTAGCAAAATCAACTATTTTCAGCTGTATGTTGGAATTCCGTAAATATCTTCAAAAACGCTCTTTGATGTCTAGGGTTGATGACAGCAGCTTCTAGGGAATCATCTACATCGCAACATCACGATTGACAAATTCGCCAAGCTTGACCCATTTCCCGAGAAGGCCTCTGAAAACACCTGAAAATTGTGGTCAGAACTGGTAAACGCGGTCTAAAAGCCCTGATTATCTGTCCTTGATAGGAGTTTGAATTGGCCAGTGCCAGCAGTTGTGCCATAAAGGTTCCAGAGCCTCACACCGGTTGCTCCATTCCAGCTGACCCAAAAGGTAGTTCAGCTGGATGGCGAAGGTGAAGAGATATAAACAGCGGGGCGTTCGGATGGATGTGCAGACCGGTTGGCTTTGAAAGCCCTGTAGTTCATCGCATCGAGAATCAGCAGTGTGGCAAAATATACAGGTGTGCCAGCCTCGGTTTGCTCAGAGACCGAAGGAATGTGTCCCAATCCGATGAAGACGTATCCACTAGGCAATGGCTGGAGGCATCCTTTAGGATGGTAAATAGAACTACCAGTGCACCAGTCGTTCTCAACGAGGTAAATCAGGATCCCCGTATACCACGGGAAGATTTGTGACACAGGCAGGCTACACTAATCTATCCTCTGGTATATAAAAACGATGTAGCTTAAAGAGCTACAATTAGCGGTGAGAATCAACATAAGGTTGTATTCAGAGTAGGCTACGTGCTGAAGCAGCCAAGTATGACTACGTACCATGATATAGTTGATCTAGTGCCTCGCAGTAGATCAATAGAAGTAAGTGGAGGAATTGCTAGATATCTAAAATTGGCAGGATAGAATAATATTTACCCTACGTTTTATCATAGCTGGTACTGCCCAAACATTCTTATCCACCAACAGCGTCCGTGATGCTTGACGACATGTTAAGGATCTTTGTGGCGAAATCATCCTATTTACCTTGTCGGCTGGCTTTAACCATGTTATATCACTTCTACAGGAAAGTATAACTCCTCAAGACCAACTATAGATAAAACAACAAGAGCTCATCAAATTGAAACAGGACAAGGATCAATTAAAACAGAAAAGAAACAAAACACTCCAGATTCAACCCCATACCGCGAAATACGATAATGAATATTTCCAGGATATCCTAGAACGCTTTTTTGTTTAATTTATAAAATAGACTCAACTCAGTACTGAACAATATTACTTGTCCACAGCAACTCTCCATTATGTCATATATTAGTTCCAATAAGTATAAAAACTCAACTCATGGAAATCCAACTAGTATTATATCACATCAAGATGAGATAATAACCAAATGGATTCCATCAAAGCAACTATCAAAAGGCATTATAGGATACTCTTTATTAGCAGTCACCATCAAAAATAGTAGGTTCGATAATATGATTTAGTTAATTCATCTAGACGACTATAAGTATAACACTAGGCGAAAGAAAGCATGGAAAAATTAGAACAACTTACAGCAGCCTTTAGGCCTATATTCGTCAGAAGCTTATTATCCTGGAGTGTTGTACCATTATCCATTTGTGAAGTTAGCGCCAGTTTGTAGTTATTACAGATTATATTGTTAAGAACTCACTAATGTTTGAAGAAAGACTAGAAGGATAAGCCAAGTTTAGCCCTGCCAATGAAGCCATTGGAGCGGCTCCGATCCTGGTAATGCCAAAATGGTTTAAAGATTTGTGAGCTTTTTTGGACAATTTGCGTGCTGTTGTTGCCACCGCCGCCTCCTTTCCCACCAGCAGAAACGGCAGCGGCGGCCACATCTTTTCCACTACGACCAGCGGCGGCAGCAGCGGCAGCAGCAGTAGCGGCGTCATTCCATCCACTACCACTAGCGGCGGCGACAGCAACGGCGACGGCGGCGGTATTCGCTCCACTAGCACCACAGGCGGCAGCGGCGGAGGCAGCGGCGGCGGCAGCGATATCCCCTCCACTACCCCCACGGGAGGCGGCGGCGGCGGCGGCGGCGGCGGCCACGGTATTATTCTTTCCACCAGAGGAGGAGGAGACAGCAGCAGCGGCGGCGGCTGTATTATTCCCACTAGCACCGGGGGCGGCGACGGCGGCCGCCGCCGCAACGGTGATGACTTCCCTTCCATTACACCCACTGGAGGCAGCGGCGGCGGCGGCGGCGGCAGCGACACCCCCTCCACAGGAGGCAACGGTGGCAGCAGCAGCGGCGGAGGCGGTATCCGCACCACTAGCGCCAGAGGCAGCGGCGGCGGCGCCGGAAGCAACTGCGACAACATTCCATCCACTAGCACCAGCGGAGGCAACGGTCGTGGCGGCAGCAGCAGCAGCACTCCCTCCACCAGAGGCGGAGTCGGCAGCAGCAGCTGCTGCAGCGACTGCCGTTCCATTACCCCCACCAGAGGCGGCGGCAGCGGCGGCGGCAACGGTCGCGACATCCTTTGCACTACCCCCACCGGAGGCGGCGGCAGCGGCGGCAGCGGCGGCAGCTTTTCCTCCACCAGAGGAGGCAGAGGCTTTAGCAGCAGCAGCGGCTGCATCCCGTCCACTGCCACCAGAGATGGCGATGGCAATAGCAGCATTAACAACAATGGTAGGAGGGCCAGGAGGGGTATTAGGGATAGGGGTCACACTAGGGGTGCTAGTCGGACCACGTGTGCCTGAAGTAGAAGAAGAAGTGCTATTCGTGCCAGGCGAGCCGGAAGTAGGGGAAGAAGTGCCACTCGGTCCAGGTGAGCTGGTAGAAGGGGAAGAGGAAGTGATACTAGCGGTCCTAGTTAAGCCAGGCGAGGTAGCAGTGGTCGTCATACTAGCGGTGCTAGTCAGTCCAGGCGAGCTGGTCTCAATAGGAGAGGTCCCCTGTCGCTCTTCCAGATAATGGGAGTCGGGCTCTGAGTGTGCAACTGGGTTTGCTACTGCTAAATGCATAGTAATCTGCAGCAGCACACTGAGGATATAGAGTGTGGACTTCATATTAAAGATAATTCAGTACTTTTCTTGCTTGCTTCAATTTGAATTGCCATAAGTCACAGGAAGACTATCTGCACAGCTTTTATAGTGACAAGCAGCGAGTTAAATTATGTCATTCTGGTCAAGGTTATCCATCTAACAGGTCTAGAATCAAAGAATGGTCTAAAAGCAAATATCTCACATCCTGTAGAGCTTTCTTGGCATACGACACGATATTCAATACCGATAGCCCTTGGGCTTTGGCCTTAAAAAGGTGTCTTCCACAGTGTTGCAAGCTCCCCTCAAGGTTTCTATGAACCAGTCTTGTTTGTATAGATAAGAAACCCATTAAAATGGTTCATGTTACGTTACATCACAAGAGTTAAATATTTAGGTTAGGAAACAAAGAAAGATGTATCAAACGCAACTTGGAGTTCTAGCTTCCGAACCAAGCTGTGATTGCCACCAAGACATTGCTGTTCTAGGAGCGGAAATCGCAGCCAACCAGCGACCTTCCCCCGGCCCACCCTAAACTAACCCGAACCCACCATGTTTCTGGTTCCTTTACACTTGTGGGATAGGCTTCCTCTTCTAGGCTTTGGGTGGTGAAGCCCCCCAAAAAGAAGGTGAAGAAATGGTGGCGAAATGGTTGAAAACAGTCAAGAAACGGGCGAGAACAGGTCAGGTTTGATATAGATCGACCGATGTGGGGCCGCTGATAAGCTTGTCATTAACTGGTGATTTATGGTTGGTGGAATTAAGTTTCACCAATGATATTGTACAGCTGGAGCAGTTATTCCGCCGTTTCAGGTTATAAACTCTGAAAAACAAAGGTTTGACCATGGCGAAGTGGAAGACAGATTATCGGAAATGGTAGGAGGCAGTGGCCTGACTTTCAAACAGGTTTAGGATACTACCATTCAGTCGAAGAGTTTAACAGTACTTCTGTCCTCGGCGGAATTGCAATGCCGCAAGTCCAATCGGCTGTTCAACAAATGTATCACTGAGGCAAGCAATCCGACTTGGAAGCTTTTCTCCAATAAGTTTCATCCAGGTCTCGATCATACATCTGTAAGAGCATAGCTTTCGATTTGGCAAGGAATACAATACTAGGGATCCAGTATAAAAGAAGCAAATTGCAAATCATAAATCTGTTCACAATATGACGTAAGGTTATTCCTTGGTCTGAATCACATTGGAAAATGCCACATTTACCTAATCTGGATCGAGAACCAATAATACTACTCATGGTTACCATTTTTCTCTTAAGAACATGAGACTGGACTCTGGAGAGAATTCTGGCACGTGACGGCTTTTTATCTCCTCCCCCAAACTATTTGACCTTTCGGAAGCCCAACCTTTTTACCACTATATTTTACCGGGCTTCCTCTGAAAGCACACTGATCACTATGGCATTGATATGGGCTGACAACAGAATAGCAGTCTTTTGCTTGCGTTTACAGCGTTGATTGACCTTAGAACCGGCTTCTTTCCTGCCAACGGCATCATCGCGCCTTTGCACAACCTCTGAATACGCTCGCCCAGCTCACTCGTCAATTATCACTCGATCACCACCCCGCGCGACTCTTCAGCCGACCGGCTTGGTATAAGAGAGATGGAAGGCGAGCGAGCCTTCCTCAATTTCTACATGTCCCTTGCCTTCGTCCCTGGGCATTTCCGAACGCCGTCGTCCACCATGGTTTGACTGCGAAGCATCCAGAAGTGTGTTTCGAATAGTCCACGGCCAAGACGCCAACAACGGCCCCGTCGTAAAGATAGCTTGTTCTTCAAGTCCTTCGAGTACTGTTAGGAGGGCGATGCAGATATTTGCATTATGATTCGGCTTAAGCACGATGGCTAGATCTAGTTCTCTAACTCCAACGACAAATGGCCCCCATCCCTAGAGGAGCTGGTGGATTCTTCTCCTTATGATCGCGCTCATGGTTCCGTACTGACTGGACCTGTAGGCTTCAATACTATCCAAAGCCGAAACAAATTACGTGGGAAGAGTTGGCCGCTAGATACACCGCTAAGGATTCATTTCTTCACCCAACCAACCACATACAATGACTCTCGAAATCGGCTTGACCAACAAACATTGATGACTCTTTTCTTGCTCCACCGCCAAGACCTTAGTTTGAAGTCTCCTGCTTTTAATTGAGGGCTGCTGTAAATTGCTGGTTGTGTAAACGTAAAATATATATAGTATTGTATCTGTATTACAGCGTGTCATTGTTTAGATATACTCAGTGGTGCATGTAACTCTATCTTACTCTGTTAGGAGGGTTCTCAGTCTATATCCTAGTGCGCGGTGCATCGAGCCCTCGTTGCACCCACTTCGCTGATTCGTCGGTTGTTGATGCCCCGTAGTGCGTACTCCCACCAGAAAGGTGTGCGCTGCTTTCCTTATTAATTTTTCTATACAGAAGCTCTTATTTCCACATCGATTCTATTTAGTGGGTTTAGTGGGATGACAAAAGTTTGAAACCGTGATTTTTATTGTTATCTAGCTGCCTACCTTATTAGACCATTCTGCCGTGCAGAAACTTCCGAAGCCTAGTATTTTATATACCAACTATCTGCCTCAATAACTGCCTCAACCCGGTAAGGTATAGTAGTAGATAAGTGTACCAAAATATGACTTTCTATAGAATACCAGGCTTTCTGAGCTATTTTGATCATAGGTTTATAGGTAGAAACAGTATTAGGAGCCCTTAAAAGCTCTGAATAGAGCTTATAGATTTCCTCTTTTATAACCGCCTATAGATTTTGAATAGGATTAAGATCAGGCGAGTAAGATAGCAAATCCGTTACTTCAATACTCATTCCATTGAGGTCTTTATGTATAATATATACACGGTGTATACCAGCGCTATCATATATAAAATATTACCTTCTTCCAACAGAGCTAGTACAAAGGCACGATATAAAGTAAGAATAATAGCTGCTGTAACACCCCCTCGAGTCACCTCAGGATCACTATCTAAAGAAATAAGCCCTGTACATATAGGTTCTCTGGAGGCAGCCCAGAATATCTACTTTATATCTTTTCTATAAAGTTTAGTAAATATATACTGTGATTTTTGTATTGATTCTTTGAATATAGAAAGATCTATATCGGCTGTATACCAATACCTTGTTTAACCATATATTTATTACTCTATTTAACGCGTGTCCAATCCTCTGCAGTAAAATACTGGTAGCACCTGGCCCAGACAAGGCGCTTGGCTGCGTGAATAGATTGAATTTCAGACCGATTTACGTGCTTCCACTTTCTGCAGCCCATTTCATTTAGTAAACGTTGAACAGAACGGCGTCTGACCACGTAATATACCTCTGCTAATAGATCCTTATACTGAATATAGGGCTCTGCATGAGCTAGATCATATATATAATCACGTTGTTGCTCTGTAAGCTTTCGAGGGCGGCCAGAACGCGCACGCGTAGTATTATTGACCCGAATTGACTCACGAGGTATAGTAATTTTGCCAGTAGAAAGCGGTATTTTTGGATGCTTTCGATAGATTTTAGTAGGACCCCAGCCAATACTATACAGCTCACATATACGTGAGCGTACTTGGGGATCCAGCTCCTTTTTAGGAGCCATAATTCAATGTGTATTTAGACATGTATACGGTCAGGCACCCGAGTTCAGTAGGGTTGAAATTAGGCAGTATCTAGGGCCAGGTTGCAGGTCAAACAGATGGTTTCACGCTTTATCATCCCACTGTAATATATGGGATACGTACATCTCGCATTCAGGGCGTCTGATTGGCCCTGTTTTGATGTTCCCGCGCCCAACGTACGTGGCATTGCATCCGCGTTCCATCGGATCTTTATCAGTGGATCACTCCGCCCTCGGGCACACCCACACCCAGCTGGGTAAATACCTCTAACCACCACTGGATAGTGACTGTCAGGTACGCTGTATTTCAACTGGGATATATCTCTTCCACGGGAAGAATCACTATGTAATAATATTGTAGAGCTGTACCATTTCAACTATCGTACCAGGGACTGGCAGTAACAGTCGATTCGTTGGGTTGATCTCTGCGCCTTTGTCTTCATATAATTTTTCCTGATACAACTGATTGATTATATATATGTCTCGCCGTACTATAGCTCTACTTTTGGATGCCACCCCCTGTATCCAACTCAGTCCGCCCATGTCTCTTGACTGTTTTCTCCCGTTGTAGATCGTGGAACAATGGATCTCTTCTCGTACAATTCCATGTATCATCTCTGGATCTGCACCGCCTGCCATTATGCGGTCTGCAGCGTTTTCTTTGAGATTCAATCCTCCACCCAGACCGTTAAGCAGCCCGGTATGAGCAAGACGCTTATGCCTAGATCCCATGTGCGTTTGGATCAAATGGCGACGGAACGCTTGAGAGAGCACAGTACCCGCGCGCGCACCATCTACCGCAACCAAGACATCGATCCTAAGCCTGTCTTGGCGCGAAAGCAATGGGTACGTAAGAATTGGTCTCGACACAAGCTACCTTTGGCCTCCGTAAGATCAACTGTTGACCCACAAACGAGCATATATGCCACAAAGCCGCCAATACGCACTTCGTGACTCTCATCTCACGTGAAGGTGTATATCAGTATGCGCGATTTACCTTGCACACACATACACTCCACAAATGGTCAGGTAGATTTGCTATAAAGCATGCTGGCAGTCATGTGCAGAAAATATGGGCGTCAAGCAGCCAGTCGTAGGGGTCCACGTTTGAGACAGATAGCAAGGCGCGCGGGGGGTTGATAAAGTGCGGAACTTATCGGTTGCGTGCTAAGTAAAGTCTCATGTCCACCCGAACCCCGCACATCAAATCTCCCACAAGACTATAAGCTTCGCTCCCTTTTCGAACTTCATTCTGCAGATAACCAAATTTTCATATTCCAGTTCTAAATCTTCCTCTTCTTAGCGTCTTGACTTCCCCCGATCTCGAAAAATAGGAACTCGTGCTGAATCGGGTATCGACGCGATAAGAACTACAAGGACTTTAGAGGAAATGGGCATTTACCTAAATAATAATACAGAGAGCTCCGTTTAATGTTGTATTGCTGCTCAGTCATTTGCGAACTACCTCACTGATTCCGATACTGATAACGAAAA